GTCTGTCCATCCGTCTGTCTGTCCGTCCGTACGTCCGGGAGTTTTCTCCAAAACCGCTACAGATATCACCTTCAAATTTTCAGGGATAACTTATTAGTGCATACAGATGTGGATGAAAATTTTTTAACTCCATACCTACTTCCTGTCGGCCATTTTGAAGTCAAATGCTAAAATCCTTGTCTGCAAACTTTAAGAAAAAACGGCTCCACAGTTGCTTTTAAAACTTAAACATCTTGTTCAGCTCACTTCATTCTAGATCTGATTAGGTTTTGGACCTGTTAGCTAAGTCATGTCAGCCATTTTGAATGTCTTAAGAAAAGTTAGCGCACGATAATACTTTGTATCATATTGAATGGTGTTTCTGAGTTTTCATACTTTAACTATTTAGTAGCTTTATAAATAATTTCAGATGTACTTTGTTGTAAAAGCCTATGTTATTATTAATAGTAGTTATATGTGATAATTTTGTAAAAAGAAATCAGCAAAAACTTATAATCACTTTTTTATTGTCGGCCATTTTGGATTTTTCCGTCCTAAAATCTTGTCCGTGAAGTCTTGTCTACGTGTTTTCAGGTGAACGGTTTGGTGGATCAATTTCAAATTTTCAGGGATGATTCTTAGTATAAAAATCTAGATCTGATTAGTTTTTTGGCATTCTGGGTAAATGTCAAGGCAGCCATTTTGGATTTTCCATCCTAAAATCTTGTATGTAAAGTCTTGTCTACGCGTTTTCAGGTGAACCGTTTGGTAGATCAATTTCAAATTTTCAGGGATGATTCTTAGTATGAAAATGTAGAACTGATTAGTTTCTTGGCATTCTGGGTAAATGTCAAGGCAGCCATTTTGGATTTTCCATCCTAAAATCTTGTCTGTTAAGTCTTGTCTACGCATTTCCAGGTGAACCCTTCTGTAGATCAATTTCAAATTTTCAGGGATGATTCTTAGTATGAAAATCTAGATCTGATTAGTTTTTTGCCATTCTGGATAAATGTCATGGCAGCCATTTTGGATTTTCCATCTTAAAATCATGCCTGTAAAGTCTACGCGTTTTTATGTGAACCGTTTGGTAGATCAATTTCAAATTTTCAGGGATGATTCTTAGTGTGGAAATCTAGATCTGATTAGTTTTTTGGCATTCTGTGTAAATGTCAAGGCAGCCATTTTGGATTTTCTCTCCTAAAATCTTGTTTGTAAAGTCTTGTTTACATGTTTTCTGGTGAACTGTGTGACGGATCAATTTAAAATTTTCAGGGGTGGTTCTTAGTTTGAAAATCTAGAACTGACTAAATTTTGGGCATTCTGGGTAAATTTTAAGGTGGCCATTTTGGATTTTCCGTCCTCAAATTGTGTTGGTAAAGTCTTGTCTACTCATTTTCAAGATAACCATTTGATGGGATCACCCATTGGTGGGGACATATTGTACACATTTGTGTTCATGTTAAGACTTTATTTTAGAAAAATAAGAATCTGAATGGTAAGTAAACACTTTATCTTATGTTTTGAGAAGTTATAGCCTAAAAGCTGAAGTGAAAGAGGACGAAAAGTGCCAAAGAAAAAAATTTCAAAAAAGTTTTATCACGGCAGCATTTCATTCTCAGCATTTTATCAATTGAGAATTTGATTTGACGATCATAAAGAGATCTTCCCATAAACCAGGAAACTGTTTTCGTTACTTGGGCATGTTGCTAGGTAACGATTTGAGAAAATAAAGGAACGAATCGTTACTTCCGCAACGCTAATTTCGAACCCTGCCCATACCTAACCTTTTCTTTGATCATGTCTATTTCCCATAACATTTGAATGAAGTTGATATGTGCATCTTATTTTTCGGCATCTCTCAATTTAGAGCATTGGCAACATACTTTTTTGTTTTATTCCTTGCTGATTTCACTCTTTCATTCTATTTTACTTTTGAAAATATGATCACAATTGTGTGATTTTTGCATGGGACTATTAAGCCTATATGACAATAAATTAGCATCAATGGATTTAGTGGTGATTAAGTAATTAAAGAAAAACGATAAATGATGCACTGTCTATATATTATTTTAGTCAACTCAATATTTTTCTTATTCCTGACAACAGATTACCATTCTGTCAAAGGGATTATATGGTGATTAAGGTTGTGTCATCTTTCATATTATTTTTTATTTTATTTTAGATTTTAGTTGTCATCTCAATATTTTTTCTCATTCCTAGACTTCATTTCTTTAGATTATACAAATAGTTGAACAGTGTCGATATTGTGATAAGATAATATATTTTCTTACCCTGAGCATAACATCTAGTTACAATTACAAACCAACCTAGATGAAGCTCTCTTTTAAGATGCAAAGTAAAAAACGCAAAAGGGTAATCTATAATGTTTTCTTGGAATTAACGTGTAATCTTAATTTTTTGTTTCACGATTCATCTGAATGTTAAACAAAATATGAGATTGCCGTTCACTGTAATATGTACTCATGCATATTAATTCTAAACAATGGAGAGGCTTCTTCAAACAGAGATGCCATTATTATTCTCTGTACATTAGAAATATAAATCATTTTATCCAATATCTATTTACCATCGCTGAATTAATCTGAACAAAATATTAAACAATCGTTGTTCTCGTAAATCATTTTGTGTTTTCTTTAGTATATTTCTTGTCATCTCTTCAAACAGTGAACGCTATTTCGAATGATAGACTTACAGAATAAACGGAAAATGAATTCCTCATTATAATTGTTGTAAAATCTATATTTAGACCTTTTCATTTCATCTATTTATTTTCCAATAATCCCTGCCATCTTTAGGACACAAATGAAACTAGGTTATGTTGACCAGGTTATTGGTGTCATAAGTTATAGGAAGTGCTGTTTCCAAATGATGGATTGCTAATTGTTAATTTTCAAAAATTCTTAGAATTTTGGGGTTAATGAGATCACTGTATAAAAATGGAGCTTTCAAATAACTGTCAAGTTTCTTGCTTTTATCTATAATTTCCGCCCACAATACATTTACTTGTTCTCTTTATATATGACACACTCATGTTGATCTATCAAGACATTTTTGGCAATATAAGTCATTATATATAAACCTGCATATTTAAAATCCTATTTTTCCCCACCAAAAAGTGGTGACATATTGTTATGGCCTCCGTTTTTTTACGGTGGTTGGCGGTTGGTGGTTGGTGATAGGCGTCTGAAACAAATTCTTCCAACTTCCAGTAATTTAACAAATACTGTATAGACTGACTTCAATTGTTTTTCAAAATCATTTACATGTTTTCAGAAGTTCAAATCTGACTTTATATTTAAGATTTGACCTTCAATGACATTTTCAAGATAAAAAAATTCTCAAGCATTCTCAAGGTCAACATAGATTTGACCTTTAATGACCTCCTCAAGGTCAAAAAGGTCTTTTTATGTCCCCACCACATAGTGTGGGGCCATATTGTCGGCCTAGGCGCGTCCGTCTGTCCGTCCGTCTGTCCGTACGTCCGGGAGTTTTCTCCAAAACGGCTACAGATATCACCTTCAAATTTTCAGGGATAACTTATGAGTGCATACAGATGTGGATGAAAAGATTTTAACTCGATATTTCCTGTCGGCCATTTTGAAGTCAAATGCTAAAATCCTTGTCTGCAAACTTTAAGAAAAACGGCTTCACAGTTGCTTTTAAAACTTTAACATCTTGTTCAGCTCACTTCATTCTAGATCTGATTAGGTTTTGGACCTGTTAGCTCAGTCATGTCAGCCATTTTGAATGTCTTAAGAAAAGTTAGCGCACGATAATACTTTGTATCATTTTGAATGGTGTTTTTGAGTTTTCATACTTTAACTATTTAGTAGCTTTATAAATAATTTCAGATCTACTTTGTTGTAAAAGCCTATGTTATTGTTAACAGTAGTAATATGTGATAATTTTGTAAGAAGAAATCAGCAAAAACACATAATCACTTTTTTATTGTCGGCCATTTTGGATTTTTCCGTCCTAAAATCTTGTCTGTGAAGTCTTGTCTACGTGTTTTCAGGTGAACCGTTTGGTGGATCAATTTCAAATTTTCAGGGATGATTCTTAGTATAAAAATCTAGATCTGATTTGTTTTTTTGGCATTCTGGGTAAATGTCAAGGCAGCCATTTTGGATTTTCCGTCCTAAAATCTTGTCTGTAAAGTCTTGTCTACGCGTTTTCAGGTGAACCATTTGGTAGATCAATTTCAATTTTCAGAGATGATTCTTAGTATGAAAATGTAGAACTGATTAGTTTTTTGGCATTCTGGGCAAATGTCAAGGCAGCCATTTTGGATTTTCTGTCCTAAAATCTTGTCTGTAAAGCCTTGTCTATGCATTTCCAGGTGAACCATTCTGTAGATCAATTTCAAATTTTTAGGGATGATTCTTAGTATGAAAATCTAGATCTGATTAGTTTTTTGGCATTCTGGATAAATGTCAAGGCAGCCATTTTGGATTTGCCGTCTTAAAATCTTGCCTGTAAAGTCTTGTCTACGCGTTTTTAGGTGAACCGTTTGGTAGATCAATTTCAAATTTTCAGGGATGATTCTTAGTGTGAAAATCTACATCTGATTAGTTTTTTGGAATTCTGTGTAAATGTCATGGCAGCCATTTTGGATTTTCTGTCCTAAAATCTTGTCTGTAAAGTATTGTCTACGCATTTTCAGGTGAACCATTTGGTAGATCAATGTCATATTTTCAGGGATGATTCTTAGTATGAAAATCTAGGAACAGATTAGTTTTTTGACATTCTGGGTAAATGTCAAGGCAGCCATTTTCAGGATAACCATTTGATGGGATCACCCATTGGTGGGGACATTTTGTACACATTTGTGTTCTTGTTTTCATTTTGCTTCGACTTGATGGTGACATTTTGTCATGTTGCCTTGTTTTGATTTGCAGATGATTTATATCCAAACTCTGGGTAGATACAGTACCAATTTGTACATTTAAATCTGATGCTTAATTATTAAAAATAAAAATGTGTAAACTCTGTACTTGCAGAAAACCCAGGACTCCGCAACCACGTTGGAATACTGTAGATGGGAAAATAGACAGACAGAGTCACACCGGACATTACGTCATAGATGAATTTGGCGTCCCAAGGTAGCCTACTATTGACATACTCATATGTAATGTGTCTTTTGTTTTCTTATCACAGAAGTCCATGTTATAAGTTGGTTTGTAAACATATTTAAATTCTGTGCTTTATTCTGAGAATCTGTATGTGTTGTTCAATATTGAGTGTAAACATGTTATAAGATCAATTCTGAGGTCCATTGCCAATATTGTAAAAAATATTTTCATATCAATTATCTAACGTTACTGTACTTCTGTATATCTGTATAGAAACGTTTAACGATTTTCATTAATGATTAATCATGGACACCCATGATGACATCTATTGGAGAGAATTAAAGCTAAAATCACTTTCATTTTGCATCAGTTTTCAGTTCCCCTGATATTGATTAATTAATCACAAATAATTCATCATAGACTTCATTATTCAGGTTTATATGGTTGTGACATATTGTTTAATCTCCAACTTTTTGTGGATAGTGTTCGGCAGTTGGTGTTTGGCAGTTGGTGATTAAAGTTAACAAATGACAGGTGGTGACATTTAGCATGTTAATGCCTTGTTTCTATTCTCACTATTGTTAAATTGTTGCAGAAATCCAGTTGGTAGAACAGGTGTCCGAGGGAGGGGATGTCTCGGTCGTTGGGGCCCTAATCATGCTGCAGATCCAATAGTAACCAGGTAAACAGTCAAATATATAAGTCCATGCATCATGCATATGATGCATTTAAGTTGACAGCCCAAAGGCCCAAAGCTACTTCACCCCAAATACACACTCTAAAATAGCAGTACCGTATGGTACATGAAGAGTATGGTACCGTGCTGTGTTCATGGTACCGTAAGACACTGTTTTAGTCTACGGTACTGTATTGTACCACATTTTACAGTACTGTTCAGTACTGTAGCCGAAGTGGTACCATGCGGTACTGTTAGAGATTGACTGTGTAGTGATCCAGTCTGATTTGATTTTTTTCAACGTGTATATTAGAAATTGTAATTATCTGCTACAATATGAACAGCATCAAATGTTATATGTTGGGGGCATAATAAGGAGAAAAAAAGTTGAAAAACAATTACTGAGTATTTGTTTATTATTTCAGGTGGAAAAGAAATGAAAAGTTTGAAGTAATGAAAAATACAAGTAATAATAAACCAGTTCTGCAATTTGTGGCAATTCAAAGACGTGATACTGGTGAATGGGCCATACCTGGGGTAAGTGGTAGGAAAGATCATTTTCCACTCCATAAGTAGCTACCATGACATTTCATGTATGTGACTTTGAATATGGAATAAATGCTAGCTACTCTTGAAAGTATAACTGTGATTACAATTCTGATTGGGTTGCTCAGGGCTCCAGGTTTCTGTTTTAACTTCTGGATTAATTTTTTTCAGTCTTATCTGCTCCATACCCAAGTTATAAACTAGAACAATGGTTTAAATGATTTTATATATTCTGTAATACTGATACTGCTTTTCCCTTTGTGTATATCAACTCTGACCTTGTTTGGCATTTCAATGTATCAAATCTGACACTGTTTTTCCTGTCAGTATATCAATTCTGACACTGTTTTTCACTTCGATGTATCAAAATCTGAGACTGTTTTTCACTTCAATGTATCAAATATGACAGTGCATTTCACTTGTATATACCAATTCTGACTCTATTTTTCACTTGGATTTATTAATCTGACACTTGCTTTATTCTTGTAGGGCATGGTGGATCCTGGTGAACAAATATCAGTCACTTTAAAGCGTGAATTTGGGGAAGAAGCACTTAACACTTTAGAATCTAGCAAAGATGAAAAAGAAGACATCACTAGAAAATTAAATGAATTATTCTGTAGGGGAGAAGAGGTAAGATTTGATTGGTTGTCAGTTGATGGAATAACAACATTTATTATATCACCATCTAGCTAGCGAAAGTATGATTGGTCAAAACCGGGTCACATGTCGTGGGATATCTGGCGATATTCAATGGTAATGCTAATCAGATAAGACAACCGTGAGATATCTAGCGATATCCCACGCTCCCGGGAATTTTCAAAGAATTTGTTTTCGTTCAGTGTAAATAATTAAGTTCAGTGTAAGTCAAAATGACAGACGAACCGAGTAGATTAAATTTGAAATATATGTATTTCAATGTTAACCTATGACTTAATAATATTAGGGATGTTTAGCTAGACAGTGGTATAATAAAACAAATATTTCACTCTATTTTCGGTGAATACCTGTAGCACTTTCACAAGGTGATATTCCACTTGCCCTTCGGGCTTCGTGGAATATCACTTGTGAAAGATGTACAGGTATTCACCTCAATAGAGTGAAATATTTGTTCAGTATTTATTTGTAAATTATTAAATGAATATGATTTAAAAAATCTCAAAATAAATACAATACTAAAACAAAATGTAGTAATTACTAAAAGCATTCAGTATCGAATCATATGTATTCACATTAGAACAGAATTATCAAATTAAAATACTGATTTGTAATAAACTCTAACCAATTTCGTGTTATAACATGCAATTATGAATTAATATAAAATGTATAAAATAGATTTATATCTTGTTTTTAACGTCATTTTATATTTATAGTTAACATTTTATATTTCATATTTAGATTTAACATTTGCAAAGTAGGCTCTATAATGCATGTCTTTAAGTTTGAATATTGTACTTTTTTAGATATACAGAGGTTATGTCGATGACCCAAGGAACACAGACAATTCGTGGATGGAAACTGTGGCTTTTAACTTCAATGATGATGATGGTACCAGTGTTGGAAAATTCAATCTACATGCAGGTGGGTGCCTTTTATTTTATATGATTCATTTATTATGTTACCATCGCAAGTGGTGACGGCGTCTGGTGGTCGGAGTTTGGTGTCTGTAACAAATGACAGGTGGTGACATTTTGCATGTTAATGCCTTGTTGTACATTACGATAAAAATGCATGGGAATTTTAGAAGCTCATCCTCCATTTCATTGCCAAAATTTAAATCAAATAAGATTGTAACTAATTTTTTTGATGTACCATGAATCAAACTGACTTTAATGCGAAGTCAGTTTATTTTTACGAAAACGAACGTGAAAATACTTTAGGTCCTAAGCTATACGATACTATGTCAAATTTAGGATTTGAAGAATTGATAAATACTCCCACCAGAATCACCGAGACTTCTGAATCTTGTCTTGATTTAGTATTTACTAACTTCCCTGGATTAATAAATTCGACCGAAGTCCATGCTCCTATAGGGAACAGTGATCACAGTACAGTCCTGACTAATATAAATATATCCCCACATTTTAATAGTGAGCCAAGTAAGAAAAAGACCTGGCAATATAAAAACTGCAACTTAGATAATCTTAATAATCTCATTTTAAATCAAAACTGGCATGATATTATTGCCACGGGAACTGTTAATGCCTCAACTCAAGCTGTCACTAACAAACTGACATCTATTTTTAATGATAATATACCATTTAAAACTAAAATTTCAAAATCAAATGATATGCCATGGTTCGATAACGAAATTAAGATGGAGTTAAACAAAAGAGATAAATTATATAAAAAGTTCAAACGAAATAATACAGAAATAAATAAAACAAACTACAAGGACCAAGTAAAAATTGTAGAACAAAAGGTAAAATTACTTAAAGACAATTATGAAAATAAGATTTGTGATGACCTTCAATCCTTTTCTTCTGGCAGTAAATTTTATTGGCAAGCTATCAAAAAACTCCTTGGTACTAGATTCACTCCAAGCATTCCAACTTTGTTTAGCTCTGATCTGACACGAGTATTTTCAACCGACAATGATAAGGCGACTGAATTGTTAAACCATTTTACCAGTAAATTCCACCACGATTTTGATTTTGACCAAAGGGACCTGCCTATTCTCCAAATGCGAACGAACAAAATTTTGACCAATATTTCAACAAACAGAGAGGAAGTTAGAACTCTCTTACTAGATCTTAACCCCTCCAAAAAGGAAGGACCCGATGGTATTACAAATAGGATGCTTCTTATGACAGCGTCGACGATTGATTTACCGCTATCATTGCTTTTTAATAGAATTTTAAACGAACAATGCTTTCCAGACATATGGAAACTCGCCACTATATGTCCTATTTTCAAAAATAAAGGAGTACGTTCAGATAAAGCAAATTACCGTCCAGTTTCATTATTAAATACAATATCCAAAGTATTTGAGAAAGTCATCCAAAATCGAATTTTGACCCATCTCCTTGAAAACAATTTACTTTATAATAACCAATCTGGTTTTTTACCCGGTCACAGCACCGACTTCCAACTTATAGCAATAACAAATTTTATTAATGAATCTTTTGACCGCCACTGTGACGTCAGAGGAATTTTCCTTGACGTAGAATCTGCCTTCGACAAAGTCCCGCATGCCCTTTTGACTCATAAACTAAAATCATATGGTTTTGGTGCTGACACTTTGAATCTCATAAGCTCATATCTTAAAAATCGAAAAGTTCAAACTAGAGTAAACGGAATCTTATCAAATTTATCAGAAGACAATTACATAAACAGCGGGGTGCCTCAAGGGAGCCAAATTGGGCCGATCCTTTTCTTATTATACATAAATGATTTACCGGAAGTAATTGACTCAACATCTTACATCTATGCAGACGACACCTCCATTTACTTACCTGTACCTAGAGATCATCCAATTCAGAACACTCACGAAATCCTCCAAAAAGATCTTGACAATATTTTTAAATGGTCACAAACTTGGAAAATGAACTTCAAGCCTTCAAAATCAAAAGAAATAATATTTTGTAAAGAAACCGTCTTTGATAGGCCATATCCAATTTTGACACTTAATAACAATTCAATTGACCGAGTCGATTCACATAAACATTTAGGCGTAACTCTTGATAAAAACTTAAACTTTAAAACTCATATAAACGAAGTCCGAGCAAAAATTGACAAACTACTAAATCCCCTATCAGCATTGAAAATGAGAGTAAACTCAAAACATCTTGAAACAATGTACACTTCTTTCATCCTCTCTAAAATCGAATACGGCTCTTTAATCTATGGTTCGGCGTCGCAAGGTGCTCTGGAACAACTAGACAAACTCCATTACAGAGCAGCCCTGATAGTTTCCGGGGCGATTTATGGTACGTGCAAGCAAAAATTATATAAATGTTTAAACTGGAAAACCCTAGCGGAGAGAAGAGAAGAAAAACAAAGTATTCACATGTTCAAAGTCCGATCAAATTTGACCCCCTCTTATGTAGTCTCTATATATGAAAAACTGTCCAATCCTGGTGCCGAAAGGGAGCTCCGCTCCAGAAGAGAATATGTTTTACCAGTGAGAGCGTCTGTGAAATACCTAAATTCACCAGCCATAAAGCCTATCTCCATTTGGAAAAATCTTTCAACTGAAATAAAAACATCGCCAACCCTAGCAATCTTCAAGAAAAACTATAATAAGAAATATACATTTCATAAAAAGAATATTTTAACAAAAAATCTTAATTTGAAAAGGTCTTCTGAAACTAAACTTAATAAAATAAGAAGCGACCTTGCCCTTAAAAGTGACTTTTTTAGACATAATTTCAACAACATCATAGATCCTTCTTGCCCCTGCGGCCACCGAAATCAAGATAAGATTCATCTTTTACTCGACTGCCCTCTAACCGCCATACATAGAAATGATTACATACAGAACATCCTAAAGTTAGACAATCTTGATATTATGTGCTATTTTGGAAAAAACAGAAAGCAAAAAATAGAATTTATACTTTATGGAGATGAAAATTTAAATAGTGAACTGAATACAAAATGCCTTCAACTATCTTCAAATTATATCGATAACATCTTAGAATGACCATCCTCCTCATTTCACATCATCTCTCATTAACACTCATATACATCATCATGGGCAAGACCTGGTGGACGACCGTCTGTCCGTTGCAATCCTACACACTCCAGTGATTTATTATATGTTTTTAACTTTCTAGAGGGGGGCCAATAATGCTATGTAGCCTCGGCCCCTCACAATCTATGTAAATAATTATGTTGAATATTATAGAAATAAATAACAATAACCTATAAAAAAAACTGCAGGTGGCGTATGATGGTTCATCATAGGCAATTCAATTACTGTATTATCTAATTAATTTGAAATAAATCAAACCTTTTCAAATGAAAGGTTGGAAATAGAACATTATTAGCCAAGGAAAAATAAAAAAGGGCGATCCATACATATAAATGTAGTCTGGGTGATCGCTGGAAACTTTCATAAAAATACTACATTGTCAGAGTAAAGTTTCTAGAACTACCACTACCTACAACCTGTACAATGCCCAGGCGATTGGTAGTAGATGCTATATGTACGACTATGAAAGGAAAATAAAAACTATGCTAAAAAATAAAAAATAAATAAAGTTTCTCCAATAACAACCCATAAATTGTAAAATGAATTGTATTTTGATTTCAGGGGATGATGCAGTTGGCGTAAAATGGACAGATATTAACAGTGAAATAAAACTGTATGCTAGCCACAAAAATTTCATACACGAGACAGCCAAAAGGCTAGGAGCAGATTGGTGATAGATGATATTAAAATTTATTACCTGATAGTGTAATTCTCTGCAATCTTATTGGCCTATGTGACGTGACCTCTATATAGCTAGTATTTACCCAGGATGGAATTCAGATACCATGGATTATATTTAGCACTAATGGTGTTTAGTATTTCTTATGAACTCAAAATATCATCATTTGTAGAAAAATTGAAATATCATATATGCCCAATATACCATAGAACTATAAAAAAAACATAATTCAGCAATTTTTCATGTAGTTAAACAATTGAAAATACAGATAATACACCATTGAACAATATACCATGTTATGGCATGGCCATGTTTTAGTGGTAAAGAGTGAACCAGCAAGGAATTTTAGAGAAAGATGGTCTTAGAACAAGTCTCTGGAACACCCCCCCCCCTTCATCCCCATTTCACGAGGACTATGGAAGTGTATAAAGAAAAACATTGATTCGAACTCATATACAATTCATCCTTCTGTATTAGGATAAAAATTATACACATAATGCAATTTGGGCTAGATATATATGTTGTCAAAGACATACGATGTCACAGACACGTGATGTCACAGACACATGGTGTTACAAACCATATGGTGTCTAAAACATACCATGTCATTTCTTCATTATTTTACATGCTCCCATTCTTGCTTTTTCTGTTCTTTCATGATATTCTTAATACTTGTGTATATATGCTATAGGGGATTAATTGTTACCACAATTAAAGCACATGTATTTCTAACCATGACGCTAGCCATGACTGTTTTAAGATACAGAGGTTGAATTGAATTTTGTAATCTATATCAACTACATTGACTTCTTAGTACACAGCCAATATAATTCAACGCCGTTTCGGCATCGAAAAAATTCGGCACTGTTTCGACACCGTTCCGGCACCGAAACCTTTCGACACAAAAATTTGCTACCAGACTAGTCAGTCCATTTGGTGCCAAAACGGCACCCAAATTTGGCACCGAAACGGCGTCGAAAATGAGATTGCATTTTGGGGTTGTAGGCCAGTGTAAATACAGTAAAACCTGTGTATATCGAACATTTTTTGCCAAGAAAAAATGTTCAGTGTTGGAAGGTGTTCACTACAGAGAGGGTAATTACAGAAGTCATTAGAGTATGTGCGGTTGAAGGGTGTCTACTAGAGACAGGTGTTCACTAGAGAGAGGTGTTTACAAAGACAGGTTTTACTGTAGTATTGTTGTAATTTGAGGTTATGTCACTATCGTGGCATATATGCCCGAGGTCTCAGTGATATATGGCCCGATCTTGGGAGGGACATTGATCTCTGAGAACCGAGGGCATATGTGCCACGATAGTGCCATAAATGATTTATAACATACTTATGATGATGTAGACTGGTCAGAGAGTACCGTTTTCTTATAGAATTGACAAACAAATGGTTTGAAAATGATTGAAAAGAGTTAAGAAAAATTGCTCTTGATGGTTGGTGCTACACAAAGTGGAAAACAGAACTTACAATTAATAAAACCATAGGGAACTAGAACTACATTGTATTGCTTCATAATCTCTTTAATCCAGAAAATATACAGTATATCACAAAATAATACAGGATTTCATAGTCCCTATATATGTAAGTTTGCCGATTGAAAAGGGTAAGTATGTACTTTTTGGCATTTTATGTCACCACCAAAAAATGGTGACATATTGTTATTGCTACTGTTTGAGTGACTGGTAGTCAGAAATTATTAGCACATGTATGATTGTAACAAAATCTTATTCTAACCTTACCAGATGGCGACATTTTGTCACGTTATCTTTATGCCTAATGCGGGTCACATTTGCTCTGATTCATCGGCTTGGGCCCCGCCGATTGAGTATCCTGTTCACAATTGTATTCAGTTTTGAACAGAATACTCAATTGGCCGGGTGCCGGCCGATGAATCGGAGCAAATGTGACCCAGGCATTACATACATATCGGTATTCTCCCCAAGGATTTTTTTCTACAGTAAGACCTGTCTAATCTGAATGGCACTGGGACTGGCCAAAAGTGTTTGTATTGCCCAGTTGGCAGTTGTTCACATTTTGAGATATTTTGAACATGAAGTCTGTGGCAGATACAAAAAATAGGATAGAAAAAGGTGTTCACATTGAGAGCGTTCAGATATACTGGTTTCACTATTGAGCATTTTCACAATTGGTAATAGGGTTTCAGGTAGGTGGAAGCAGGTGTAATACAGTGCCCTCTTGTTCCAATGTTGGGGAGGATTCTAATGTTGGGGAGGATTCCAATGTTGGGGAGGATTCCAATGTTGGGGAGGATTCCAATGTTGGGGAGGATTCTTATGTTGGGGAGGATTCCAATGTTGGGGAGGATTCTTATGTTGGGGAGGATTCCAATGTTGGGGAGGATTCCAATGTTGGGGAGGATTCTAATGTTGGGGAGGATTCTTATGTTGGGGAGGATTCCAATGTTGGGGAGAATTCTTATGTTGGGGAGGATTCTTATGTTGGGGAGGATTCCAATGTTGGGGAGGATTCTTATGTTGGGGAGGATTCTTATGTTGGGGAGGATTCCAATGTTGGGGAGGATTCTTATGTTGGGGAGGATTCCAATGTTGGGGAGGATTCCAATGTTGGGGAGGATTCTAATGTTGGGGAGGATTCTTATGTTGGGGAGGATTCCAATGTTGGGGAGGATTCACTCTATATAAAAATGGCTTTACATTATGATTATTACCAGTACTTTTTTGAAGCTTAATTTCCAAAAATGCTTTACGAAACCTCTCTGTAGATTATAAAACTTATTTAGTATGTTACTCTTCAATGACTAGTGGCTAGTTGTATATTCTTTATTATTACAGTATATTGTAATTAAGATAATATACATGATATATTATATTCTGTGATATGCCTATTATTATAGGTGAATAAATCATTCAAAATATTCATTTATATCAGAGTTATTTTGTTAGTATATGTAGTTTGATTGTTGGCTCGCGCGATGATCCTATGGAATTGTCTACTTGTCCATCAGTCAACAATTTTCAGACATATGAAAACTGCTTACTGGCCTCTCATCTGAACTAAAGTTAGTCTGAAAGTTAAAAGCATCCACCTTAGCTGGTATACCTGACGAGGGACACAACATTTTAACATTGAACTTTAGATTACTGTAACTCGAAAAGTAGTGGAGCGATTTTGTTCATATTTGGAATGCAGTGGTTTCAGTAACTTTGTGTACAAGGGGCAGATGAAAAATAGAAGAGGCGGCATTCAAAATAACCAATTTTACGCTCCCGACAATGCAATTCTTGTTATTTTAGAGTCCATGGACTGAAAGAAAGATGTCCAAGGTTTGTCAAAGTCATTTCCATGTGTGATGTGGCAAGACATGGGCTCCACAAAATAACACCTGGAACTGTGGAATGACTAGGGCAACTTATATAGAATGTCATTTACCTTTTATAAGATGACTTACCCTTACACAGGTTGCATTTCACAAATCCAAATGCACCTGTTGAATTGAACACTTATAAATCAAAATCTAGAATTGTCATTATTAAAATGAGAGTGATGTATTAATAGATGATTCACTTGTGATTATGTGTATATCAGATTCATTTTAAATATGCACCAATTGTCTTCACAATTTTACATAATGTACCTTCATGTTTTGTGACTAAAATTGCCGAATTACATATTTTTTGTCGAAACTGATTTAGAAATCGGCCGATGACTACTCATCGGCCGGCGCCCGGCGCATATGTGGCCTAGGCATTAGAGAGAGACCGAGGTGGGAGATATCCCCCTCCCCTCTACACCAAACTTGTTCTCACTACGTTTTCGATAATTGCCTGAAAGGCTTCGTCACACATTATTAAGGAAAACATATCTACACATTTTGCGCATTTAACCATTTGATAACATATTGTGGATCTTAACTTAATTTGTAAATGTGAATTCGCACCCTCATTTGCATGGAAGACTTTGATAAAATCCTTTTTTGATGATTTTTGTTAGAAAGCTGATGTTTGGCTAAGCTTCGAAATTCCAAATTGAACAGTCTACTAAGAATACCATGTTGTAAATATTGTTTTCTTTATAATATGTCGAGCTAGGACTGTAGGACTGCTCAAAGAAATTCGCTTTTTGTAGCTACAAGTATTTAATTCCAATAGATGATGAACTTCTCAATATAAGAAATTACCCTCATAAGACATTGTTGCAAGGTGTGTCGCAACGAATGTGGCACCCCTTATTTCCGGGCCCGCATTATGTATTCTCGAAGAAAGCCATCATGATAAACCATGACATCTCATTTCTTCTCAGCCCTGTGTTTCAGGTGAAACAGAAGGATGCCATGAGTATCAGAATGGAAGAAAGCATATATTTGCATTGATGGTGTATAGATAGTTATTTTATATAGTGTTTCTAGTTGTACGTGGAAACCTATTCTAACCAGGAAGGATATTGCAACTTTTTTCAAGATCCTAAAGTTGCAATTCTCGTTATTGTGTTTCATTGTTAAGACGCACCTATGAAAGTGAGTCGCTGGTACAAAGGCGTAGTTCTACATAAATTCAAGAGTATACACTTTTTTTAAACTTGTACGTGAACGTGTAGAATTATGGACCTAGTGGATTTTTTCTCCCTTTTGTACTGTTAATAGTTGGCCGGTTGAGTATATAAAGGTATACATGTCCCAGCTTTTGGTAAGTGGGGGGGGGGTCAAATGTGGGCCATCCACACATACACTTTTTATCATGCTTAAAGGGTGACGCATATCGTTTAGCAAATCGAACGCTCGTTTCTGGTGTTGCTCACCGTTTAGTATAAAAGGCCCGATCCCGGAATAATACTCAAGGGTTCACAGGTTCGTGGTCGTTGTGTCAACACCTCTAACTGTTATATAGCATAAGTATATTATAGATCGTCACACATTTATAAAAGGGTGATTTTTATTTTGACAAATCAATTCCACATTTATGGGTGAAGTCTCAGGATCTTCTATTTGTGTATAATAAGGAAAAATTGGCATCTAAATTTCCCCATAACGTAATAGCACACAGCTTGGCATCTGAAATATCCTACAAATGAAACAAAGCAAGACAAACCGGTTTCTAATACAAGAATTTATATTGGCTGTTGTACATGTATTATTTGAACGCAATCACTCTTTGGATAACGTTTTCAAAATCATTATAAACGGATTACTTTATCTCAAAGACAATTTCAATAAACTGGATTTTACAGAACTCCCCTTATTTCTTAAAAATGGACTGATCCAGTTGATTCGCCTGGAGCCGCCATATTGTTTTTATACGGGATGCTAATCGGAACCCTTTGAGTAACTTCGCATTGTAATTACAAGGGTGTTATAAACGAGACACCAGGATGATAAAGTAGGGGTACAATATATTTTTAGAAAATTGGGGCCCAAATCTTGAGAAAGAGTCGGAGGCATGCGAGGCGAATCCTGGAAACTCGGGTTCGGGAAAGCGGGGTTCACTGTTTGGTTCCGTTGACACCTGTGCGAAACTACATTCATAATTTATCCGACAGTCGCTTTGATAAGTCTGGCTTCAGGCTGAAAAGTAGAGGTCTTGGGTTCAAACCCAGGTCACAGCACTTCTTGTGATTTGTCTTTGACCTATGACTGCTGACCTGTACCGGCGATTACTAGAGTGCTGCTTACTCGATAAAAGGCTGGCGCTGGCTAGAATTGTCTATGGTTCTAGCCAGGATAAAGATACCAGTTCTTCAACTCGACAATGGGAAGAACTGCTCTACCTTAGTGACTAATATGTCATTATATGACATCTAAAGAGTCAATAAAAGATATATATAATGTTTCTTTATCTCGTCTGCGACTCGATAAAGAAGAATTATTAAATCTCATTAAGAATGGACGATCTTGCACAGGTGCTCATATAAGAACCTCTATATCTTTTTAACACCAATATATAACGGACACACTATGTTAAAATTAAAATGTTATATCTAATGTGCCAATTTAATGATTTAGCATATCGAAAATATTTTCAACTTAAGTGACCACATCGTGACATCACTTAGGTGGCAACATTTTTCATTGTCAATCTTTTCTAAATATGCTAAACTTAAAAAATGAACCAATTTTGACTGTCTAACCAGGTTAAAAGGATGAATATGTTTTTAATATTGGTTTACCATTGGTTTCTATGAGAATTAAAATTTTGAAATGCATCATTCCCTGAACCACTTTCATGCATGGATGAGTTCATTGCTCGCTCATCTATCAACCAATTTTCTTGATTTTGTCGGCAACAAGATCGCTGAATAAAATAAAGGATAGTCTATAGAAGACTTTTATTTCCCCCAAAACTTAGACAATATTTGACTTCTAACAAACGGTGAATTATCGAAAACAAACGGCGATTTTGGACACTCGCCCCCTGCTATTGAAAGCCCAGGGAATGTGAATACTATAAGCATGGCACACTGTCTAATGACACTTTTGGTAGGTGGTCATTTTGAAAAATGACTGACATCTTTGCTATTTACTTTGTAAAAATGCCATCCATGGCTGTTCGATGGGATTTGCTACGCTTTGGCGTTGCTGTTGTCTAGTTCTGCTTTGCAATACTTCGATGGTCACCAAAATTTTCACCTGATTGTAATTGACTTATATTTTATTCACCCTATGCACTATAGTAATCATGAGATGAAGTGCTTTAAGTGTCTCCCTCTATACAAGTACAAGAAATTTTTATTTCAGTTTCTTTGTATTTTATTTAGAAAATCTGTATTACAATATTCCATTCAGCTTCAAATGCATTAATACTCTTTGGCAATTTATTGGAATTATTTTAAGATTTGGCCAACTCTATGCAGTTTTGGATTCATAAAATTTGGCATTAATGAAATATGATATTTTTTATTGTGTAAACCTTCATGTAACCATCAGCTATTGAATTGAGCATCTTGAAATGTCAAGTACTAATGTCTAGTACCAATGTTAAGTTTCTTTTAAACGATGCATTGACAAAAAAGTCACCAAATGCTGATTATAAAAGTACCAATGAGTGAACTAACTACAAATAGTCATGGCACACTTGAATCTGAATATAACTATAACATGCCTACATGTGTTCCTGTCTGATCAATTTGACTATGACTATAAAGCTTTCACTATGTAACATGCATTCTAATTCCCGTAATTCATTTCCATGGTAACAGCTATTATGTGGCCTAAAGCATTGTATACTAACAGGGCATTTAGAACCATGGTCCCTAAAATGTACATAATGCAGAATATGTCATGGTTTTAACTACCATAAAAACAAAGCACAGTGTGATTGTGAACAATACAATTGACAAAAATTGAAAATGGCTGCCTTAAAATTCAATTTACCCAACATGCTCAAAAATTAATCTGCTCTAGCGTTTCATACCAAGAAGCATTTTCAAACAATTGAAGCAATTTCAAATCTATCCATCACGTGGTTGTCTGGAAATGTGCAGACAAGAATACCAATCCTTTTTACGTATGATATACAGGGTGTCCATAGTCTACACTTTACAGATTGTAATTGTAGACTTTATGGATACCCTATATTTCAATATACACAGTTAAACCTCTCAAGTTGAACACAATCTAAATAGTAAAATGAACACCTTTAAAGTCCAATTTTGATCCATTCCATTGATGATGTCAAATTCGCTTACAATCTTAAGCCTTTCATCTCAAAAATAAAGATCAAAAATGGTAGTCTTTACTGGGTCCTTAAGCGTTCCCCTTATAGAGGCTTTACTGATACAGAATTCTACGTGTCATATTCAAAACTATTGCACACAATTTCATCAAACTACATTTTATTGCAATAGAAGAAACTGAATCATATATTCGGTATGATGTAATTGGCAATTGGATGCTATGATTTTTTATTGATCTAATTCATTAAGTTTATTCAAAACTTACCACTGTGATGAATACCATATATATTTACAACTACCACTCGAATTGTAAAAAAAATGCATGTAAAAACCAATACTGAATAATTACATAGGAAGCGAAAGTCAATCAGATATTTGCCAGATCACTACTTAGAAGATTTTTTAATCAATCTAGTTATGATAACTGGTTTATGTTGACTCTTTAGAAAGCATTTACTCTGGACAAAGGCATTCACATGATAATGTAATGAATCAGGCTGAGAGCTTAAAGCCGAGGGGGCACAGGGCGTAGAGAGAAAAAAACTTCATCAAGTCGTTTTTTTCTCAAAACCCTTCTTTGAGCTAAAATCTCCTAAAGATTGTCCGAATTTAATTTTCTGGCCTGGTTCTACGTTAAACTGAAATGTGTCTGGCGCCTCAAAGATGAGCACGATAGTTGAGCCGAGATTAAACTCTCCAAAACTTTCGCCTTTCTTAAAGTTAATTCCAGCGTCATTATGATTGGTGTCTGTGAAACATGCGTCAAATGTTGTGCCTGGTGGACTGTTTTTATGGAGATGACTGTTTGTCATCAGATCCTGAAAATAAAAAATTCTATGAAATCTACAATAGGCTATGAAGCATTCAATCTTCAAATAATTTTACCTCGCAAAATTAAATTTACCGAATCAAATGAATAGGCTACAAAGAATTTAATTAGTCTTGCTTCAAGACCCTGGACTATCTATTCTAACAACTGTGTCACAAGGGCTTGTAGCTAGACTAGAATTCAATTTTCAAATTACAATACGTCATAAAATCAAGTCCTAGAACTGGATCAAAATGAACATGAACTTGAATAATAAGGTGTGTTAAGGTATAAACAATGTTTTGCATGGAGAAGGGTTAATCATTTTTCTTCCTGAAAGTTTAGTCAAGAGAAATAAAACAAAACACAGGGTGAACAAGGTCACACCCTTGAATAGAATACCAAGGAAGTTTGGCAATATTATGATGAATTCAATTTTCAAATTATAATACAAAACTAAATCCTACTAATTCAAATAAACATGCATTTGAGAGTAGTTTTGTAAAAGAGTGAAGCATCCTGCATGTTCTGAACATCTTGTTTACCTTATCACAATAAACTTTGATAGAGCCAACATTCGTAGCACCAACTGCTGCCAAACTGAAGAATCCATGCTGCCATTCTCCTGTGTAAACAGCTCTCTCATTAAAGTTAAATAAACCTTGAATCCACCTTGCTACTCCTGGGTTTACACTGAAGAGCTCTCCTGTAATAGAGGTAATAATAATAAATAAAAATGATAAACAGCTCTCTCATTAAAGTTAAATAAACCTTGAATCCACCTTGCTACTCCTGGGTTTACACTGAAGAGCTCTCCTGTAATAGAGGTAATAATAAATAAAATTTTCAATTTCCTTAAAATTCATTACAACAGCCAAAAAGCTGTAGAACTTGTTACTATTGCGCAAATATAAGTAAACTTTGAACTGAATTTAATGAACAACTCTTTCCGTGCTATGATTACAAGAAATATAATGAAAAGTTTAAATGACTTCCTAATAATGCAAGATGGCTGCTAAAAAGTTAATCAGGTCTACGATTGAAGACTGTCGAACAGCTCTGCTTAGAAATGAATCCTATGAGCAGTTTTTCTGGAAAAAACCCACTCAAAATGGCCAGCACAAAACATTTTCCAAGTAGGAAAACACACTTTCCACGTACAAAAAAGATGCATTGATATTTGGCCTTTACTGCTAGTGGCTTAGTAACTGTTAGCTCACCTGGAAAATGTCGCCTGAAGTGCACGTTCCATTCAACAGGAGAATGAAACCTATGGTAATCCCCTGGAGCGAGGTAGATAATACAATGATAGAGGGCAGTGTGATCTGGATTGTGCTTCAAACACTTCTGGAATGCGTCATCACTTTGAGTCCCACAATTCTCGCCAGTTGGTCCAGGAGGAGGGCCTAAGAAGCCCTGGAGGGAATATGTGACACCTTTCACTTGTTCAACATAGCCACCTTCAACTTTCCCATAATGCAACACTTTTCCATCAGACGGACTAGTCTAGAAAACAAATGTAAAGATCTAAATACAAACAAGAATTAACTACAGTATACAAAACATGCAAAATGTCACTACCTGCCATTTGTTACACATACTGAACACCCAACACTAATCACCGTCAACAAATAAGTTAGAGACTATAACAATATGTCACCACCACGAAATATGAAAACATATTTTGTAAACAATTCTTGATGGGACTTTAGTAATTAAGAAAATTTAGGAAATAAATTTAGACTCAGTGGCAAAAGCAAAAATTACATTATGTATAAAATAATACTTACAATGGAAGCTGTATGTGCGATGGGACGCACATTCGGTTTTAGAGATCGCCGGAAAAATTCCCCAAGATTTTTATAATGCTTTAAGTCTTCAATAGCAGCCTCTAAAATTAAATGACAATCTATTACAATATTTCAGGAATATTTCTAAGAATAGTATACAAATATTTAATTCTATTGAGTTGAATACCTGCGCATCTTTCACAAGTGAATCGTAATATTCCACTAATTCCACCGAAAATAGAATTAAATATTTGCTTTATTATTCAATGTTATATTCCTCACTCATATTAATGGAATAACAAACTATTGATATCTAATAAATCATAACAATGTATTCCGGGTACATGTATATACAAAATTAAAATTACACCGAACTAAGTCTTGATGTTGAATATCATTTAATATTCAATGGATGTCACGTGACTTTCGTTGAATATCCCTTGTTATTTTTCAGTCCTGTGTCATATATTACAATCAGGTGTTTTCATATTGTTAATAAAAATTAAATCTAGGTTCTACAAAATCTCTAATCTCTACACATACTTGCAATTCTGTAAGAACAACTTAGACACTACTTATGATAGTGATTTATATATTTAAAGACATGTCATACATAAATTATATAATAAAAATTTTTGAGAATTTTTATCAATCACCCACCTTCTAATTTACAGTCGAACATCCAAATATAGAGTTTATAGGCAGGCTGCCTAAGCCACATAGGTAGATCAAGGCTGTTGAATTTACCCCATGCTCGAGACATCGCCTTCAGAGGCATACGTTTATATAGGGACACCTAAAATAACACAAAAAATGGTCAAATGAACAAGGCATTAACATGCGAAATGTCACCACCTGTCATGTGTTATAGACACTGAACACCAACCAGCATCCAAAAAAAAGTTGGAGACTAAAACAGTATGTCACCACTTATGGTGGTGACATGAAAATGGTCTACTGAACAGGATAAATATCAATGTTGTGACATTCCTCATCTTCTTCAGACAAACTTCACCAAAAAAATCTGTTCATAGAATTTTTCTGAATTTTCCTTCATAAAAATCTTTCATATAAAAGTCTGGATGCATATATTAGATCATTTCTGTTTTAGCATAAGCAGTGATCTCCCTAGCATTAAAGCAAGAGGGTGCAGCACCCACCTGAGATTTTTAAAACAGTTACAAATCAGTTATTGCAAAACAGCCCATATTTGGAATATTTATGAAAATACAAAGCATTTACTTGACAATATGTTACCACATTGGAAGAACAACAGTTCAGACATGGAAATCAAATGGTGAAAACATAAAAATGAAAGCCCATTTATAACACATCAACTCAGAAACGGATGCAAGTATGAATTTTTTTTAAATCTCAATCAACAACTATATAGAATCAAATGGAAATTGGAAGTTCAACTTTTAATTTCTTACGAACAATTCAATCTCAAATCAATGCCAATGTTTCTTAATTTAATGGATTTATCGCCATACACATTTTTTTAACATTTGTTTTACTTGAGGGTATAAAGTAGGGTTCTTAGGTTTTCCCGTTCTTACCCCTTTATTCAATCTTTTTCTATTCACTGATCTACGTGAACTCTTCCAAGGGCCTCGTTCTGAATTTCTTAAGGAACCTCGTTCTGAATTTCTAAAGGAACCTCGTTCTGAATTTCTCAAGGAACCACGGTCTGAATTCCTTAATGAGCCTCTTTCTGATTTTCTCACTGAGCCTCGATCTGGCTTATGAAACGACAATGGTCTAACTGAGGATTTTCGCCATTTTTGCACTGGCCACCAACTGCGTTCTTTGGGCCATAACATTGTTAATCCCATATTACCAAACTGATTTTTTAAGCTTTTTCCAACTTCCGTCGAAGGTAATCCCTTAAAGAGCATATCAGAGTCATACGTCAGATATGAATTCTGCCAGATGTTATATAAATTGGCCTTTGTTTGTTTAATTCCACTCGCAATTAACGTAAATAATACTCCAAAATATCTCCTTCCTTGTTGTAGATGCTGGCCTTCATTATAAATCTGCGCCATATCTCTAGAACTACGATTACACTGTTTACCAATTCAAAGCCACGATGTCAGTGTTTATTTGCTTGTTAAGTATACTATTTATCAATGTTGTTTATTTGGACTATTAAGTCTTCATATGTTGACCTTTGTTTGTACTCTCTTTCCTTTTGTGTTCTAAAATATCATTATTAATACATACAGTAAACATGGTTATTTTCTTTCTATTATTTGTACTTCAAAAAACTGTTGATGACATTTCATATTTTGATACTGTACTTCTACTTAATTTGGCGATACTTATAATCAATTTGCAATTAATATTCTGAATGTTTCTCAAAAAATTATTACAAACAAATTAGAATCAAAATAAGATGAAAAATACCACGTTTACTATATTGCACTTTTGAAAAGATAAAATCACCATTGAAATATTCCTTTTACTTTGTTTTGATATTATTCACTATGTTACTCCAGTTGAGGGTAACCCCTCAAATTAGTAGTGCATCGATTTTAATAAATAAATCGTATTCTGTATAGTACATATAGCCTTTCTGGTGATGAAAGAAATTATAGAGGGCATCCTTCGAGAGGTAAGGGATAGAATGGATGGTGAAAAGATCAAAACAGAACACTCCATGAGATCAGCTGATGTTGAGTTATAAAGGTAACGACTAAAAAACAATTTATAGTTGATGACTCAACTTTTGGACTTTATATAGATCATCATGCGACACAGGTGCACACGTACCTTATTAATGAGGATTTAGTGTTGCGACCTGACCCTCATGTGTCGCTACTTTTCCCAAGTCAATTTGGTTATCCATATGCATAAATAAATGAACCCCTTTAACCCCTGTCCCTACACATACCTGGGATCTTGAAGTTTATCGGCTGGGTTAGGTATTGTGATAGAAATGAAGAATATAATCAAAATTAGTTAATATCTAGAATTTTTTAATATAAATTTAAAAATTAATAGTAGACTATGGGAGAGAGTGATTCAACAATCAATTAAATAAACAGACATGTAATCAAGACTCCAGATATGCCAGAAAAATTATCATTTTTTGAGAAAAAAGCAGCATAGCATTTGCACGACTGAACTTAGAAATTCAATGCAAGGGTATTCAGACATATATTATATGGCAGTCTAATCGAATGATTGAAGCATTTCAATAAATTAAGTTTAATACATTTATAATGGCTCTTGAAAAAAAATACAGCAAAAACTATTGCACTGATTTGTGTGTTCAAATGTTGCCATTTGTGCCGTGAAAAATATCCAAAAAGCATACAAAGGTTTACTTTTTGAAATAGATCAATAAATTACTTTTTCAGTCCACATATCTTGCACTTCAAAATTATAATCTTTGTGATTTACAACAATTAACTCTTAAATGAACTTTAGTGCCACTCTTTCTAAAACAAAACTGAATTAACTAACTGATCTTCAAAATTTTACACAAATTAAGAATTTTTTTCTACATTCCTGTTCAACTTATTCCTTGCAAATTCTATTCTTTTCTCGCACTTCACTCTACATTCTATTTTAATCGTGAACATTTTCATGTGGGCATTAAGTTAATGTGACCTTGAGGTCGACATGATGAGTTACAGTGTCACCTCTTTGGTGAACAAAGTACAATATATGATCAAGATCAAAGTACAATGTTCAATGTTCAAGTGATTGTTCCAGGCAAAAACTTGGCAATTAATCAGGCAAAGAAAATATAAAAATATAATAAATTGTACTCCTGGGAACTTTCAAAACTATTTGTGTGATTATCCCACTACTATTTTACCATATTTGGCAATTTCTCAAAATTTGTAACCAATAACCCAGATGCGAGTAGAAATAACCTTGATTAACGTCATTAAAAATTCAAAATTCAATCAAAGTAATATCATATTCGAAATCTACATGTAAAATTGCATCTAGAAATGTGATTTTAAAAAGTGTTTATCAACTTTGAAAAATTAATTTTCTTTGAAAATGGGACTTCTAGCTCGGGGAGATTCCCCATAGACCCCATGCTATAAAATCACAAAAAATGAAATATCTTTTCCTTTAGTGGACAGATAATATTTTGCTTTACTGGACATATTTTCATTAGTATAAGTATCAGACACATAAGGGTTATATGAAAATTGAGCCACTTAAATTGATAATATTGAAGTTTAAGGGAACTTTCTTATATACCTGCCATGTTAATTGACCCGAATCAGCCACCTGGTGGTGAAACTGGTAACTACCTACTCGCATTTGGGTAATTCAGTTTTTACAGTAATCCGAGTTCTATTAGAATGATTTCACCTTTATACTGAAATACTGTATATGCTTTTGGCTTTTGGTAGTAAGAGGAATTCATTCTTATAGCAATGACAGAATGATAATGACATAGTTCTAAAGAAATTATTAAATCCAGGAAATTTTGTAAAAATACATATCCGAAAATTCCTACAATCTGAAAACCTCTCAATGTGAACACTTTTCAATTCTTTTTTAATTTGTCATAGACACTCATGTTAAAAACCTTGAAATCTGAACATCTTTTAATATGAACACTTTTGGCCAGTTCCAGTGGCATTCCAGTTAGACTGGTTTCACTGAAAAATATATTTTGTAAAATTGGACTGTGTTCTTTACACATAGAACTAAGAAGACAAACCCTCAACAACAACAAAAATGTAGGTAGAAAAAATTTGGCATTGATCCCAGTGAGAAAGTGAAAGACATATGGCAAGATTAGGAATGATTTAGTACATCACTGATATGAATTCATAACTTAGCATGTTATAGCTAGGAAATTATTTTTCTACATATTATTCCCATTTTTGATAATCACTCGCTAATTGCAAATTGAAAACCGAAACCAAGTAAAAGTGGAATCTCGCGCAGATTGCCTCGAATTTACTGACTGATTCAGTGAAATTCTAGAAAATTAAAAATGCTTTCCCCTGTTGATTTCAAGATCCACCCCTCTGTACTATGTAGTCCTTATAATGCTTGCAGAACTGCAATAAAAAAAGCAGTAAATGCAGCCTTGCTGGTGTTTACTGATTGAAGCTTTAGACACGCCTATGCCCTATACTGATACATAAGATAAAAAGTATTACAATTCTCCAACTCTATTCGAAATCCCAATCCTGAGCTGTATTATTTGTATGATTTCCTTTGGGAACTCTACGAAGGTACCTTTCTACATTTTCCTATACTCAACTTGCATAGTAAAGTCATTTGCATTCATTAATACATCTCTGCTTGAGAAGCAAGGCTGCTCTCTTGATATTAACAATGTGGATTTTTCTATAAATTGATATTGCTTGTTCAGATCCAATGCATGTATCTCACCAATCCTAATACTTATACATCTTTGAAGACTGCATAGAAATCCATCCTCTGAATTTGCACATATCCTATGTTTAAGTAGCTCTATGGAATCCACATACAGGAGAGAAAATTCCAAGATCCAGTACAGATGTACTTATCACTGACTGTACTACAGACAGTATGCAGTCTAGTAATGTATTTGTCTAGTAAAACACTTCTACTGCATACAGACAGTTTTTGCCTGCAGTAGTCCATTCACCCATAAGATCTCCTTTTTTCGTTATCAGATCATCTGTATTTGATATTTACTTTTTCAAAAGATTATGAACTTGATTTAAATGGTATGATCAAATGCTTTTTTAAATGTGTATCATTTCAATTTATCAATGAAAATAGCACCCTGTAAACCTATTAAATAAACAGGGTTTACAGTAATATCATAATGTCTGGGAAAACTGCTATATCCCAGGAGGCTATTTAAGGTCACATGATATGATATAACCAATCAAAATAAAAAGCTCAACGTAGGATGAATAAATAACTGGGATTGGTATTGATTTTGCCAAATATGGTCAGATCAGCTGATCACCCCATATCCCTTAACATAAATAGTAAAATACTACACTTTCTTTCTACAGTTAATAAATGAAAAATACAAACAAATAAAATAAACATATTAAAGGTTAAAAATAATTCTCACATTTCAATAATTAAAAGGGGTAAAATGCATCTGTCTTATTTCCAGCAAAATAATATGTCAGGTGAATTTGTAGATAGATAATGTTATCAGTCTCACAACTCTCACTTGGGTCAGAACATGGATGATTGATGTTTCCAAGGCAACAGAGTCTGAGTCAGAAAAGCACAAATGTTTTTAATATGGCAATGTTGCTACTAGCAGTGCTTGCTTACTTACTTACTGTTTAACCCATTATTTCAGGCTTTTTGATTTCATTAATCTGTTTTGAGTAAACATAAATATCGATAGTATGGATTAAACTAAGGGGCCAGATCAAAAGTCCATTTTATTCAAGGAGGAGTCTATAGCTCAATATAACATGTATAAGGCATTAACATAAACAAAATCTCATCACTTGATTGCAATTAAAAATAAAATAGGATCCAAAATATCACTTTTTTACCTTCAGAAGGCCATTGAAGGTAAATTCTCAAATCTTAAGTCAGATTTGAAGTTCTGAGAACTTGTAGATGATGTTGAAAAAAGATATTAGGCCATTTGAAGTAAGTTGAAAAAAGACCTTTTTTGACCTTCAATGTCTACTTTTTGGTTGCCATGGTGACAGATATTAAAACTCACATACATGTTTATATATGTTGACAGTGAAAATTTGAAGTCAGCCTATACTCATTAAGTTATTGGAAGTTGTGAGAATTACATTCACTGACCACCGAACACAGTCCACAAAAAACTTGGAGACTACAACAATATGTCAACACTTCTGGTGGTGACATAAAATAAACTATGAAATACATAAGCAATGTTCTCAAATATTAACTGAATTACAAAATTATTAAAAAATTGATATTTTGATCCAGTCATAAATAATTATCTTTGAAAAATCAATAATGTTTTTTTGCCTCTGTTAATGACCGAGGTGCCAGTAGGTTGATTCAGGTCAGAAAATATGACAGACAATGACCGACATAAACTTGAATAATATAAAATATAGAGGATCAATTTTCACCTTACCTTTTTGAGTCTGATAAACATAATTTTAAATACGTTCAGCGAAAAATTATTTCATGATTATATAACATGGGCGCAATGGGAAATCACATTGAAGTCACATTTCCAAATAAAATTTAAAATTTGAATTTGAAATAAAAACCAGATATGGTATGGCAAATGATTTAAGACAGTTATATCTATTTATATGCATTTTCTCACCATAAATTCAACGTCTTATCAAAATAATGTTTTCATCCAATTGAGGTCCCCTGGGGCCCGTTTTTGCACCGTTCGTAATAATGAACGTTTGTAAGTCAATTGTTTAATTTGCAAATTCAATAAAGTTGTATTTTCATAACATTCGTAAAGTTTACGAACGATTCATAAAATTACAAAAATAGTGACGTCATGCCTGCTTTCGTTCGTAGATTTAATCGCACCTCTGACTTATTATCAACCCATTTCTATATGTACTTTAGTATTTTTCATGGAATCATTATTTTTATACAATTCTTATGGTAAGACTTTATTTTATTATTTTGATAAATCCTGTTTGTTGTACTATCTGTCCTGACAACTGTGGAATATGACGTCAATCCATTCGTCAATCCATTCGTTAATCTAGCTCAAGACAATTGAAAAAGTATGAATAAACTTATGAAAGCGTACAAAAATGGTCCATTCATAACTTCACAAATTCGTAACTTTTTAAGTATTAATAAATTACGAGTCACATTTTTGCTGAACCATTTGTTTAAATATTTAGACAAGGCATTAACATGACAAAATGTCAACACCAGTTGCTCACAATATGATGATTTTGAAAAAATGGTCAATTTGAAGCAAGTAGACAAAAAGGCTTTTTTTGACCCTCAAAATATCATTGAAGGTGGAATCTCAAATCTAAAGTCAGATTTGAGATTCTCAGAACTTCTGAGAACTTGACCTTGAGAAGGTCAATGAAGGTCAAATCTCAATTCTAAAGTTAGTTTTGAACTTCTGATATCTTGTAGATAATTTTGAAAAAAATTGTCAATTTGAAGCAAGTTGAAAAAAGACCTTTTCAACCTTTTTTTACCTTGAGAAGGTCAATGAAGCTCAAATATTAAGTCAGATTTGAACTCCTGATAACTTGTAGATGATTTTGAAAAAAAATTGGTCAATTTGAAGCAAGTTGAAAAAGACCTTTTCGACTTTTTTTGACCTTGAGAAGGTCAGTGAAGGTCAAATCTCAAATCTAGAGTCAGATTTAAACATCTGATAACTTGTACATGATTTTGAAAAATTGGTCAATTTGATTGAAAAATAATTGGTCAATTGGCCAACCCCCACCTGCCGATCACAAACCACCGTCAAAAAAAAAACAGAGACCATAACAACTGCATGATAAATTCAAATATCATCAACGGCCTGCACTTTTTTCACAGAGATGTTTTTTACTTGCTTTTGAAAGAATAGATGGCATACAGGGTGTTCCAAAAGTAACAGGACTGGTGCTGGTATTTTGTTAAATATGCACCAATCGTCTTGAAAATGTTACATAATGTACTTTCATGTATTGTTACTAAAACTGCAAAGTTTCAAAAAATATTATGAAATTCGGGTAGAGTTATGGTTGCTATGGTAACATGACATCACAATACCCGGGGCAACATTCCGCGCAGAAAATTACAGACGTTAAGCCTTTTGAACAACCCATATAAAAGTTGAAATGCAACAATTCAGCTGGTGAAAATTAGATTTACTTTACATCATTTGATATTCCTATTTATCACATGATTAGGAGTGTCTACGCATTTTGATTGGTCAATTGTGATGATGTATATTCCGTATCACATAATTTTCATGTGATACGGTGAGCTGAGTCAATAGCAACGATGTGACGTCACACTGATTATATCACTTCAAGCTAAGGAAAACAATATGACGTCATACTATTTCACAAAAAAGTACGAATACAACGGTATGACTTCATATTGTTTCAAAGCGAAATCAAAAATTATAATAGTCACCAGGAGTACAGAGTACTGAAAACAATCATAACTGACCAAATCAAAATGCCTCAAAATTCCTAGACATGTGATAAAATCGTCATCACACGTTTCAGCTTATGTGATACATGAAATATTCCACTCGGGTAACAATGTATCACCACTCAAGCTTCGCTTTCGTGGACGATACAGTATTACCTTTCGTGGAATATTTCCTGTATCACATGCCGAAACGTGTGATAACTGATAGTATCCTTACTTTGCAAAGTAGGCTCCTCCTCTTCTCAGTATAAGAGTAGCACTCTGGATCCATGATTCAAACATATAAGTGGACCAATCTGAGGACATGTCACACAGGGTTGATTGGACAACTAGGAGCAGGTCATTTTCATTTTTAAAGGTCTTACCACGCTGATTAGGATTCCATTCTCCATATAAGTAAAAATTAGATATTGCATGATCATAAGAGTATGGTGCATGGGTTTAGACATCAACACCTAGCTCCTCTATAGCTGCAGTGTTCTTTAATGCTGACTTGCGTGCAGGCGCGTTATCAAGGTGGATGACTGGCTTCAAATTGCATTTTTTCAATCTAACTCAATCCTTAGTTGTGCAAACTGTTATACGTAGTGATATTCCAGGAAATTGAATTAGTAAATAAATATTATTATTATGAAATCATACTTGGATCTGAGTTGAATAGCAACACCATTACAACAAAACAACTAATAAAACAAATAGGAAATGTTGTGTTGTAATAGGTGAATTAGATACTTTCTTCAGTCATACAAAAATGTTGAATATCATATTTTCATGAAAAAGTTGCCCCGGGTATTGTGATGTCATGTTACTATAGTAACTGTAACTCTACCCACATTTTATATTTTTTTCTGAAACTTCACAATTTTAGTTGTAATACTTCAAAGTACAATTTGTGAAAATTTGAAGACACTCTGTACAAATTTGACAAAATGCCAGCACCAGTCCTGTTACTTTTGGAACACCCTGTATAAACAAGGTTGATACCTTTACTAAAGAAAGAATCACAAGATAGAACACTGAATATTTTACCCATCTGGCATTGAAAATGAGGAAGATTGAAATATAACTTCTATATAACTTTTATTGACATCTTGTATCATAACATGATTACATTAGTCATAACTATGAAAAACTAAATATCTAAACTACAAATACTAACTAAAGCAAAAGTACAAAAATATATACGAGATATACAAAAACCAAAAATAAAAGCTAGTATACATCATGATGAAAGGACAAGGTTACAAGGTTACATTTAAAGTGTGGTGCACATACCCTGCATTCTGACTATAAATTCTTAAATGAATGATAAATAAATTTTCCAATGTGTCTTTGTAATGTTAAGTTTTTACTTGAAATGAGATTGACAAATAAATTTTCACTAAAGTTGACAGATACGACGTATAAGATAACTGATTGTCAGCCAAGTTATGGCTATAAGCTGGCTTTGGTGTCAAATGAAAGAACGCGTACTTGTACTTATCAATCCATTGAAAATACCTGGATGATGAAATTCAAATCATTTATATGCATCCAGTCACTTCATAATTAATGTCAATTTAAACCCACCATAAGGTTGAAATGGATATTTTAACATTTTTATGTGGGCATCAATTATGATTGAATACTTACTGTGGTACAAAATTAAAATATTTGAGCAGTTTACTTTACAATCAAATGTGGGGAAATGTTATATTCTCCAAGGGATACTACTGATTTTATTTTTGTGGAATAAATTATGTAAATGATAATATACTTGCCAGCCTAAAGCAAAAATCAAGGTAGATTCATGTTTTTAAGACTGGTGTTTGCAGGTAGATTTTTTCTGAATATGCCATTTTTCTGATAGACTAAAAAATTTAGATTTCTTTTCAAAAGTTTCCCAGTTTTCTAGATGACATTACATTTTGTTTTTATTAAAACCCAAATTAAAAAAGTATGTTTTATATGGAATTTTACTAACTTATAATCCTGTAGGTTGGCAAGTCTCTATGCAAATATATAAACCTACCTGCCAGTCTTTGGCCACTATTGCACTTGGCTCTTCAGCTTGATTAATTTTCCGTTTTTCTCGTTTTATGATGTGTCCTAACTGCTGGTAGCTAATATAAGCAAGGCCTACGCCAGTTGGAATCCAAACCCATTTTAAGGTACGTACATATCTTAGGAAAGGATTGCTCTGTGCAGAGTTGGTACCTGGAAAATTCATTTTCTATCAGTCACCTTCATGTTTAGGCAGGGTGACCTAAAATGTGGGCCAAATTATATCATTCAACTTCTATACTATATGTGGTATCAATTTCATTTTGTTTTTATATATTTTATCTCAAATCTATCTATGCATACTTTCCTAGCATAATTCAATATGAACTATATTTTTATCAATTTGCTTTATTCATTCTAATATGCAGTGTGTCAAATAAATATGTTCTCTCCCTTAATTTCAAATGTACTTTTGTGCATAAAAGTGCATCTAGTTGAGCTAGTCTTCTGAAACTTCTTGTGGAGTTGCTCCATGAAACCTAGTCTTGCCTTTTTTTTTGAGAGAGGGGTTTCACTTATCGTGCAAGAGCAATACCACCTCCGTGCTTCGTGCTTGCAATGCAACTCATAACTGACTTATATGATTTCGGATGCGTTTTAATGCAAACCATGGGTTAAAATCTGTTGATTAATGCGTCAAGTATTTTATATCTATCTATATATTTTATATACATAAGGTATAAACCATATGTACATACTTAATCTATATCTACTGTCAATTGTGATCTCTGAACAAATGATCTCTCAAATGGTTGTAATTGGACGATGAGGTAGCGGTAGCATCTTATATCGTCTGTGGTTCATTGGATGAGATGCTTACATCGACCTTGGGAAGATGGTTTGCACTCAACTAATGAGATAAGTGTATTATAAAATGTATAAAACGTATGTTCATACTTAACCTTTTTTACTTTTTCAATTATGATCTCTGCACAAAATGATCTCATTAAGGGTTGTAATTGGACGATGAGGTAGCGGTAGCATCTTATATCGTCTGTGGTTCATTGGATGAGATGCTTACATCGACCTTGGGGAAGATGGTTTGCACTCAACTAATGAGATAAGTGTATTATATAATGTATAAAATTGTATGTACATACTTAACCTTTCTTAACCTAACCTTTTTTACTTTTTCAATTATGATCTCTGCATAAATGATCTCATTGAGGGTTGTAATTGGACGATGAGGTAGCGGTAGCATCTTATATCGTCTGTGGTTCATTGGATGAGATGCTTACATCGACCTTGGGGAAGATGTTTAGCACACATCTAACGTATAAAGTGTGTTTTATATATTGTATATATTTTTATTCTATGTTCATTTAACATTAATGTTATATCAGGATTATTTTCATTGTACACTGTATACATGTATCTCCTTTTCATAAAGGGCAATAAAGATATACATACACACATAGAAAAATTCAGTATCATGCAGACAAAAAAGTTCTGCGACATTAAGTGAATGTTAAAGCTAAGGGGGAACATATTTATTTGACAGTCTGTCGTTCTACCCATGCAGCACTCTCCCCAGGATTTTTTGTGTGGAGGATTTTTTTTATTGTTTTAGCCCGACATTTTAGCATTTTGTAACTTTTTGTGGACATTTTATGATTTTGCAATTTTTTGTGCAACATTTTAGAATTTCCTTGTAACATTTTAGGAGGCACATCTAATTGCATTGAAGAGCATTTTGGTTTTAAAAAATACACAGAGGTGCTGTGCCTCAATTTCAATATGGAAAAAGCACTGCCATGTTTATTTCATTTTGCATGCTAAAAGGCGATCAAATGATGTTTTAAAATACATATTTTGTTGCTTCGACAAAAATTAGATAAAAAAATAATTAACAGACAAACCTGTTGATTGTAGTCGAATTTGTGATGCTCTTTCTCTAGGAGTCCTAAAGATAACTCGAGTAGCTGTTCCACATTGCCACATCATCCTCATACTTCTGCAATATAAAAAAATCATAACCAAATAATGATGACACCAAGGTCAAAGGTGAATCAAATCCTTATTAAAGAGGAGTGACCTGCTCCCCTACCTATAATTGTCAGACACTCCATCTTTTGTAAAAGGATAGCCGGTTTTATTTTTCCATAGACTGTACACTCAGTGCATCCAGTTATCCAAAAATTATTATCTTTTTGCCACCAACGACAACATTTTCTGTAAATGAATGACAATGCCTCCCTCTCCAGGGCCCATGGGGTAGCCTAATGTTACTCGAGTCTCTAGCTTACAGCTAGACGAAACTTCATTGATTTCGTATGTACTGTGCTACACGCACCTACACGCACCTAGAACTCATTTTTAATAAATTTTATAAATATTTTTAAGAATATTAATCATATTTAGGATGAAGCGTTGCTTGTCTGGATTTAGATATTTCAAAATTTCATTTCGGAGTTTGACACATGGTGAAATTTTCTCGCTGTAGCTAAAAATGGCTTCCGGTTCTGGACGTGAATAACATTTGAAATTATTCTCGCTTAAAGAAATCAAATATAACAATAGATCACAGCACTATCAATGGTATATTCTAAAAATATAGGGAATAGTATATAGAGACTAAAAGTCCAAAAGGCTTTTGTGACAATATTTCCCGGAAGTGTTATATTTCCATTTATCCTTCAAACTGTGACATTTATGCTAATAACTCGACATGTATATGATTCTTACATACCCAATACGATCAAAAACGTTACTAACATACCAAATGAAAGGTGATTTCCTGGTCAAACTTGCAAAAGTTTGTCCAAATTCGCACTTGAACCGAATATTTACCAGAAGTGTTTATATTTCCATTTAGGTGTCACTACGGTAAATCATTGAAAAATAATGAAAAAATCACAAAATTCAAGTTTGGGATACATATCGCCATTTTCGAACGAATTAGCCCATACAATAACTATATTTCTGCGTTCCCCTATACATAACCTTCATCTTGACCATACATTTAACATAGGGTTTGCGTCTCGATTTTTAAATATCACTTCGCCAACATAGGGACTCATTTTTAGGTAAAATCCCTGTGCTTCACCGATGAAAATTAACGAATAAAGTAGTTCCAGTTTACGGCACTATATTTTGGCGATTTCTTTCTAAAATGGCACACAATGTCATTTAACACATTTTCTACAAATTCTAGTCATATTTGGGGAAATAGGTGAGGGCTGAGTCTCTAAAAACTGGCCAAAATGACCTAAAATTGGGTCATCAACTTCAGACATCTCATGCAAAAAATTTAGATGCAAAATCCCCGAGATTATCTCATTTTGTAAATCATTATAGCAATGCCTTTCAAGTATTACACAGAATGTACTGAAATGTATGTTGCTAAATGCAAATATTTTGAGTTAAATGTGGTCCCCATGTGGAAAATCTGCCCTTTTTCTCCCCTTTACGCCAGTTAGGCCCCAGTGTATTGTGACATCATACTCATACCATTGCTACAATGTAGCATTTTACAAATTAATCATGATTACTCTTCCTGTGATACACAGTTGAACACTGTTTTTGCATTGTGATATTCCCCAGTGTGTTGACTGATTACACGCCAGCTTACTTAGTTACTTACTAAGTACGCAATAACCACCATCAAAGACCTGCCGGCACCTATTTATTTTTGGGTTGGTAATGGAATTTTACAAGGGCAATACGAGAAGAATTCAATTTTTCAGAATTTCATGATAATTACGGTAGATTTTACGGTAGTTTGAACAAGAATACTTTAAATTCCAGCAGAAATATTGTAGTTTTCAAATATTTACGGTATATTTTTAGGCTGTTCTTATAGAAAAAATCGAATTATAATAAAATATTTTACGGTAGATTTTGGTAAAATTACAGTAGATTTTTTACGGTCGTGTTTACAGGAAAAAACAGTAATTTTTACGGTATTTGTGTTTTTTTTACCGAAAAACGAATATTTTATGGTAGATGCCGGTAAAAATACGGTAGGTTGGCAGGTATGAGTTACCATGGCAACCGTGGAAATGGGTAAAAATGAGAGCAAAAAACACCCAGACCTGCCATAATGGCACTTATTTTCAAAATATTTCGAGACATACAAATTTTCTTAAACTTTGATATCATCTAGAACACTTCTAGACAACAAAAATTGGGGGAAGGTTTATCACTTCAATTTTTTGCAAGCCTTGGTCAAAGTAAAGCTACGAAAAAAGCACTCATTTTCACTTTAGAATCACCTATTATCGCCCAAATGGCTATATGTTGTCCAGGTCGCCATGTTAAAAGTAGAATTAGAATGCTTTTCAGACAATGTTAGATAGCTTTCCTTTATCACGGAACAAAGATCTTTGCACTGGTATGCCCATTTCCATGAGATAATGCACGTGACCCACCATGGTTTGGGACCATTATTTTTTAAACATTGGATTGAAAATGATGTAATTTATATAAATGATATTGTTATAGATGGAATGTTATGTTCATATAATGTCATAGTTCAAAAAGTACAGCGCAATTGACAAACCATGCTGCAGTATAATATAAATAGAGAATTATGTAAATCAGATTCAAAGTATATACGATCAGAGTTAGTCTTGGCAAGAAAATGTGATATTAAATATGATAATACATTGATAAGTAAGGATGTGTGGAACACACTTTTTAATTGTACAAAAGATAATAAGCTCAAAATTATCCAATGGAAGATTATCCATAAAATTTATCCAAGTGGCAAATATCTAAAACAGTGTAAAATACAAGATTCAGATAAATGTAAATATTGTGATAATGAAATTGATGATGATATGCACTATTTCATGTATTTTGTGAAGTGTAAAGAAGTTTTAAATATTTGGAACACCTGTGATTGTAATTGTCTCAGTGATAAACAAAAACTTGGTATTGAAAATTTCGCACAATAAAAATATTTTAAAAGTGTGATTATAAAAATAGCTATCCATATGTTTAAATGTGATCTGCTGAATGAGCAGGAAACTTTGAAAATGATAGATAATAGGGAAAAATCATTTTACAACATGTAACCTTTATATGTAAATGTATTAATTGTACTGTATATATGTTTTTGATTTGAAATATAGTTTTTTAATAAAAAAAATGGTGGGTTTGGGTGCTTTTTTGCTCCCATTTTTTACCCCATTTCTACGGTTGCCCTGGCAACTATTAGGCTTTGGTAACCATGCCAACTTGATTTTTGAAGGACATCCACCTGATAGTAGTTGGGCCAGGTTTGATGGAAAATGGGCCTGGTTTGATATGCTGGCAGTGAGGCTGATTGTGACAAGTAGTGAAACGGCAAAACAATGGTGGAGTCTTGTACTATAATTTTAAATTAGAGCTCTCCAAGAGAAATATTATCATGTAATGCAACAGGTAACTTATGTAAACAAATTTTTAAATTTGTGTAATCTTTTTTGAATTATCTGAAATAAAAAAATTAAATATAAAAAAAGGAATGCAATACAAAGAGAGAATTATATAATAATCACAAACTTTTAATAAATACATGCTGGTATAAAGTAAAAAAACAACAAAAAAACAAAACAAAGGTGGAGTTATACCATACCGCAGTTGTGAAACAAAATGGCAAAAAGCTTTTGAACTTTTAGGATTATATCTAAAGGTAGAGTATACCATTGATAGTGCTGACTTTGCAATAGATTCAGACGGGGATGTGAGCTGATGTTCTTCAAATCTATACATAACGGTATATTTCATATTATTATGCCATATTTACTGTGCGTGTGACACAATGATTTACAATATTTATAATACTAAGGCAGCTCAATCTTCCTCCTCAAAGCCGGAATATAGAGAAGGCTTTGGACCGAAGTAAGCCTAATGTCACATGTGTCAAAAAATTTGGTTTCATAAGGAAGTTTGGAATTTGGGTTGAATAACTCATCAATAAAAATCACACAATGATATGAAAAATAACAACTGGGCGTTCTAGATTTTTCTGTCAAACTAGATTTACTACATGTACATACACAGCCTGTCAAATAAATGCAAATGCAAAAAGTATTTTGAAAAAACATTCCTACATTTTTGCTGCCATCTTGCCGCTTCCACAATTGACAAATATGTGCTATCGAACTCCCGTGCAGTGATATACCGAGACACTGCATACACAGTCAGCACTATCAATGGTATACTCTACCCTTAGTAATATAAGAGAGAAGTTCAAAAGCTGTTTGTCACAATATTTTCCGATCCATCCACTCTCTCCAATACGCATGTGCAGCTCGATGTAAAAAATAAGGCAGTGACTGGAGAGCCTAAAATTTTAGGCTCTTTAGCATTTTGGTAACCCATTTGGCTAAAGAGCCTTAAATTTTAAGGTTCTTTGGCATTTCGGCTAGAAAGCCTTAAATTTTAAGGCTCTTTAGCATTTTGATTGCCAATTTTGCTAGAGAGCCAGCCTTAAAGGAATTCTAAGTGACGGAAATGACAAAATATTTCTTCTGGGACGAGATCAAACGATTTTGACATATGTTTTGTAATTTAACAATCAACTCAAATTAACATACTATATTTAAGCAGATACCGGAGATATTCATAAAAATATATTTTTTGATCGATAAACTCACCGATTATTAAACCGGAAGTGTCTTCTCTGAGGTCCGCGAAGAAAACCAAGAAGAAACATACAACGATTTTAGTCATTTCAATTTTGCCGTGGATTTGATTTTAAATGCTTCTAAATGATCTTTGAATGCTTACTTTGACTTCCTATAAGAACTGTTTTGACTTCACCACTTCATAAAAAGAACATTATCACTTTTTACTCGACTCGTAAATTTACTTCCGGTCTACCGAAAAAAAGTTCTTAGAACCTTTTCAATCCTCAGTCTAAATTTGGCTTTTTAAAGGTTCAGTAACCTTCGTGGTGCTGCAACTTGGAGCAGTCATATACTTGTTCAATTTTACTAATCAGTAAAGATTTTGATATTTGGAATAGGCCCTTGGGAGAATGGTGTTGAGGTCACATTTAGTGATGCCCAATTGGAGGCTAGCCTAAAAAAAACGTTGATACAAATGAAGGACTTTTGAGGGGGAAGTTTTTGCAAAAAATTGAAAAAAAATTTTGTGCCTCTTGTCATTTGAAAATCCTAAAAAATCGGCATGGGAATCAAATAGGCAATAGATTTGGAAGTGTATTCTCTGATGTCCCCGGGCTGATGTCCCTACATTCCCGATAAACTGCATCATGATGTGCTGTATCTAGAATTTAACAATATTTTTAAAAAATTGTGTACATAATATCCGGACCTCAGAGAACTTCATAATGAAAAAAATTGTACCAACATGGAATCGAACCTGCACCGTGGGAGTACTAGGCGAACGCCATAACCACAAAACTAGAGTGTGTTTTCTTTTTGTAAAATCTATATTTCAATAATAAAACATATATAAATAATATAATTATACATAGACCCAGTTACATTGTTATTTCTGTACAGTTTTTCATTTTCAAAATATGCATGTATACTTCCAGTTTTGTCTCTATTGAAAACTTGTATTTTCCTCCTGGCTATTAAAACTTCTTTATAATTCTTATACTTATTTATTCCTATAATTTGATCAAAAGTGATTTTATCAAAAAAATTCCATATATCCCTTATTTTTGTACACTCATAAAAATTATGTTTAACATTGTCAATTACATTACAATTTTAAAAAGAAATATCTCTAATTCTAAAACCATTTAAAATCTCATTACATGGATATACGTTGTGTAATGTTTTCCAATGAATAATTAAGAGTTTGGTATCTACTTTGCACTTAAATGCTCTAATCCAAGTTGCACATGAAATATCCTTACCATTATACTGTAGAAACAATTTTCTTTTATCTGTACATATAATCCAAAATCTGATGTTTCATAACATATTATATCTATACCATTTAAATATACTAGAGTGGCTTGTACATGCATAAACTTAAAGGCTCTTTGGCCGAAGTGCTAAAGAACCTTAAAATGTAGGCTCTCCAGTCACGGCCTTATTTTTAACATCGCTGCACATGCGTATTGGAGGGAGTGGAGGGATCGAGTGTGAGTTTGGACCAACTTTTGCAATTTTGACCAGGAAATCACCTTTCATTTGGTATGTTAGTAACCTTTTTGATCGTATTGGTATGTAAGAATCATATATATGTCGAAATATAAGCATAAATGTCACAGTTTGAAGGATAAATGGAAATATAAACACTTCCGGTAAATATTCTGACAAAGAGCTTTCGGACTTTTCTCTTCTATTACTAAAGGTAGATTGATAGTGATGACTTTGACTGCATAGGAGTTCGATGTGCTATTGGAAAGCATCAGAACTCAGGATTTAAAACAAATTTGACACAAATACATCTGTTGGCTGGTATATCAATGTTTGAACGATAGTATGGATCGGAATTATTTTACTTTTCAGCTCAGAATAGAGTAGAAGGCGATTTCATGTATTTGTGATTGCTGAAGCGGTATGACCTCTGACCCATAACAACTGGGGAACTTTGACTTGGTACAAGGAGGATTGGCTCCCAGAGTGCACCACCGATATTCTGTCCCATATATGGGTATGTCGTAATACAAAATTCGAATTCAAACAGCCGCCATTTTGTTCACTTCAACATTTAAATCGTGAATTTTGGTCTTATTTCCAAACGAAAAATTCCAAAACTCACAAGAAATGATCGAGATATTGGTTCGAATCTTTTGAACTGTTTATTTTGAATTTATAGTCGGTTTTAATTTCAGAAAATAACGACATTTCGACGTTTTCATTGTTGGAAAATATCGAGTTTCGATCCTGGGAGCCAATCCTCCTTGGACTTGGTACAAGGAGGATTGGCTCCCAGAGTGCACCACCGATATTCTGTCCCATATATGGGTATGTCGTTATACAAAATTCGAATTCAAACAGCCGCCATTTTGTTCACTTCAACATTTAAATCGTGAATTTTGGTCTTATTTCCAAACGAAAAATTCCAAAACTCACAAGAAACGATCGAGATATTGGTTCGAATCTTTTGAACTGTTTATTTTGAATCTATAGTCGGTTTTAATTTCAGAAAATAACGACATTTCGACGTTTTCATTGTTGGAAAATATCGAGTTTCGATCCTGGGAGCCAATCCTCCTTGACTTGGTACAGGTTCAAAACATCCCATTTTCTAGTTTGGAAGAAGCACAGTTATCTCTAGTTAAACATGCCTTTAGTTGCCTTTCAAACGAACATACCTGCAGCTGAACTGCCAAGTGACATTGACCTGCAACTTGCTGATTGCGTAGCAAAGACCTTGGATAAACCCATTGAGGTAAGGATAAAAAGGGGCGGGGTCACTCTCAGAACTCTAAGGGTATTGGAACCAAGAAGCGTAACAAACAAGAGAATGATCCGAATACCAGGAAAGATATTGTGTTTTGTATTTCAATAAATTTTGTTATTTGTTTAGATGCTGATTGCCCATCTCTAGCTTCCATGTTCAAGGGCATTTCAAGAGTACAAACTGTCAACACTTCATCTTTCATCCATATATAACATTGGATTTTGTGGTATGAAAAGACCAGCCCTTCTTCTCTTTTCCTTTTTTACATCTGTATCTTGTCACTTCTTTAGCTTATGATTTTTCATTGTCACATCTGTACCTTGTCACTTCTTTACATTTTGCCTTTCCATTGCCACATCTGTACCTTGTCACTTCTTTACATTTTGCCTTTCCATTGTCACATCTGTACCTTGTATTAATCTTTACCTTGTCTTGTCTTTATTAGACTTCATGATGTCCCTAGTCCCATGGCCATTGGGAAAGGCTGGTCTTTATCTTGTCTTATCTGAACCATAGGCCAAGGGTAAAGTAATAGTAAGCCGTATATAGAAGAGACAGGTGAACAACTCTGACTTAGACCACTTGTTAAGATGGAGATTTCAACAATATTTAGTGTATTATTTTCAAAAAGCCATGGGGAGTTGATAGAAAATTGATAGTTTGTAGCTCTTACCTAAGATTGAAACTCAGTCAGATGATATAGAGTGAATAATGCTGTCTAAAAGAGAGAATTTCTGAAAACCTACAATTGCCTGGCAAGTTCATTAGTAAACAAGTGATCTGATTGGTCACTGCTGACCTCCCTGACCTCCACCAGTGACAATCAGTTTCAGCTTGCCAGGCAATTGTAGGTTTCCATAGTTGTTGTTTTATATGCAGTATAATATGCAGTTTTTAGATAAAGATTTGAAAAAAAACAATGATATAAGTTTGAAAAACACTTTGAAGAAGATTTTGGAGAAATTTGGGAATACAATTTGATACCCGTAAGGAGAACTAGTGCCAAGACTAAAAAAATTTGAATAATTTTCAATCTTACTTGTGGACCTGTCTCTTCTATATACAGCTTAGTATTACTTTTCCCTTGGCCTATGATCTGAACCTTGTCATCTCTAACTTGTCACACCATTGCCTATTCACTTTTTGTCACATGTGTATATTGTCACACCTTTATCTTGTTACTTCTTTACTTAATCGCCCTTCAACCCTGTCACATATGTAGAATTTTATATCGTCATCTCTTTATCTTCTCAAATTATTTCATGTCACCTCTTAATTTTCTCATTTCAGAAAGTATTGGTCTCAGTTCAGCCAGGAATGACAATGAACTTTGCTGGTACAAGAGATCCCGCCATTCTTCTGAGTGTGAAGTCTATAGGAGTATTCAGTGCAGAGAAAAATCCCATATATGGGAAAAAACTCGTTGAATTTCTTCAGCCAAAATTCACAAAAGTTGGCCCAGCAAGGTATGTTATTAATGCTATTTTTCACAAAAATAGAGCGTGATTTAAAAGCCGAGATGTGAGTAGAAATTATCCTGATTTTCATCATTAACTTCCAAAATGTGAATAGTTTATGGTGAGTACAGCATTCAAAATCAAAATATTTTAAACTGATGTTGAAATAACATTTTGCTGATTTTAATGTCACATATCAGGCCCGTAGCCAGGGGGGTTCACAGGGTTCGGGCGAATCCCCCCTGGCCAAAAATTCTTTCAAAATCATGCAGTTTTCACCATTTTGAGCACTTCTCAAGTGATTTTAGCCTAATATTTGAGCCAAAATTGTCAAATGTGAACCCCCCTGGAAATTTTTGAAAACTGAACCCCCCTTGGCAAATCCTGGCTACGGGCCTGCATATTGTTATAGTCACCAACTTTTTTGTGGGTGGAGGTTGGTGTTTAGCGTATGTAACAAATGGTAGGTTGTGATATTTTGCATGTTAATGCCCTGTTTTTGTTTCCCATTGTTTCTTCATTACACATGTAAAACTACCATATGCTTTTAACACACTCCCGAACCCATAATTTTATAAAATTTGATTTTATTTTCAGAATGAGGATTCTGTTTGTTCCTATAGTAGCGTTAACAGATATATTCTGGAATTAATATAACAAATTGGTAACAGTGTCAAGATTGTGATATCATCAGAGATTTTAATTGAAAGACCATTTAACTTTAAGACATGTATATGATTTAACTAGGCTTCCTCATACAAGGCCATGGTCGAATAAGTGGTTCTGATGTCCAACATTTAAGACCAGGATATGACACAAGTGCGGATCCTGAGCCTCATTGAGATTTGAACTAACCTATGCACCAGTTTTATCATTTAAAATTTGGATCATGTCACTCAAACAATATCGATATATTGAAAATTTATCTGCCTTAAAATTTTGCCAAAGTAATGTCACAAAAGACCATGGGCTTTCAACTAGATCTAATTGAAAGCCCATGAAAAGACTAATGACTTAAGAAAAATGAGTCACTGATAGATGGTTGCAATGACTTATGTACAATCAGTATTAATGAACATCAGTAAATGAAACTGTAGAGCGCACAACTGACACAGTATAAAAACTGGGAAGGATAAGGATATTAACAAGAATGAGACCAAATTAACATATTTTATGAAAATGCTATTTTTTATTATGCCTTTAACTATGAGGAGATTTCTTGAATTGTTAATTTTTCCAAAAAGTGCAATTTTGTCAATGAAACTCTAAAAGGGCCACTTTTAGTCCTCAGTAAAAATAAACACTTGGTACGACATGTACTACTTGACTGATGTATCAAAAGTATAATCATGTTTACTATACCCTAAATCTCCATTAACACCTGGATAGCCACCCATTCTCCAAGCATAGGGTCAAGAGATCATTCAAATAAAGGAAGAACTGGAGATTGTCTGAACACCTGCATTTGGAGAATGCCAACTTCTCACTGACTATTCATTAGCCTACAGGGTAAATATATTTCAAGGTTGTGATACATTGTAAACTGAGAGCTCTATTTTAAGAGCTAAAGTATACAGTTTTCACCTAGCTATTATAAATAAATGTAGATTTAATCAAAATTGGATGGACCAAAGCCAAAACTTCCGATGTTAAATCTGATAATTTACAAGCATCCTCCTAAGCAGGTATCCAGAATCCGTACCTCCTTCCCCAAGCTATAACCAATTTGGAAGCGCCCGATTAAACTGAAACACGTGATCTAATTATGCGCAATGACTTATACATGATTTCTGTCGCAGTGTTGCGACAGCCAATCAGATTGCGAGTTCTTAATTGGGGAAATGCTAACTGCTTATCGCAGGGGGTAAAAAGAAAGAATATATTCTGGATTTTGAAGCCCTGTGATCGGAGGATGATTTACAAGAGGCCACACATCAATGGTTGAGTGTACACAAAATGTATGACTGGCATTGAGTACAGCCAAACATTTTCTAGTATATCTAGAAATTTGACATAAATTAAGTAAAATCTTACTGCATATATGCACAACATCACCAGCCAAAAAATCATTATGTGCGCACAAGATGTTTTAGTACTAAATATACATGCACAATGTACATGTGCCAATATTGAGTCATATGTATTTTAAAATATTTAATAAAATAAATAATTTACATATCATGTTTTCTTGTATTATTTTTACAAAATATATTACATACTGTACAGACTTCAATTAAGATTTTTGACATTTATATTTACATAAAATATATATAATTCACAAACACCAGTAAGAGTCTCTTTAATTAAAATGAGAGAAAATTCCATTATCAGAGCGTGTCTCTTTAAATAGAGGTGCCGTTCTAAGAATAGGAGTTATATTTCCCGATGTCTAATGACCACTTTAAGGCAGAGGTAATCGGGAGTATTACTGATTTTAGTCCTTATGTCCAGAGCAAAGACAAATTCTACTGAAGAACGTCCGTTTATTGGAAAACACCCCATTGAGGAACACCTTGTTGGAGGCCGCACCATTGGAAAACACCTCATTGAAGAACACCTCATTGAACAATACCTCATTGAAGAACACCTATCAGAGCATCAAAGAATTTGCTCTTATCTTCAGACTTGATTTGTATAACTGGAAATAAAAATTGATTTCTTTTATAACCAATATGCGAGAGAATTTTAATGTTTCTGTGGTTTCACAGAAGTTACAAAACTGTCAAACTTACATACTGTACAACAAGGTTAAGATCATATACTGTATATTAAAACAGTAATATGGCAAAACAAAAAATAAGAAATACTTCATGGTGATTAAGAGGATAATCTGAATGGACATTGATTGGGAATATGCATTTAATGAATGGTAAAACCAGATGTAAATGTTAAGGAAAGTTGCGAAAAAAAATTGGCTTAGATCTTACTAGGTCACAGGTGTCTTAATTTTTATGGGATTTATATACAATTTTAGTATCAATTGATATGTCTGTTTACTTTATTTCTTGCTAATTCCACTCTTTCACTGTATTTTGCAATTTAAACCATGACCATTATAGAGTTTTCTCATATATTCAATACAGCTGTACTTACTGTGAGAGTCAAAGCTGTCAAGTAACATCCGCGAGTTTGTCATTTCACCCGCTTGCTCAAATGCCTTGCCAAAGAAGCTGAAATAATTTTTAAAATATTTCTCAAAACTATAACAATTTTCATTTGTTTAATGTCTTCCCTATCTAAAATGATTTTCGTAATATTTTGAAAACTATATTTAAAACAATTTTCACATACTCATAACATGAGAAACTGAAATGACTTTGAGAATCTTTTTATCAATTTAATAAATGCTTTACAATAAAAAAATACAAAAAAAAGAAATTTCAGATTGCACTTTATATAATTATCTAATGACTTTTAATACACATTTACTTTATTCCTTGCTGATTTCACTCTTTATTATTTCACATTTCAAAAACATGACAGCATAGAGTTTATCCAGAAAAGCTCTTTACCTGCGCCTACTTTCATCCAATATTGGAGGAATACCTATGATGATGGTTGTGCCAAGTTCAGCATCCAAGGGAGCCCCCAACACAAGAGGTAGCGCTCGGTTCTTCTTGCTTTTACACTGAAATCAAAAAAGCATAGCATGAAAGTATCTGGTCATTACAATTGCTTTGTCTATCAAAATATTGTAGTTAACATATATGACACAGATTTCAGAATTATGCAGGGGAAATACTGAAATTATGAAGCAAAAAACACAAAATTATGCGGGGAAAATGCAAATTATGCAATATGGTTATTTTTTGAAATTCAAAATAATGCATAATTAAAATGCACCATGTAAAAACGTAATTCTGGGATCTCTGATATGAGCTTTACCCTTTCCGCATTAAATCATGTTTTATGGAGGATAACCCCCACACCCAACACCATTTTCACCCAACACTTAACACCCTTCTTTTACCCCACAACCGATGCCCTTTTCCCAAAGCCCACTTTTTACCACATACGAGGGGTGATCCAAAAGTCTTGGACGCCCTGCTCTATTTTTGTTGGTTTTTGATAAAATTACTTTAAACTTTCCAATAATAAAGACAAACAACCTAACTACTTTGTGTATTAATTTCATGGAGAAATGATATATTTTGTATAGTTTTCTAGATAGTTTTTGATACAGGGACCCTGCCACCCGGAACGGTATTCGCACATGGCAACTTTCAGCCTTAAATGTTACCACCATTTCACTTGTTTCGCAAGTCTTGACCACTATATTTCTTTGAATTTTGAATTTTAAACCATGTTAGTTTACTTCCTTTGTTACTAGGCAACCAATTAATTGTGTTTTAATTATAATGTCACATATGACAATGGCCGCACATGTCAAATTCTAAGAAAATGCCATCAGACAAGCAACCCTCATTCTCATATCATTTTTGCTGCAAGATGGCTGCTGAAAGGCAGAACACGAAAGAAATCAAAGTGGAACAACGAATACTACAAGATATTGTCACTATTATTGACCTTGAGCAGCTACCATATGCACGATACAGTCTATCTATGGCTCCATGTAATTTTTTTCCTTTTCTCCAAGTTGAAAGGATGGTTGAAAGAAAATGTTTTTTACTCATCGAATGAGGTTTAGAGTAGCACTCCAGCAGCATTTGTATCACAGAAGCAATGACGGTTTCATAAATGTCTTCCATTCATTGGTAAAGTGGTATGAAAAATGTGTTCAAATTCGTTGAAAATATGTTGAAAAGTATGTCTTAATATGTGAAGATGATGATTTCAGATGACACTCAGATTGAAAATCGAAAATTCTCTCATATCGTGGCTGGTGTTAGGTTGTGCACCTGCACCTAAAGTATTTGCCATAGTATAACAGTTGTGACGTGATTTGCTATATTCATATACCGTTCCGGGTGGCAGTGACCCGGTATTAAAATATATGTAGAAAAGTAGCTAAAATATATTATTTTCTGTTGAAACTTATACATAAAATTGTTAAGATGTTGATCTTTATTATCTGAAAGTTTCATGTAGTTATTTTTAAAAATAGCAAAGTTAGAGCGGGGCGTCCAAGACTTTTGGATCACCCCTCGTACATTTATTCAAAGAGTTCATCATACTTACAACAGACGCATATGCTTCTAATGTATAATGTGCCAGGCGTTGCAAACATATCGCCTTGGAGAAGAACTTCACATCAAGTGTTCCCTGAAATACAAAACGCATAAATGAGGCACAGAATCATTATGAGCAACAAAGGGGTGCATATATTAGATAAGGGGGTCAGAAAGATTCTTCAACTAAAAATTGGATTGAGTTGAATAATCTCCAAATAATGGAATAAACTGACTGTGACCCACATGCCCAGATGAGACACATAACAGACAGGGCTCATGATCCATTTCGGAGTTCAGTCAGGGAATACACATGAATATATAGACCCAAGGAAGTAGTAGCCGATCAGAATGCCACTGGGATCGGCCAAGAGTGTTCAGAGAGGCAGGTGTTTGCAGTTAAGATTTTTAACATGGAAGTCTATGGCAGATCAAAAATGGGGCTGAAACAAGCATTCACATTGAGAGGTGTTGGAAATACTGATTTCACTAAAATGCAGAATTTAAAAAAATCAAACTTACTGGCTGTATGAAGGCATACAGGAAAGGTCCCGCAGAGACTATCTGGTTCATATCAAGAAATGACTGAACTTGTGAAACGATTGCTTTAGTCTGCATCTTAGCCAATCCCAGGCATTTCTCTTTAGCTTCAACGTTTGCTCTGGTTAGAACATCTAGAGCACTGAGGAAACTGTCTGTCATACTAGCATCCCTGTCCTACAATGGAGTTCAATTCAACAATCAAATATTATTTTAAATGACAAACAAGGCATTAAAATCCAAATATCACAACCTGCAATTTATTACAGATGCCAAGCACTGAATGCCAAACACCGAACACCATCTACAAAAAGTTGGAGACTAACACTTGTGGTGGTGACAAAAATGCAAAGTACAACAGGCTGCATTTTTAGATAATCCAATGGAATTCAATTTATTTTAAACTACAACAAGATCTACCAGACAATGTTTTTTTTGTGGCCCTGGACATTTCTCTGTGGTTTAAACAGCAAATCTGTGAAATTATATATGTACAGTCTGATAGTGAAAAGTGTATAAATGTAATATTTGTAACATCCCAAAATAGTGTTCCACTTATGGATGCAGATGTTGTTCCACTTACAGAGGTGTTCCACTTTACAAGCTTGATCAAAGAGGCAGGAGAACAAATCATAGACTTTTAGTATGAAATACCATGGTTTAAATAATACAAGTTCTGTTCAACACATTGAATTCACAGATGCCTTGAATTTGAAAAGAATGTTACAATTATAAAATTGAGAAACTTGCAAATATTGCTAAAAAACATGAGTATACGAAAAGAAACAAAGTACAAATCTGCCAAAACTGCTGCAGCAAATTCTGTGTTTTACAGTATCACAATTAACAAGGCTAGCCATGACAAATTACAATAAACAAGGCCAGCCATGACACATTACAATAAACAAGGCCAGCCATGACACATTACAATTAACAAGGCTAGCCATGACACATTACAATTAACAAGGCTAGCCATGACACATTACAATTAACAAGGCCAGCCATGACACATTACAATTAACAAGGCTAGCCATGACACATTACAATTAACAAGGCTAGCCATGACACATTACAAGTAACAAGGCCAGCCATGACACATTACAATTAACAAGGCCAGCCATGACACATTACAATTAACAAGGCTAGCCATGACACATTACAATTAACAAGGCTAGCCATGACACATTACAATTAACAAGGCCAGCCATGACACATTACAATTAACAAGGCCAGCCATGACACATTACAATTAACAAGGCCAGCCATGACACATTACAATTAACAAGGCTAGCCATGACACATTACAATTAACAAGGCCAGCCATGACACATTACAATTAACAAGGCTAGCCATGACACATTACAATTAACAAGGCTAGCCATGACACATTACAATCAACAAGGCTAGCCATGACACATTACAATTTACAAGGCCAGCCATGACACATTACAATTAACAAGGCTAGCCATGACACATTACAATTAACAAGGCCAGCCATGACACATTACAATTAACAAGGCAAGCCATGACACATTACAATAAACAAGGCCAGCAATGACACATTACAATTAACAAGGCTAGCCATGACACATTACAATTAACAAGGCTAGCCATGACACATTACAATTAACAAGGCTAGCCATGACACATTACAATTAACAAGGCTAGCCATGACACATTACAATTAACAAGGCCAGCCATGACACATTACAATTAACAAGGCTAGCCATGACACATTACAATTAACAAGGCTAGCCATGACACATTACAATTAACAAGGCCAGCCATGACACATTACAATTAACAAGGCCAGCCATGACACATTACAATAAACAAGGCCAGCCATGACACATTACAATTAACAAGGCCAGCCATGACACATTACAATAAACAAGGCCAGCCATGACACATTACAATTAACAAGGCCAGCCATGACACATTACAATAAACAAGGCCAGCCATGACACATTACAATTAACAAGGCCAGCCATGACACATTACAATAAACAAGGCCAGCCATGACACATTACAATTAACAAGGCCAGCCATGACACATTACAATAAACAAGGCCAGCCATGACACATTACAATAAACAAGGCCAGCCATGACATATTACAATAAACAAGGCCAGCCATGACACATTACAATAAACAAGGCCAGCCATGACACATTACAATAAACAAGGCCAGCCATGACACATTACAATAAACAAGGCCAGGCATGACACATTACAATAAACAAGACCAGCCATGACACATTACAATAAACAAGACCAGCCATGACACATTACAATAAACAAGGCCAGCCATGACACATTACAATAAACAAGGCTCGCCAAGCTACACAATATTTTACTTACAATAGACTCTAAGACTGAGGAACAGGCCAGGACAACATCTGTGGCACACACTTTATTCTTGTAACCATATGACGCATGGAATGAAGGTAGGAAAACATACTGTTTGTCAAACCTGGAAAAAAGTTTATCGAGCCCTTTAAAATGTTCTACAGGAGACTTACATGGGCATGAGCATTTTGTTGGATCCTTTTCGTTTATATCAATTTACAATTTAAACCAGGCCGGTAGCTAGGAGGTTTGACCCCACTGGACAAAATTTCTTTCAAAATCATGCAGTTTCTTTCCATTCTGAGTTCTTTCCAGTGATTTTGGGCCAAAGTTGTCAAATGTGAATCCCCTGGTTTTTTTGAAAAGTGAATCCCATGGCAAAAGCTGGCTACAGGCCTGTAAACTGTATGATAAATGTAAAAAAGTAATTCACCCAGTATTTGGGTACTACCCTACTACTGTATGTAGCTAGGCACCCAGTTGGGATTACAAAAATCAGTGTGAGAAAGTTGAAAAAATGGATAATCCATAATGAACCTAGCTATAATCAATTTGCCCTTTGTAGATATATAATAATTTTGAAAATCATGACAGAAAATGAAAAGTATGTACCCATATTTTTCCATTTTATCTAGGATCATAGAGCTGATTTCATCCTTGAAGTTGACATCCATAGCAGTCCACTTTTGTTGACATTGCACTAATGGTAGTCTACAAAACAATAAAAACACAATGCGGTGTTCAGATTAAACAGGTTTACTCTATTACTTTATCAGTCGGAGTGCTACATTCATGAATGTCATTATTTGAGAAAAAGCTTGAATCCCTTTTCACTGTCATCCCCTATACTACATGTCTTCCCCTTAACATATTCCCATCCAACAAATATCCATTTTCGGGACCTTACTAACATCGGAGAAATGACACTTGTAAATTAAATTGCTTGAAAATGACACATTTTAAAAAGAATTGCATTTAAACTTTCTCTTTTTACCATGATTTATGGTGTATAATACCTTATGGGTATGTTTCATATCTATATACTGACTGAAAAAGAACACCACAAACAATATCAAACAAAAATATCTAAATATACATACCCCATATCTGCTAAAAACTCATGTAACTTTTTGCGTCCTTTCATAGTCCAGACACGGAACTTGCACGCCAGATATGGTGAGTGACAGAGACTCTCAAATAACGACCAATGTCTGTAAAGCGTCAACTGTAGCTCCTCCTCATATGTGATCCTCAGACAGTTTACTGATATTGTACTCTCAACATCATCTCCTCTACAAAAAGGTTTTGGTGTTTGCTATACTGAGTTGCCAAACTAACCTCTGATAGTAACCAACTGAATTTACATTGATTTACAATCTTTTTGTTTTGGAGATGCTCAAAATATTAGCCGGGACAGAATAAGTCATCGCTCTCTTTTTCGGATAACTTTTTCAATTCTCAGTTTAATTATTTTAGATACCAAAGAGCACATACTTCATAAGGGTGCACACAGTATCAATGTCTTATTCCAACAAAGAAGTATTTTCTGGTTGCTACAGTAATCTACATGTACTACATACCTGTGATTGTGCCTGGACACATGGTGCTGAAGTTCATCTATATAACTCATGTAAACATCTCTGTCAACTTTAAAGTTTATAAACTGGTCAGTAACTCCTAGGATTGCTAACCTGTGGATGTATAAAACGCTAACTGGTTAAAGAACAGAAAGAGGTATATTTACCTTACAGCATTATTATGGGAGAAGGCAATAAATATGCAAGCCAAAAATTTATTCATTTTGAATCTATGAGTTTCTAAGTCAAAAGATGGGCTGTTTTGTCAACACTTTCTAAAAATCACACAAAACAGAAAATCCACTTGATGGGCCATACTTACCATAAAAGATCATTAGTGTCTTTTGACATTTTCCAAGCCATTTGGTACATTGTAAGTGCAGCCTGGAAGTATATTGGGTTATGCAACTTTAATCTATATCTTGGATATGCTGTAATTCTACATTCTTCAACTATTGATGTAGTCTTTACAGTGACTCAAAATCTTGTGTTTCATGTTAACTAATCTGGGGACTATTAACAGAAATTAACAGAAGGAATTCCTAAAATTCATTGTTGTCTAACTATGATGTCATCATATCTATGGTTACAACAACTGATTTAAGAATTTTTAACTTTATGTAGTTTCTGATAATAACCCCAATGATCTCTAGAAAGCCCCTCGTTCAACATGCATTCAACAAATCATAATACTTTTGACATTAAAGTGTATTGTACTTGTACTTACAGACTTTCCATATTTTGAATATTGTTCATATTCAAATAAAATATTTGTTCTTTTTTCTTCCCAGAGCCTCCGATTACGTCGTTTTTCTAAGGCCTCAGGATTAAATCTTCGTTTTTTTCCTGATGGTTCGGAACCTTCACTTTCATTTCCAGAGTCATCTTCGTCCGACTGCAATCAAGATGTTTTACATTTCTATTGGAAATATCAAATCAATTTTCATTGAATATGCTGCCAATTAACGATTCGAATTCTAAAAAATTCAATAGTGCTAATTATTCCTTTTTGATAATTTCTATAAATAGATCATTTATTTTTCTGTTACCTCATCATCGCGAAAAACCTGGTCATATTCTGGTAGATCGTCCCCAGCTTCCCTTTCTTCCACTAACATCTTCACTTGTACTGCATTATATGCATTAAATACATCAATAGGCCTGTGGCTGAAACAAAAGGTGAAACAGACATGTTATTTGATGTACCAGTGAATAAATATTTAAAGAAATAATAAAATAAACATCTTGTTTTGTTACTTTAGAATGAGTTCAACAAAATAAAGAATCAAATACATACATCTTGATGCATCCTGAATTTGAATGTTGCTTTAAGATTGAAAAATAAAATTCAATTTAGATTTTTTTCGAAAAATTTAAATTAACCTAAAAATTTAAACCATTGCACACTTCAAATTTTCAATTAATGTATGGTTCAAAGGCGAATTAAGCCTAACAGTTACATACCTGTCACAGATATAAAAGAGGACTTTGTCTTCAGGTTGAAGTAGCTCAATGACATCAAAGTTTCCACCACAATTTAACATAACAACATATTTCACCTACAATCGACAAAGTACATGTAAACACAAAAATTGAACAATACACGACTCACAAATATTACATAATTCTCCAGCAATTCTGGCACTCAATTTAATCAAGTTGTACTACAAGGTCAGAAATTAAAATTCAATGAAATGCACCTATTGCACATCATTAGATTTTATTCACACTGATTCTTATATACTATATACAGTAAAACCTGTCTCAGTGAACACCTCTTTTCAGTGAACACTTGTGTCTAGTGAACACCCATTATCAGCAAATACTCAATGATTTCTGTATAAAATCACTTCTCTGGAATGAACACCTTCTTACAGTGAACACATATTTGTTCCTCCATAGGTGTTCACTGGCTGTACACAGGTTTCACTGTATAACTATATTTTAAGTATAGTATATATGGGAGAACTTCCCACTATCTATGTTTTTACTTCTATGGTTTCATTACCCCTTCGGAATTCTCCTGGTATGCACTCTCCAGATCTTCCCGTCCTGACACAGGAACAACTGTGTATGGTACATGGTCACATTGGAATAGATGAAGTAGAATCTTACACGCTGCTAATGCATCAACATCAAACCCGACTAATATCAACACGCGCTGGAAAAAAATATAGATATTTGAGGAGAACAATGAGGAAATAAAATATCTTGATGAAAGGACACTTACTTGATTGACATTGTTTTGTTGAAATTTCTTGAACTTGAACTTGAAGTGCATAAAAATAAAAATGTCCAATTTATTTTCAGAGTTGAAGTTCAGATTTAAACTTCTTTACTCACCTGATGATCAATAACGTCGTAGAAGTCTTTCCTCAAATCATTGATGAACCCCATTTCTAGTCATTTGCGCTTAATAATTGGCAAAACTAGCTTTTATTCTTGAAATTTTATTTTATTTTTTTTTTCAATTTGGCGGGGTATTCCAAAACGATTTAAGAACTCAATTTTGATTGGTCAAAGGGTGAAATTCTTGAAAAGTTGGCCAATGAAAAAATTCATCACAAACCCTTCTCGGCTTTGTCATTCCAAGAAAATAAACTTCCGGTTGAAAAAATATTTTTACAAAGATACACATAAACAATAATACAAGGCCATAATGGTAAGATAGATTATATTTTGTTGATCCAATTGTTAATGTAGTAGTAATTCAATATATTGTATTAATCTTAGACGGTTAGAGATTGGGCTGTGACCTAAAAAATACTTTAAAAAATGAGTGGGCGATAATAGGTAAAGTACAAAGTCATTTTTGATGAATATCAGGCCTGTCAACTTGGGAACACCTAACATGAGTGACTTGGAAATGTTAAACACCTCCCCTCAAAATGTGGACACCTTGGTCCAAATCTGAACACCTTGATCCAAATTTTGAACACCTTGGTTTAAATTTTATTACATCTTGCCAAATTTTGAACACCTTTTCGCGCTCGCTACGCTCGCGTTTCAAACATCCATCGACGGGGGGGGGGGGGGGGGGGGGGGGTAGGTACGAAAAATTTCGAACGGAATGCGTGACATATACGTAATTCGCGTGAAAAGTCCGAACGAAATGCATACATTTTTTTCCCGCGTTCGTATTTTTGCTGTGTAGACGATCTTTTTTGAGAAATTTTTCTACAGAAACATTTTTGCTTGACAATTACCAGGTAAAATGCGTATTTGCGTGACATTTTCTGTCACGCAAAAATAACTGGCGTGACTTCAAATTCTTCAGCAAATGCGTGACAAATACGCAAATTGCGGGACAGTTGACAGGCCTGGAATATGCATAGTAACAAACATAAATACACCCAAATTTATTAGATCGATGGCATGGGACTTTCTTCATCTAAGAAACAGTGTCGATTTCATGGTTTAAAACATTCTTTGGTGATTCCATTTACGAACTATGCACGAAAGTCCATTCAAAGTTGTCTATTTAACCTTGAAAAGCCATATTTAGACTGAGGATTGAAAGTTGTTCACAACAACTGTCAGCTCATCTTTATTTTGATGAACTGGAAGTGAATCTTCGAGTCGAGTAAATTGTGATAATGTTCTGTTTATGAATTGGGGAAGTCAAAACATTACAAACAGAAATCATAGTAAGCATTTGAAGATCATTTAGAAGCATTTAAAGTTGAATCCACTGCAAAATTTGAAATAATTGAAATTCTTCCACGCCAAACTCAGAGAGCACACTTAGGGATTTATAATCGATGATCCTACCTAAATATGGTATGTATACTGGTCTTGATTGTTGTTCCATATCGCCCAGAATCCCTTTAAACGAACTATGAAAATTTCCAATATGAACACTGGCTTGTCATTTCCGGAAGTAATGATACATTAAATTACCAAACATATATGAAATAGGAATTTTTGTTCATTCATTTATCCTTGCAGCTCGACTGAAATGCCAATAAAATGAATTAGTGACTCTAATGATACAATCATATTAATTTCATGATAGAGGCAACGTCAAATAAGAAACGTAAAATGGAAACTTTGAAAAATTAGTAAGACTAATTTCGTGTTAATTTCTATCGATTACTCTACTCGTGTTCTATGTTGACAAAATTGACAAGCTGATGGGGTTCAATTTACTCAATGTATACTACCATCTGGAAGGCACGGGAGGGTCCCATTTATGAGTAACTCTTATTTCATATATCTCATTGAGCTGCTTGCCTTTCTTTAGGTGAAACATATACACTGATATACGGGTTCTATACTACAGTTTGGACCATAAATAAATGAGTCATATATTTGCTGAAGTGAGGATTTCCCATGTTAAAAATAAGAGAATTTCCAAGAGGCCAGACATCAGCAGATGAGAGTCATGGATGGGAATATAAATTGCATCAAAATGGCCGGAAAGTTAGTTCTTTGACAACTGGACTGCACTCTTATCATAATGTACATGTAGTATTATAATTTTAACTAATTGGCTGGGTAAGTTATCTAAATAACATCATTTTTTGCAGTCTAGCTGGTTAGTAGAAATTCCTAACACTAATTATACAAAAGAGCCCCATCTCATTGTAAATGTAACCTGGGTACGTTCACATTCATTTCCCAATTTGATGCATTGCAGTTTGGTGGACATTTTCACGGAGGCATGTTCCAGCATGATCTACAAGGTTCATTTAAGACAACGTATCGCTGTTACTCTGTATCCATGTTACCAGGCAACGAAAGACAAGATGTGGAGAAAGGCGGTAAAAGTAAGACTGTTTGTTGATCATTTCTATATACCTTTTCATTAAAAAGTGCTGTTAGATTATTTCTAATAAATGAAGGTCGGGACAAGCATTGTGATGCAGAATTTCTATTTTGATTTTGTGAGGCTACTGTAACAACCTTTGATAACAAGTTGCTACTACGGCCAAACTGTAGTGGCTTAAGCCTTTATAGTCCAGTCGTTAGAGCATCAGACTTTGGATCCAAGGGTCCTAGCTTCGATTCCCACGTGGGACATTGAATTTAGCACACTTTCTTTCAATTTCTTTATCTGGCTTGTTACACTATACTCGTTAGTTTGTCCCTTTGGGTGCCCTTGGGTCATTACACTACGAATGCCATACACCAGTTGTAGAGCAAATGTGACCGAGGCTTTAGTGACTTGATTTTATATTGGTAACTTAATGATTATTGAATTAACAACCTAAACGCATACAATAGATTTCTTTAAAAATGCTTTGTAAAATAATGTTTGCACACAGTATAAACATAAAAAACAAATTAGATTTACTATTTTATTTGCAGTTATAATGCCCCCATCTGCATTAGACAAGCTAAGTAAGTGAAACACATTTTTATGATACATATCAGTGATCTCCCCAGCATTAAAGCAAGTGGGCGCAGCACCCACCTGAGATTTTGAAAATAGGCTTGCACCCACCTGAAAATCCATATGCACCCACTTAAAGTAAGAAAAATCATGAAAAATTGGCATATTTCGACCAATTTTGGTCTGAATTGTGAAAATGAAAATTTTGTCTCACCTGAGAAAAAATCCTGGGGAGATCACTGCATATTATATTGTGTCACCACCAGAAGAACTTTTTTGTGGATGGTGTTTGGCGTTCAAGGTTCAGCATCTGGAGGCCGTTTCTCAAAACTTATCCTTATTAACGAATCGTTAATAGAGAATCATGGATTTGTTTCTATGGACACCACATCGTTAATTGAATAACGAGACCCCCATTCATACTCATAAAACCAATCATGGATAACGAATAAATCGTTAAAAATCATGACGTCATCGCGAATCGTAGAAAAATCATTATTGAATTAATGATTTGTCAATAACGAAACTCTCCGTAAATGACCTCCTAACGCATTTTTACAACATCCAATAACTGGTGGAGTCATTTTGTCATATTAATGCCTTGTTAATTTTTTCACATGAGTAAATCTACCAATTTTTCTCAGGTATGAATTAGTACAATATTGTTATAACTAGAAATTAGTACAATATTGTTATAACTAGAAATTAGTACAATATTGTTATAACTAGAAATTAGTACAATATTGTTATAACTAGAAATTAGTACAATATTGTTATAACTAGAAATTAGTACAATATTTTTATAACTAGAAATTAGTACAATATTGTTATAACTGGAAATTAGTACAATATTGTTATAACTAGAAATTAGCTCATGATTTTTTAAGGTCCTAACAATTAAAGCTCAATTGACGAATACCATTTACCCTGCAGATCTAAAATCATAAAACCATTTATCAGACAAACAAGTGAATATTTACATTTTTTGTTTTTTCATTTATTTTCAGCACGACTCAACATACAATACCCGATGTTGTTCAAACTGACAAACACTAGAACGAAGAGAGAAACTCATTGTGGCGTATTAGAGTTTGTGGCTGACGAAGGCAGGATCTATCTTCCATATTGGGTGTGTGTTGTAAAATTTACAAGAGTTAATATTAGAAAAAGTTCTGCTCTGTTTCCTCAAAAATGTTTCTTCGTAGATTTTTCTAATTATTGGTTGCAGGCATGCCCTATGTAGTACTTAATCTCTGTATGTCCTATCATTAAGTCATCATATTTTTCCATAACTGGCAGCAATGTCATAACAGGATAGGTGGATTGTTTATTAGTCAATATCATTTGATGAATATTTGGTCATAGTAATGTGATAAGTGGCATGACAACATACATGATACATAGAACAATTGATATATCCTTATTCATCCTGACCAGTAAATAACAGATATATCCCATATAAATAACAGATAATCCTTTCTCTTACTCTCAATGTTATAATTGAATTTGTGATTAAATACATGTACAAAATATCTTACTATATCTAATGTGAGAATTTTTGTGATTTATGAATCAAACTTGATATCAGGATTGAAATGATGATGGATTAGCATCACTGTCTCTGCAGTCTCGAGGTTCCTCCCAATTTTTAAAACAGAATTTTTTATTGCATAACTTTGGTCACCTAATATCCTGCGGGTCATTAACAGAAACTTCGTAAAGTTACGAATTCTTAATTCAATTGTTGTAGCCATGGATACAATGACGTCACAGTTAGAGAACAATGGACTTTACAAATTCTTAACGTGATGAAGTTTCTGTAAATGGCCCCCTGATTATGAGTCAGGTAATTTGAGAAGGGCTCATTGTACTAAATGATCATTATCAAAAATTGCCTGTATAAGTCCATTCAATGTTTTTGTTACAGATGATGAGGAATTTGTTGTTGGAAGAAGGAGCCCTCGTTGGAATCGAATGCATCTCACTCCCTGTCGCAACATTTACAAAATTCCAGCCACAGTCTACAGACTTCCTGGACATCTCAAATCCCAAAGCTGTGTATCCTTTAGCAACTTTTATTTGTGTTTTTATGTCAGCACCACAAGAGGCACCCTCCTAAGCAGGTATCCAGAATACGCACCTCCTTCTTCCCCCTGCTATAACCAATTTGGAAGCGCCCGATTAAACTGAATCACGTGATCTAATTATGCGCAATGACATATACATGATTTCTGTCGCAGCGTTGCGACAGCCAATCAGATTGCGAGTTCTTAATCGGGGAAATGCTAACTGCTTATCGCAGGGGGTGAAAAGAAAGAATATATTCTGGATTTTGGAGCCCTGTGATCGGAGGATGCACAAGAGGTGACATATTGTTATAGTCTCCAACTTTTTTGTGGCAGTGGTTGGCGGTTGGTGTTCAGCGGCTGGTGTTTTGTGTTCAGCATTCAGCGGTTTGTGTTTAGCATTTGGCATCTGTAACAAATGGCAAGTGATCATTATTTTGCTTGTTAATGCCTAGTTTTATAATGTCATGTGTTGTGGTAAGGATTCAAATATATCAAAGGATGTCATTCATTTCATTTTAGGGTGTTAATTCGCTATATGCGTTAAGGGCCACTTCTTTATACTGACATCAATATCTGATTTGATTCTTTGCGATTAAAAGTCAAATATAGATTCAGGTGACCGAAGTGATTGAAAGTCAGCAAGATATGTTATTACATCAACAGCAAGAAGTATTGACATATTGCTATGTCCTCTATTTATTGTGTCAGCAGTTGATCATCAGCATTCAATGTCTGTAACTATTGAACACCTTTGTAACAAATTGCAGTTACAAACCAGGTATTGATATTTTATTGTGTTAATCCCTTGTACAAATATTGTTTCTTAACCAAGTTACAGACTTGAAAATGCTTTGAGAAACTTTGCATGTCTTTCTACCGGGGATATTCTAGCCATCAAATACAATGATCGGGTAAGTAAGCAAAATATGTCCATGGTGATACACATTACTTCATTTTTCAACACAGGCTCTCACTATGAACACTTTTAGTCAATTCAAATTCAAAATCATTACTCATTCTTTGAAAAACGTCAATAAAACCTCAGATGTCAGACCTCTAGTGAGGAGAGGCTAGGGGAATCACCCCCCCCAAATTATCTCCATGTAATTATTCTACTGATACTTATTTCTTGATGTTTTTTTTATTTTAATCATGAGAATTAATGATTGTCCCAAACTACATTGGCTTAAGTTTCACCTTGCCTATTTATTCATTCTTGCTAGTTTTGCTTCCTAGCCACTGATTTAACATTTAATTTTCTAGGACTATGAACTATGTGTACTAGAGACAAAACCTGGCAAAGCGGTATCAATCATAGAGTGTGATATGAATGTCGACTTTGCGCCCCCTGTTGGCTATGAGGAACCCACACGCAATGCACCCACAGCCAAGACACATGAGGAGGAAGAAGAACCTGGTGTTGATATGACCGATTATGTTGATCCTAATCAGTTTAAGGTATGGATCTTATAGAAATTAACCCCCCCTTAGGACTTATGGTCCCCTCTTTATATGAACCATGCTAGCCCTGAGTATTTTTCTACTGACTATCTTTGGTCGTTTATGTGGTGTCTCGTAAGCCGATGTTGGCTGTTGGTTTTTTTAATAGATGTATTTTTTACTTGTAATATTTTTGTAAACCTGTGACACAGAAATAACCTATCATTAAACTTAAACTAAGTATAGATTGATACAGAAACATTATAAACAGTGCACTATATATAAAGTATCAAAGATTGAAAGAGAGAGCCATATTGTTTGCTGAGGACCAGAAAGACATGTGTATCATGACTCCTCACTAGAATAGTATTGCAAAGGTCTAAAACTTCTGTTCAATAAATTGTGAATATATTTTTGATTTTCTTCTTTTGTTGTAAAATTTGACCTAGACAGTGCATCAGACAACAGACTTTTTTCAATATTCAGTAATTCAGTAAGAATACTTTTTGTTGCAGATATTCAGTGGTTCAGGAAACAGACTAGATGGCAAAATAAAGAATACAGAAAGTGCACCAATTACTGGACAGACAAGTGAAATAAAAAGGTAAAATTCTGAAAAATTCTAGCTAATTCTTCAAATGAAAAATTGCCCAATTAAACCACTTTACACTTACAGTAGCCTGAAGTATATACTCACACCGGAATAGCCTGACTACGGTAAAGTCAGATACCGTTGTCACAAATTGCAGACATAACCGTCGCTTCAACTGTTTAATCACTTGGTCCTCATCTCATGGGATTTTATTGTATCGAATTTAGTCTAGGTGCTCTATTAAACATACAGTTCATGAAAATCTAATTGAAGCGATGGTTATGTCCGCCATTTGTAACACCAGTATCTGACTTTACCATTGTCAGGCTATTCCGGGGTGATACTGTAATAGTAAGTAAGTACCTAGCATGGAATGTTAGGAAGACAAGATTCATGTGTGTCAGAAACCAATAAATAACCACCACAAGAAATCCCACACAATGTTTGGTGATTTTATAGTATTTTTGCATCAAGTCTCGACATAATTATTTACTTCATCTTAAACTCACGGACCTCTACCAGATTACCTCTTCTTCAGTGGTGTCTAGGCTCAATAAATATACTCATCCTTTGAGCCTACTACCAATAGGGACTGGATCTGGCTCCAGATCTGTGCTTAAACTTGCAGAGATGATTTCTGCTAGAGGGGAGCTGAAGCGAGACTTATTTTCTAGATCTTGAAATGGAAAATTCAGTTGAATTAAAATTCACTTGACCATGGATAATTTATTCGGTTGTGCTTTAAGACATCTTTGCTTATTATTAATAACATTAACAATTGAATCATATGATAAGATTGTGATCATTCTTACATGTTTGTTTTTATTTGTTTGCAGAGGAATTCCAAATTATAATTACAAGAAAGGAAAGATCACATTTATTCGTACCCAGAAAAAGATAGAAAATGGAGCTGATGTATGTAGAATTTAAGCATTTTATCATCATCTCTATTCTCATCAAATAACATTTTCAAATCTTATACAGGGGCAACGACACACAATGCATTGACTTAAATGTCTTGGAAACCAGATATCTGATAAACAATATTAAATTCCTGCTCACTACTGCCACGTTTGCCATGACATCTATATTTCATCTTAAAATGCACATTGTACAATTGTTGATTATTGAGAGATCAGAAACAGTTATACGTTGTCTTATTGAGATGAGCCTGTGTATTTTTACTTGAACTAGCTATAGGCTATGACAAAACTCAAATGATCAAATTAATTTCACAAGATTCGGGGACACAGAATTTGCCAAAAACTAGGCCTTTTGTAACCATAATCTCATAAAAATAAGTCTAAATTGATTGTAATGCTATTGAGTTGAGTTGTTATTTGTTTTATTCCAGATGGACAATGATGACTTTGAGGCATTTTCAGGATCAGGACAGTCTTTACGCAAGACTAAAGGACGGAAGTGAAAAATGAACTTCTAAATAATCAGGACATGATTGAGACTTTTTGAAGGATATTTTCACGAAGGCTTAACCCACTGACCTTCTATTTTTATCAACAAGTCATTTTCATTAGGCTAGTAATGTAAAGGACTAGGAGAAATTTTGTCACACTGTACCATGCGTGTGTACTTCAGGGAATTTCAATGTGCTATTAATGTGATAATGGCAAAATATTACAAGATTTAACGCCAGAACTGCAAAATTGAATACAGAAAAAATGTTGAGAAATTGGCAATTGAATTTGAAGAAATCATAAATCAGTGAAAATTGATATAGGAGCAAAATTTCAAAATCACAAAAAATGTGAAATATATTATTAATAGCTTCAGACTAATCAGGAGTACATTACTACCCATCCATTATTGCCAAAAAGGTTTACTGATATACAGTAATCCATTTTCTTCAAAATGCCTGTTTCTTTAGTACCAGGCAATGGTGCCTGTACATGTACCTCAAAAACATTAAAATTAAGTTGTAGCCTAATTCACAATTTTGCAAATCTTTCTTTCACGTAGGATGATTTTGAGAAATTGACCCAGGTTTGCCAGTTAATGAAAGAACAGATAGGACATGTTGTAAATTGTAGTAAATTGTTTGTAGACTGTTTTCACACTCCCCTCCATAAGTTTGGCAACCTTAGCTCCCCATTGAACTACGTGTTAAAGCGTGGAAATCCAATACCTCCAAATTTTCCCAATTTTTTCCTAAATTACAATACGTCGAATATTGATGATAAATTTGATGAATTTTTGAAAATCCTCATTCCCATGTAATCCAATGGGAAATGGGAACTATTTTCATCACAGGTTAAGTAAATAAAAATTCAAAGGTAAGGAGGCTTTAACACGTAGTTCAATGGGGGAGCTAAGGTTGCCAAACTTATGGAGGGGAATGTATGTCGTTTTTTTGTGGATGGTGTTCGACAGGTGGTGACATTTTGCATGTATTGTCAATGGCTTGTTATTGCTTATGATAACAATTAACACACCCAGTTCTCATCTCATTGTATTTCTCTTAAGAGTTGTTTTTTGAAACATGAAAAGATGTGAAAGAAAATATTCAGGAATTATATTTTGAAGTATATCAGCTATTCGGATAAAGGAACAGGAAAGGGATAAAGTTTGAAATTAACTTGAGCAATTAGATGAAACAGATGACATTATTTCTCTCTGTAAACGCTAAACATATTTATTAAATTATTATTTACATAGTAAGCTCATTAAGGTTAATAAAAGCCAAAACGTGTAAATACAACTTGTACATATATAGCACCTAATAATAAATGTGCAATTGAAATATAATATAGTCCTCCTCTGCTTCAAAAACGGAGATTAAAATTCAAAATGATTGTTTAAAATTCAAAATGCTGTTTACAGTCTGTCTGCATACAACAGGTCACGCACGAACGGTATTTTTGTAAGATATTTCAAAATTCAGAGCTGTGTGAAAATCTATGACTAGGAGACTATTTTACTACTCAAAGTGTTCGGTTACTATATTTTCATCGCATGGGATGCTAGAATGCTGGATCACTTTATGTTATATAACAGTAACAATATTATTCTTAGAGCATCATCATCTGCGTTTGTGTCCACTGGCTCACCCTTCGTTTACTGTACTTAATTTAACTTTTTAATTTTGAGTGATACAAGAGTTGAACTTTTAATCACAACGCAACTTTAGGACTATGGACTGTATCTGCCAGGTGTATAAGGACCATTCTGCTTTTCAGACACTTGTAGATGGATTCTCAAGGACGGTGTTGGCTGCCCCTATAATATCATCTTTGTCCTTGCTCTCTGCCTTGTCATTATCAGAGTCATTGCTTTCATCACTCGCATTGTCCTTGGTCTCTCCCTTCTCCGCTGACCTTTTACCCTCTTCATTCTCTGTGGAATCTGGAACATTTTCAGACCAGAATTCTCCTTCAATCGCATCCGTGAGCTGTTTACAGAGCTCAACCATGTAGGTCACGAAAAATTGATGGTCTCCATAACGTTTTTCTAACTCGGCGAAATTGTCAGGGATTTTTTTGGTCTCCAGAAAGCTTGGTAGAATCTTGTACATTATTTCATCAAGGAAAGCATCTTCTTGCTCAAGAAGCTCCATAATGTGATTATAAATAGCACCATTGAGCACTTGGGCAAGTTCTGCTGGGGACATGTTGAGGTGCTCATGCATTCTTGGACATTTCAATTCGTCTTCTTCGCCAAGGAAGAATCTGTGATAACCTTCGTCTTGTTCGAATATTTGATAGAGGTTTTCAAAGGATTGTGTTTCCTGATTTATCATCTGAGATACGATGTCGCCCATCAATGGATTGTCGTCCGTGGCAAGTAGTCTCGTGTAGAGTTCAGTGATGTCATTTAGACGTCCATTACTCTTTAATCCAGCGAGGAGGTCATTTGGGGCGTTTTCCTCGCTAGGCTCCTCATCCTCTTTCATATCAACAACAAGATGCGTAAATCCAGGCTTTCTCTCTAAGGCCTCTGAAGTTATAGCCTTTCCAACTACACATAGTCCATCAGAAACGGATCTTTCCTCGTTGGTATTATCATTGAGTGATTCATCTCCGTTGGGAAATTCACCTGTTATTTCTAGCTCTTCAGTTGGTGCTATCTCAACATCTCCGGCCTTTACCTCTTTTGATTTATTTGGGACGTCTACTGATGCACAATCTATTGGCTCCATCAGTTTTTTGGGAAGTAGAGATCCCTGCGCATCACCAGCTTGTGGAAAGACCTTGTCATTCTCTGTATTATTACATTTTTCGGCAGCCTGATTGATGAGTTCATCAAGAATGTCTTTAATAGTTTCACTCGGCTTTGACTCATCACCTTTGCCGTGTGGATCCACCACAGGCGCACTTTGATCAGTATCATTTGAAGCAGGGGTGTCTGTGTTAGGGTCATCACGTGGGCTGGATAACGTTTTCAATTCACCATCGACTAAAGTGATTCCATCTTTGAATCGTTTTACGAGTGCTTCTTCGTCGATGTCACTGTCAGAATCTTCCGAACTTTCACCAGATGACTCTCCACATGGGTCATCTCCCAGACATTTTAGGAAGTCTACGCGAGAACAGTAGAATGCATTTCTAGCGATCATCTTCGCCGTTGTTGGCTCGACCAGCGTTTTCTTGTCAACTGCTGCTAGGACGGAAACAGCAGCATTGTAGAACAATCTCAGGACAGGGGTGCTGCAATAAGCGACCCCACGTGGTATCCAAAAGGTGTGACGCATTTCTGAAGCCTGAGCATAGGCGTAGGCCAGCACGAGCGGCATGTATTTTCTGTCCTTGGAGTTGGACGGCCCGTTGACAATCTTTGCGACAAACGATTCAAAAATACGGGCATGAGCAATGAGCAGTTGGTTTCTATGCACGTGATAGGTGTTGTAGAAATTAACAACTGATTCTAATTCAGAAACACATTTTGTGATGTGGATGTTGCACCAAACAAGATCTTGGAGCACACTCCGCAGGAGTTGGGGAGGGGAAACTTTTTCTTTGGATTCTGTCTTATGCTCGGTCTCTCCCTCAGTAACGCCACCACTTGAATTCTTTTCCAAGCCTGAAAAGAGAAAGGTTCAATGCATTTGTTGTGTTTAGACTAGACGTGTGTATGTGAATATATGCCATATATCTTATGAAAACAAAGGCATGAAAGATCGAAGATTAGGCTATATTTCTGAAGCATGGGTTGCACTAGGCCTATAGGCTTGGCCAGCCTAAACTTAGACTTAGAGTTAGCCTATTCGGACGTGTCGTATTCTAAAGAATTTTGCCTCCATTTTACTCAGCGTAGCATACCATTTTAAAACTTAATAACTCATTTTATCTCGACTCTAGGCTGTTTTCAAGTAAGCCTAGGCTAGACATGAGAGTGAGTCAAGATGATCACCATGTCAGTTGTCACACTCACAGAATCAGATCAAGTTTTGTTGTTAGCAAAAACTTCATGACTTACCGCGACCTTCTAATTCTTTGACAAATTCTTCTGATGTCTGTTGAGCTTTCTCCATGAGAAATGACTTTATGGCATGTACTTCAGATGGTGTGTCATTAATATCTAAAGTTATGCATTCGGTGGTTAGGCCATCATGCGCATCGGCGGTCGCTCCGATTTCAACACCCGCCATCTTGGAATTCGTTCATGTGTGAAGTGCGTCAGAGCGTAATTACAACACGTTATATTATGACGTCACTTTTACCATGAGATTCCAAACAGGTACCGACCAAATCATGACGTCATTCATACTTGATTGAATTTCAATCAACAACTTGAATGTCGGGTGAAGGGGGTATTATTAGAGATATATAACTTATTGAAATTGTCCGTCGGCATTTAGACAAGAATTGACATGTTAAGAATATTCGTTCCTGGACACAGAAATACTTGTAAGAAGATTATTTTTTCGATGAACAGAAAGGGAGTCTAAATTATACGTAGGCCATGTCCAATGTGCTGAGCATCAGGTTGTGTTTCAATAGCACTTTTAAGTAACATATTATACTAGGCCTATGTAACTCAAATCCATGTTCCATTTGATCCATGTCGAATTACAAAACTTAATCGGGATATACTAATCCATGATTACGAATTTAGGCTATTGCTATAAAGGTCATGCTTTTTATATAATGATACCATACTTCAAAATGAATTCATGAATATTAGCCTATATAGAACCCCCCAAACTTATGAAAAAGGTCATTTGTGATCAATATAAGTGCAATTGGATAAACAGATTGCTTTCAAACCACCCTCACAACGTAACAGAATTGATGGGGAAACTATAATAGCCGACTAAATGTTTAGACTAATCCTATTGTTAGACCAAAAGATTATCGGAGGCATTTCAATAAATCTTAACTGCGCGGATATTAACATAGCCACAAATCAGGTTTTGTATCATACCCAAATATTTCTTGTAGAGAAAATACAATACTTTCATCTGTAAGGTCGACAAATTGGAATAGTTTAGAAAACGTCGAAGATGACATTGAAATAATTTAGTGGGATATCTAAAGGACTAGAATCTGTAGATACATCTGAACATTTGCATTAGATAAGCATTTACCATGTCACCGACCGTGTTTGCCGTATTTTGCGTTTTAGTTGCAGTCCACAATGGTAAGCCGCATATTTGTCAAAGATGATCACATGATTTAATTTAATTTCGTTTAAACTTTTAATAACTTTGTTTGTGTTTTTTTGCAAAAATTGAAAACGACATTAGAAATTAACAATTAGGCCCAGGCATAAGAAAAGGTGAAGCGCAATAGGAATGTGACATCTCTACATATAATAACACAATTCACACTTTTAAATACATTTTATATAACTTTATGTTCTAAAATGATACTCATAACAACTAGGATGAAGAAAAAAGTTACCCACAAAACAAAAGTGAAATCTCAAATACATTCATAAATATGGTCGTGCAACTCCTTTGGTATCATTTAAAAATCTAAATGGAATCAATATAGGCTTCGATTATTCGTTAAGCGAAATTGATGTCAGCTAAAACCCAAGGAAAGGGCTAGCATGAAGCTGATGAAAAAATTCAATTTAAAGATGATATTTTAAACACTAACTAAAATTTTATAATTTGCTTTTATTTTAATTTTATAGCGAACGGCGCCGTCTACACACCATCCAATTTGGTTGTCAATGTGATTTCATCCACCGTGCTTGTCATAAACTGGGACGCCGATCCCACGGACACAGGTGGCGCCACGACAGGATACAGGATATATATGGACAGATTGGATAATAGAGGAACTACGAACTGGGTCGTAAGTGTTGGTTTGTTTAACTTTGATTCAGATGACCCCAGTCAGATGGTTGAGGAAATATGTAACACCCTGCGATAGATTCACTTTTTTAAATCATTTTATTTAGCCTAGGGTTTACAGTTTACACTCCCCTAGCTAAGGGGTCTACATATAAAATTTTGAGATGTCATGCAATAGGTTAGACAGTTTTATATGGTTATAAAAATCTCTGAGTGTCTCTGATGAATGTCTGGACATGATTAAATAGAGTGCAGTTGTCAATGAATGAAGAATCTTTGTTTCCATGAATTATATGATTGAGAAGATTATGTCTATTGGTTACGGCTATGTTCCCTAGTTCCCTGAAAAGAGTTGTTCTTTGGGCAACATAGAGGGGACAGTCAAGAAAATAATGAAGTGGTGGTAGACTCACATTGAAACATGCGATTCATGTTAATCTGTCCATATACTAGTGATTGAAAAACTGTTATTGTATGTACAGTATTATCATTATTCGAGATGCTGGGGTTTGTTTCAATATCACGACTGTATACAATGGAACTATAATACTACATGTATATAACGGATGTTTACAATTGTTTTGGGGGTATTTTTTACTCAAATATACATACGGTCTAATATTTTGCAAGTGTATAATAGTTACTCAAAATGCCAACTGGCCAAATACTACGTGTACAACATAAGCTCCAGGGAGTAGCCAGCAATTATGAAAGGCGGGGGTGGGGCGATTTTTTGATTTGCATCACTGCAAGTGAAAAATTTTCAACAAATTTTACAAAATTGAATCCTCTCCCGCCTGGGTACGCCCATGAGCTCCAACTTTCAAAAATGACAACGTGACGTATCCGTCCTATGATAAGTGTAATACGAATTCATACAAGGACGTACAGTTTTAAATCTACGATACGTGTACTCCATAAGGTACACAATGATAAGTGCAATAAGTAAAATACAACTTCCATACAATTTTAACACGCCAAGTCATTATTCACATTATGTTTCAGCCTGCTAACGTTGAACAACTCGTTAGACAATATACCATATCTGGCGTAGGGATATATGGTGAATACAATGTTAGTGTACTGGCAGTATCTGCAGACGGGGATGGACCCAAAGTTTCATCCGTCGTCCAAACGTTAGCTGAAGGTGCGTAGGAAGTATTTAACTGAATTTCCATCTTCGCACGCTCGGTCTACACAGCGACCAACGCGAGGCAGCTGATTGAACAAAGATGGGTTTCTCAAATAAGCAAACACTGTCTTCCTTTGTTTCTCTTCAATATAATATTTCTCCTGTCTATAACAGTACTCGTAGCCCTGGAATTCAAAATCAGAAGCAAAAATGCGATTTCTATAATATTTTAATGGTGAACAATTTTGCCACATGTTTCCACATGACGCCACATCCTTGCCCGTAGCCAGTTTTTACCAGGAGGGGGAGCTTTTTTCCAGGGGGGGGGGAGCTTTTTCACAATTTTGGCTAAAAATCATGCGAAAAATTCTCAGAATGGTGAAAAACTGCATGATTTTGGAAGAATTTCTGGCCAGGGGGAGCTTCCGCTCCCCCAGCTCCCCCTCTGGCTACGGGCCTGACATCCACATGCCACAATGCAAGCCTGTTTATTGTAAATAAACGTGACGTGACGCGACGTTATTGAATATAACGTGACATGGCACGTTAATCCCGTGCCATGTTATTCATTCGCATACTCGACCTACTAAAACGTAGAAACTATTACTTTGGACGTCTGTTCCTCTACTCCGAGTTCGAGTGCTCTCCATGGAAATCTATGTCCATATATACCTTGGAATAAAATCACATCATGGTTTAGTATTCCCAGATATATACACATTGTTTTTTTGCATTTCCAGAGCCTGGAAGAGGTCCGCAAAACATAACTGGAGTACCTGATTACTATTGGATAGCAGTCGAGTGGGAGTCAGTCGACCCATCCTACAGTTATGGAACCATCACTGGTAATAGGGGTTTGCTAGATAGCTTTGAAATCTCGCCACACTGCGCCCACCTTAAAAGAAATACTTTACACGATCTTTATTTGGAGTCAAAATGTAAAATTGCCATTGCTCCAAAAGCATGCGATGAAACTGGAAAAAGCTTAAATTGTGTAAACAAATAATTATCAAAAAGCTATAATTTCTCTTTCTTTGAATACATGACTATTTTAGGAGTAATGGGTTTCGGAGTAGGGGAACATGGGGCAAAACGGCCCTCTGGGGCAAAGTGGCCCATCGAAATATCTTTTGAACTATAAAAAGATGGTTCTTCAAAAGTCACAAAATCGAATTTTGAAATATCTGCCACCTTCTCGACCGTCCATTTTTAACCAAGCAGCGTCTCGCTTTACGTAAGAGGTAATTCTACTTTTCACCCTCTTTTTTGGAAATTACCCCTCTCACGAGAATCTCTCAAAAATCCAGCAACAATAGAATATCGTTTTGATTTAACATTTTACATAGAGTGTGCACATTTATTCTTTATTTGTAAAAATTTCGAGCTTCAAATATTAGGCAAATTAAAATGACGTCTATTTGAAAATTCACATGTCTTTGGGGCAAAACGGCCCACACATGTTATAACATACAAAAATCGTATTGTGCAAGAACAATTGGTTTTCAAATGTAACAATTTTAACATCTAGCTTGTGCCTTATTTCCTTCCGACACATATCGAATGACTAGAATTATGGTAGGGGTTAAGAATACTTTATCTGTCAAAGGTTTGAACGTCTGAGATAAGATGTTTGTGGACGAGTCTTGTAATTGATTAATTTTGGTTTCAAAACCCATGTAACAGAGGGTGGGCCGTTTTGCCCCACCCATGGGCCGTTTTGCCCCATTCTCGACAATATTTTTGACCATTGAAAAATCACAGAAGATAGTCCTAGGAAAGTATAAAACACTCGAAAAATGTAAACCACAAACCATTAATAAAGTGGAACATCAAAGTGCGCGATGATTGACAGATACGAAAATACCCCGTACAGAACAACTTAAAATTAAATTTTTTGGGCCGCTTTGCCCCATGTTCCCTTATTGGGCTTCGGAGTAATGACGTAAACCCACAGTCATGATACGTATACGCACGATCCGTCTTTGAGGAACAACTAGGTGCTCGTAGAGTAGATTATCAAAGCGGATTGGAAGCCAGTATTCAAACTTGATCTTTCATTGCCTGTCTTTGGTCAATTTGGTTCCAGTGTTATTCATAATTTGAAGAACTGCCAAGGAAGCTTGAATATTACCATGATATTCGAATGTCCATCTTCCAACAAAAGACCTGGTCCAAAGAGAACCTCATAGAAATATTTTTTATTAAAATTCAAGTTCCACTCCAGGCAATGGAAGATCGAGTTTGAATGATGGCTGCCAATCCTTGGTAGAGCCTACCTATAGTATAAAGTGTGCGAAATGATAAACTAATTACTAGAATAGTAACCACATCTTCGAATTCCAAGTGGTTATAGTTGGATCAACTAAAACCTTGAGAATCAAGATGTAGTTACCACTAGTAAAGAGTATCATATATTCTTCCAGGTTGGCAGATATCCTACGAGCTTGCTTACCACGGTGACCCAACGACCTTTTCAGCAGCATCCAACGTGATGACCGCAAACATTACAGGGCTAATACCTAACAAATGGTACATCATCCAAGTTGCAGGTAATCTACCACATATAATCTTAATGTTAGGGGGAGGGGGGGGGGGCATCAATGCCTCTGCCCTCCACAATCAAGTTTGAATTTATGTATAATTTAATGTGCAAATAAAAACAATTATTGTTGAATGGCCTCTGGAAATCTCAATATTGTTGAATGACCTCTAGACATATTTATATTGTTGAATGACTGATCTAGAAATCTCAATATTGTTGAATGACCTCTAGAAATCTCAATATTGTTGAATGACCTCTAGACATATTTATATTATTGAATGACTGATCCAGAAATTTCAATATTGTTGAATGACCTCTCGACATATTTATATTATTGAATGACTGATCCAGAAATCTCAATATTACTGAATGACTGATCCAGAAGTCTCAATATTATTGAATGGCTGATCTAGAAATTTCTATATTGTTGAATGGCCTCTAGACATATTTATATTATTGAATGACAGATCTAGAAATCCCAATATTGTTGATTGACCTCTAAAAATCTCAATATTATTGAATGACCTGAACGAGCCACTGATCAATTATGTTGATCGACCACTGTAATATAGAATGACCTCAATGTGGTGAATGAACTCGTGACGAATGACTGTTGAGTGGACTCGTGACGAATGACCTCTATAATATTGAATGAACTCGTGACGAATGACTGTTGAATGGACTCGTGACGAATGACCTGTATAATTTTGAATGAACTCGTGACGAATGACTGTTGAATGGACTCGTGACGAATGACATGCATACTGTTAGATGAGATTTTGACGAATGACCTCTATAATGTTGATTGAACTCGTGACGAATGACCTCTATAATGTTGAATGAACTCGTGACGAATAACCTCAATAGTCTTGAATGCACCCTACATGTTGGATGACTTCAATTACCAATAGACAATTCAAAATAAGTGACCTCGCCTTTTATGATTGAAATACCATGGGATATTGTATCATTATGAAAATGTTTTATTTAGGTATCAACGCCATAGGTGTGGGACTCACGAGTAGTACATGGGTACTCACGCTAGGTGGCACTCTCGAACCAGCTACCGCGGCCCCGGAGGACAGCATACCCTGCTACAATCTCCTCCCGCCAACTCTGGTGTTTGATTGGGTAGAAATGCCATGCTGGATCTACTTCATCATAATCTGTTCCCTGTTCTTCTTTTGTTTGCTGTTTGGTAAGTATAATTAACGTCCCTGCATGAGTCTTCCTAAATTTATTTGGTAACTTGTATAATACCACTTTTCGGGTTTTCTTCAAATTCGTAAACAGATGCTAGAGGGTAACCTTACCTTCTTCTGAGGCCACTGTATCGTGTTGGCTAGAGACTCGAGTAAGGGTAACCCTTTCTTTTGGTTGTCCTCTTGTTTGTTTTATTTTAGCCATCACTTTTATTTCTGCTAGTTTTAAAGATAAGTGTATCTCTACTTCTTGGTCAATCTGTAACTAGGCCTATATGATTATCAAAGTGTGTTGTTTTTATATTCACAGGTGTAGCAATGTGTGCCATGTGCTGCAAAACTCCAGCAGGCGGGAAAGGTGACTCACCAGTCGTCGTCGTGCAAAGGTATGGACATGTTATTCACCAAAATTGAAGGAGTACAGGCCCGTAGCCAGGATTTGCCAAGGGGGAGGGGGGTCCGGCTTTCAAAAATTTCCAGGGGTGGTTCACATTTGACAATTTTGGCCCAAATGTGGCTAAAATTACTTGAGAAGTGCTCAAAATGGTGAAAAACGGCATGATTTTAAAATAATTTTTGGCCGGGGGGGGGGGGGGTTGCCCGAACCCTGCGAACCCCCCTGGCTACGGGTCTGACATCTTATTATGCTTATTCATTATAAAAATTACTAGGTCCATACTGAAATTGGAAATATACTTGAGAAGGTTAAGAGTAAAGGTATGGAATTGCAAGTCATAGATCACAGTCTCTTACGATCCTTATAACGGATGACCAAATCTAAAAGGCTTTGTAAAAATAATCGTACCTCGAACCCATGTGCCCACGATCGAGAGTTTGAGGGATTACTGTTCCAAGAGTGCTCTTTGTCTCTCAGACTTATATATGCCATAATGAAATTAAAAGTTAATCAAAGCTATCGCTTTTATATTTTAGCACACCTGCCCAGCAAAACTGGGGGATGATACGTCAGGGGATCAATAACAAAACTATCCACCAGTCAATCGCTGAGGAGGATGACCAGGGAATCCTTCCCGGTGGTGTAGAGGAAGAAATCATAGATGAGAATAACGAATTACCTGGGGAGAATACCGAATTAGGTCGGGAGAGTACCAAATTAACGAGACAAAACACTAAGATGGGAGATGACGGAATATTACAAGTTGCCGTCGACGAGGAATCGATTGTTGTTGAAACAGAAGATAAAATTAATTCAAGCCGCCAATCTTTGACGTCAGCTCGAAAGAAGTCATCAGTCTCTCCAGCACCACAAGATCTAACTGAAATAGTGTAACTTGGGCAGTGCAAACATTGATTAGATTATTCTTAGTTTAACGTTACACTAGGCTATATGTCCTTGATCATATAGGCATATCTTTTGTAAATAATGATGATCTAAAATGTAGAAACATTCTCATACGCAGCTTTTTCACATTTTGCATGGCTCTAAATAAGCTCGTAATATCCATAGCCATTCAAAGATTGTTAAAGGTCTGGCTTCTCGGGATTTTTCAACTTCATAAAAAGGAAATCTTGAGGATGGCGTTCAAGTGAAACTCCATATTTATGGGACAAGAATAATGTGGATTATTCCGCATGATCACTGTGGTTGCCTGTTATGCATGGCTGACAATTTCCACATCTATGGTCATAGAAACCATTTATGTAGCATTGTGTTTAAGTTCGATGTCTGCCAATAGTACTACATACTAAATAGAAGATACTAGTACGTTATTTACATAGCAACTGTTAAAAAGAACAATTACACCTGAATAGCCGAGCAAATCTCCAATATTATGTTACTTATCGATGATTATGTGAACGATCTCTTCGAGATCTGTCACAGACTTCCATGTTAAAAAAGCTCGAAATGTGACTACTTGCCGATCCGAATACTTCTGGTCGGTCCCCGTGACATCAAATATCATTAACATAGTCAAAGCCTGAAGTTAGTTGATGATCGAATATTATTGTACATTACTACTAAAAATATATTTCAGATTTCAGAACTCTACGGTAGGAACCGTTTTCAATGTTAATATTTTTTTAAATGTTGTAAATAGACTTTTTAAAATTGATAATATAACTTATGTGTTAAATGATAATCATCTGTTTTCAGTTGGGATTTGTAAATACAACATTTGGACATTCAAAGTTCAATGTATTCAATGATAATACATTTTGTACATTTGTAATTGATTAAAACATTTGTTTCTGTTGATGTTTTTTATTCCAATTTAAAATTTTGTTCATTGTAGACCATATGTAATGTCACGACGTTTATGACGATATTGATGTTCTTATTTCAACCTCGTCTAAACTAGAACCAGATGAAGAGGCTCGAGAGTAAGATGGTGTCCTTGGCTCTAATGAAGTCGTGCTCGATAAATTCGTTAAACCTGGAATCAGAAAAAACATGCACCTGTCAGGGTTATGAGACATAGACAGAACAGCAGTTATTCTCACTCTTAAAGGCAGGGCTCCACTATAAAAGCAGAATGTCAGTTAGAAAAGTTAATGAGTTAATGAAAACACAGAATGAAATCCTGTGCTAAGAGCTGATGTGAAAAAGTCAGTCCACGCCAGTGGGGGTCGATGTAATAGCATGTTTGAAAATTTAAATGTCCACAGAATCTGACACCTCAAACCTGTTTTTCCATATATCTCTAGTATTTTGCATGGAATCAGCTAAACCTTTGTTACAGTTATTCATGAATATATTCTAAATCTGATGGTAGTTTTAAATTTAAATAGTAGTTCCTATCTGGCTTGAAAAATGTAAAGTAATATATAAAACTGTTATAGCAGTTATATAATAGGCTGCATTGAAATAGGGTTGTGGTTTAATTTACCATATGGTAAGGAATCAATGCCTTTAAAGGGGGGGGGGGGGGGGGGCACCGATCTGCTATAACCGAAGATGGTCGAGCGAAATGCGAAATTTCAATTCTGCCCGGCTACGGTTATCTTTGACCATTTTCGGTTCCCGTTATCCTTAGAACAAGATGCCTTTAATTTGTGTTGAGAAATCTTGAAGAATTTCATCCCTGTTGATGAGTTTAACACTGGCTTTCAAGACACTAGTATATAGCCAATGGTTTTATGACAGAATCCCTTCTTTGACCTTAACGATTCTCTTCATTTTTATCATGCTTCATCCGAACTTCTTCCTTATGATTTTGTAAATGAAATGTTTTCTCATTTATACCATGCTCTACCTTTAACACAGATACTTGGAGACAGCCTCCAAAAGCAGAACTAAAATTAAACAATGGCATATTTCCTTGTTACTAGTACACCTCGTGTGTAGTATTTATATGCCCTTCAAGTTCCCAAACTTAACAATGGCGTTTTCTTTACCTGAATTTCTCATTGACCGTCCAGACGTGCCACTGTTTGGTTGCATGTTAAGTGTCAGTTTGTGATATGCCTTGCTTCGATGTAACGTGCTGAAAATATGGAAGCAATACCATATGTAACTTATAGCATTGTCACTATATATGATTGTAGGATCACTCCCTTGGATGAAGAGACTGATAAATCAGAATGTATTAAAGGCAGAATCAGATTTATGGGGGTGACATAATTACAAGCAACATGCACAATTGGCCAACCAGTCTATTCCTTACAATCTCAAATACAATATCTCCTAAAAGATTCACAATATGTTATAGATTGGTGAAGTTATAATGGATTCAAAGTGCAAAAATGGGTGAAAAATGTTTAAATTCTCCTAAATAATAAGAATGGTAACCATTCTTATAGAAAAATACTACATTATTGTAAAAATTCAGTTTTCCTGAATTAAAGTGCGAATTTTCGGGGATTTTTAGAAAATAGGATATAAATAATTACAGGTATGGAAACCCATTTGAACTTACAGAAGTGCTCAAAATAATGTTTTTTCTTACTAAGTCTAAACTACAAGATCTATCAACAATGTACGTTTCCATAAATAGGATCAAATAAAACGATCAAATATTAATGGTCATTCCCCTGTGTTAGAGACGAAGTTCAGAAATTCATCAGATTATCTCACCAATAAACCCCAAACAAACAAACAAACAAACAATCAAAGAAACAAACAAATGAAACAAGCAACTCAACTAAAGCTTAGGGTGAGTTATTTTATAACTTAATTCGGAATTAAGGCTACACGTAAGTGTGTGTCATGAAAAGCAAGGTATAAATATCAGCGTCCCACTTGATACAGCCTGACATTCCTACGTAACACATTTAACCTTTGAATGATTTTATTCCAAGATGTAACACGTAACATTCTTACATCGTTGAATCACCGTGTCCTCCATCCGTATTTTGTGGTTCGCATGATTGTGGGCCGCGTGATTGGGGTCCTGAAATGGCACTGCTCCTCGACCTCGAAGCGGTCGATTGGGTCCTCCGAACTGGAGTTTCATGGCCTGGCATTTTTGTTGTTGTTTTGTTTTTCCCAAAGGATTTGTTTTCCGTTCACTTTTGCGTAGTGATAGTTGGGAGGCATTGATGACGACACAATTATGAAAAATAATGATAACAATTAAGATTCTCAAAAATGATTTGTACTTGTAAAATTCATCTTTATTTTCGCCGATAATGGAAAGATCTTTTCAAAGAATTGTGTTATCATTATTCAAAACTTTGTCGTCATCATTGTCTACCAATGATGACTTCGCAGAGATCCAGTCCCTATTGGTAGTAGGCTCAAAGAATAAATGAGTATTTATTGAGCCTAGACACCAAGAAGAGGTAATCTGGCAGAGGTCCGTGCCTGCTCAGAGTATACTTTATCCATAAGACGAAATATGGCCTTTCCTTGGAGGATTTCAATAATACTTCTGGATCTATTGGGAAAACGGCAATTTTGCAGCTGATATATATTCTATAATTTTGACATTTGCCCTAAAATATACATATCGTCAACCATAGAAGGATTTTGAATCTGCTGGTGTCAAATTAATCAAGAAAATTTATCTTCAAGCACTCAAGTATGTTTTAGGGTAAATGCTCAAATTATAAAAAATATTGACCTTTTTAGCTCACATGGTGAGCTATTGCAATCACTCACTTGTCCGTCTGTCTGTCCGTCTATCCGTCTGTCAACAATTGACCAGTTTTAGAACCTCTGTCAATAGGATTCCCGTTTTAAATTATTTTTGTTCAACATCAATGTAGGAAAAAAACCTATGACTCCTGGTTCAAAAGCTCCCCTATGTTCAAAATGGCCACCATTTTTGTCTCGCGAAATTCACTTTTGGACCATTTGTTTTAAAACCTGTGTCTATAGGATTCCCATTTTAAGTATATTTGTTGAACATCAATACAGAAAACTCCCTTAATCGAAAGCTCGCCTATTTTTAAAATGGCCACCATTTTTGTCACGCGAAATTTCACTTTTGGCCCATTTCCTAGTTTTACAAGTAATTTCAGGTGTCCTGCATTGTAAAAAGTCATGTCACTGTAAATAGTAGTTATATTAAATACTTTTGATACAAAAAATTGGCAAAACATTTTATCCGTTTTTTATTTTGAGCCATTTTAGTTAACATTGATTTCGGATTCCCGTTTTAAGTTATTTTTGTTCAACATCAATGTTGAAAACTCCTCTATGACTCCTGGTCCAAAAGCCGACCTATCTTCAAAATGGTCATTATTTTTGTCTCGCCAAATTCACTTTTGGGCCATTTCCTAGCTATACAAATAATTTCAGGTGTCCTGCATTGTAAAAAGCCATGTCACTGTAAAGAGTAGTTAATTTTAAATAGTTAAAATCGGCAAAAATTACATCCATTTTTTTATTTTCTGCCATTTTAGCTAGCCACCATTCACATTTGAGCAACACCATGTGAGCCCAGTACCCATGGTAGTATTTATGTACATTTTATACTTGTAACATTTTTATTGAGCCACTCTGTATAATGTGATAATATACGTTCATGGGTGAACCGAACTCACCGTCAATAATCTATGGGCAGAATCCAACTTATTATAATCAATTGCTTTTAAAAGGCATTTTATTCCTAAAATTCAAGATCTTTGACGGATTTACAATGTGAACAAAATAATATCGTCCTATTTATTAATTTAATAAATTATTTATTATCCAATATTTTCGGTAGAATACTGATCATTGTCTTGTTGTTCAATGATAAATAAATCATCCCAATTTCAGTGTGGCTATTTCTCGACAGGTGGCATCATATACCTGAAATAACACATTTGGGAAATAAATTATGAACATATTTTCCATTACAAACTTCAATTACAATTTAGTTTGAAAAGTTGTGAATTTATTAAAATCGCAAAATATTAACATTGACTTTAACATGTGATTAATCAGCGAATATAGATGATACGTACTGTGTCTGATGAACAGTGAGCTCGCTGTAAATTGGAAGATGATAACTCTTACTAGTGTACCTTTGGGCCTTCTTTGACATCTTGCGCTCGTTATTCTTTGCTGGTATTAAGTTTTTCTTCGACCATCTCTTTTCAGTGAACGTATTTTGTAATTTTGGCTCACTCTCTGGATGATACGGCGAACAAAAGCGTGATTTTTTGTTTGAGTACAAAACTAAGCGTTCGGTTTCGTTGTGTTGTATCTAAATAATAGAATGATACAACATTCAAAATTTTCTCTTTTACTTTAATTCAATTCAATTCAATTCAAATGGGCGTTGAAATCTAGAACCTCTATTATATCACGTCATTTTGATCAATTACAAATGGCCGTATGGATGACCGTTTCGTTTTTACCTTTTTAATTGGTGAAGTTCGACCACATTTTCTGAATGGGAGTGCGTTTGTGATCTTCATTGGACATGTACTGACAGATGCGTTATAGGCGACCAAATTCATCTCCTTGCGTGTGTGACCTTTATGGACATCAAGATGAATAGGGGGCGCCATACGTGTAGCCATGGGGACTTTATTCATTTGTTGAATAGGGTGCACATCATCTAGGCACTGAGTCAATGTACTTCTTGGTTTCGATTCCTTTTTGTCGTATGATGGTTTCTGCATTTGAGATGGGGTTTTCGATTTTCTATTTGAATTTCCTGGATCGAAAATAAAAACGTTGGTTCCCAACTCATTTTTAGCGGTACTAAGGTTATTAGGCACGGGTGTTTCGAGCTGTTTTGAGACCCCTTCAGTTGTATCACGCGCTGACTTGGAAAATCTTCTGCTCTTAGATCGGTTATGTGAGTTGTTAGATGCTTTTTCGATAGATTCACCACAGTGTTCAAACTTTTTGTGCAAACCAGTCGTCAAAGGTGGGTGAGGTTTCATCTTATCGGTTCTCATTTCAACTGGTGTTTTATGTATGTCAGAACCATCTTGTAGACATTTCATTGTGATTGTTTCTGCTAAATCGTGCCTCGTGATAACTGTGGTCAGCTTTCTTTGGGGGCTCAAGCAACTCTGCGGCGGCGGCGTTTTCATTTTTCGACGATAAGCCCCGTGGCTCCTGATATCAACCTTTGGAGTCTGAAAGAACGGGAAAAATACAATGTTAAAAGGCATATCATTGCTTGATCTTACAGGCTTGTAGAAAAATCTCCTCAATAATTTTGACGCATATTTTATTATATAATATATTTTCTAGGGTTTGGATATTTTGATACTCCTGGAATTCAAAAAAAGTTTTTTGCAAAAGTTTTGTATTTTTTTACAATATGCGATAACAAACGTACCAAACTATAGCATCTTGATTTGTACTGAAGTCCTACGTGCGGCTGAATCCCTGTAATCCAAGGTTCCTTTAAGATGTCACAAACCTTCGGTCGTTTCCGTGGATTGTGTTGCAAAATCTTTCGACAAAACCGAATGCAATCTGTAAGGAAATAATTCAATGGATAAGCGGTGAAACTGCAATAACTGAATAACAAACTGTCGAGGAACTCTACTAAGGTGGCTCAATACTTCATCATCATCATTAAAGTACAAGATGCAACCAACGTACTCATGAAATGTGCGAAAATATCAAAGTTTGGGGTAACGGGAATTCGTTTTCCTGTTATCGTGTTTTTCATACATATTCGTCTTTCTCCCTTTGGCACCCACATGTGCATATTTTTCACGAATCGAATCAATGGAAAATATCACATTCAAGTCAAAACACGCGATAAACATCTTAAATTAATACCTAACGAAATGTGTTTTTGAAAGGTTATTCTTTGAAGTCTCATGTCGTCGTCTATTGTTTGCGGCACTTTGGTGTCATCAAACGGCAACTTTCCATTCAACATGGCGCAGAGGACGACGCCTCTGGAAATAAAGCGTTACAACAAAAACGAAAACAAGAGACGCTTTAAACATGCAACAGAAAATGGCCGAGAATATAGCCTAGATATACGGCTCGGTTACTTTCATAAAACTGTATGAAAATTAATCATCGATCATTATCACACTACTATACCTTGCATTTGGTGTTCATGAGCAACCCATTTGGCTTATTAGTAATGATTATGCATTTGTTTTTATTTGTCTGTTCCTTATGAATGATTTATCGGTTGAAAATTAGATGCTAGTAAGGCACTTTCAAAAATATATTAAACAATTCAATTAGACAAACAAAGTACCTTATGCATTTCTAAGTGTTAGGTACAGTAGTGTGATTATAAGCGCTCGTCATATAGATGGCGTATGTTGTACTTTTCAAAACACCTTGAGTGTTTTTTATTATCAATAGCAGTAGATATGATCTTCTATACCATCCTTTTACTCACATACTCCATACATCTGCAAGTTCACCGTCATAGTTTTGATTCTGAATTATTTCAGGACACGCGTATGCGTATGAGCCACACCAGGTTTTCAGCAGGGCTTTATATTCACCAACCGTTACATCGCTCCGCCATGCTTTTATACGACACGCAAATCCAAAATCTATAATTACATATACTAAATGAATTTGTTTAAGAAACCTTTATTATCTATTGTGAAAAAAGAGAAAAACGAAAAATCTCATGTTTTGGCAATGGTTAGAATAAAATCATGTGTCTTGGCAATGGTCAGAATATAATCCTGTGTCTTGGAATGGTCAGAATAAAATCCTGTGTCTTGGCAATGGTCAGAATAAAATCATGTGTCTTAGCAATGGGGAGAATTAAAGCTGGTGTCTTGAAAGTGGGAAGAATAAAATCATATATTTGCACTATAGTTTAATACAATATGGCCCTCCATATGAGCGCCATTGATATATTGTTATGTATTCTCTTCGATGAACTAATCCTATACCTTGGGATATGAAATACGTACCCGTTAACTTTATATTCTTTTCATTATCTATGAGAATATTCTCACACTTTAAATCCCTAGAAATATAAATACAACATTATTTTATAGATTATTAATGAACCAAATGAAGCTTCTTCCTATGCCTTTAATCCTAAATCCACGATATAGTGACATGATAATATTTACATATGTTTTCAGTATAACTCTAAAGGTATTTAAAAAGTGATCTATATGTTTTGGGCTTTTTGTGAATCTTTTTATTTATCTTTTAAACATAAAGTTTTGCAATCAGCCTTATACTCAACCCAAGAAATTCCAATCATGAGATAATAACTAAATACGATTATATAATCAATATACAATGACTTTGTGCGTGTACAATGACGCCATTACCGGTGCACGAATCCATGTCTGTGACAATGAGCAACAGCGGAGGCGAGTTGCATGAAGTACTTCTTTGAAGTCGCCTCTCCAAGTCCCTTAAATGGTCCTTCTGCTGACACGGCATTGATGTTCGTCAGAAGATCACCACCGTCGCATCTTTCTAACACCATGTACATGAAACTGGGAGTCTCGAAACAATCATACATTCTCACCTACGTAAGATAACAAATACACAGGTGAATACATGTAGAGACTATCAAAAATGTTTTTATTTAAATCTAGTTATAAATCTCTTTCATGTCTTTTATGTTATATTAAAATGCATGGATTGATAGGACATGGTGCAAGCTATTGAAATGAAACACTTGTCCGTCCGTTTGTCTGACAACGCATACGTGGCTCATTTGCAATCCTCAAGAGAATCCAAATGATGTTACCATTTTTCTATATAGTCTTCAATTATCCCAGAAGTCGAGTCTCAAAAGCTCGCCTTGTTTCAAAATAGCGGCCATTTTGTTGCCGAAAATCAGATTTTCAGCGCTTTCACCATGTGACCATTCTGACATGTAAAATCGGAAAAACTGGTCAAACTTTGTTACAATATAATATGCTGAAAGCTTGCATAAAACAGGATTTGTATGAATTAAATAACACTGATGACACATTATATTTTAACAATATTAACATCAAGAAAGTGTCATCACAAAACATTAGAGAGTCACTTGTTCTAAAAAGAACATGCAAAATCAAATATGATGGGATAAATATATCTGAAGGAATATGGAAATCCCTTTTTCATTGTACAAAAGAAGCATCACTGTTAGTTATACAATGGAAGATTTTCCATAACATATACCCTAATGGTGTTTATCTAAAAAAATGTAAAATAGAAACAAGTGATTTATGCAAACAATGCAATGCAAGTCATGATAACTTACATTTTTTCGTTACTTGTCCCTCTATAAGTATTTTATGGCAAGGTAGCCAGTTGAACAATAACGAAAAGTTAGGACTGGCTGAAATGAAGCCAGAGTTATTTTACGAAACCCTTGTTATTAAGAAAACTATTCATGATTTCAAATATAAGAACTGTGAGGGAAATTTATTGTTTTTATATGAGAGCGAAAAAGCTCTTAGATTGTAAATATTATGTATTGTATATATGTTATTTGGAATAAAAAAAAAAAAAAAAAAAATGTGACCATTCTACCCATGGTTTACATGATTGTGGTTTTAGTTTTTGAGTGAAACATCTCCTTACCATATTTTTATGCGGAGGAATCGACCGCATTGCATCTAGTTCACGTGATAGGAATTTTATGTAATAATCTTTCGGGATGTCTCGCTTATTAACGATTTTGAGAGCTACCTGGAAGTAAAACTATGCTAATTATTCAAATATAAAATGAAAAAGGCTCGGAGAAAGTATTAGCATATGATCACTTTTATTTACTCGTAATGCCCAGATAAATAAGTATATATAAGTCACCGTAATTTTTCCGTCGATGGCAGTCCAATCGATGTCCTTGATCCGCCTTTTTCCACAATCAAGCACTTCTCCAAGTTTCACCTTGGCATACGCTCCTGTTCCAAGCACTGTTTTCAACAATTTATAACCTTTACACATACACTCTGCGGATTCTAATGCATTTTCATGGTCCAGTTGTGTTTCTTTTTGAAATGCCGCTAGTGTTAGCATTGCCCTTCTTGTAGTCGAGGAATTTGGCCTCCTCGTTCTTGTTGCCATTTTAGGAACATATGTGGTATCCCAAGTAATTTAGAGAATGAACACTTATATCATTACCCAAAAACAACAAATATACCTGTACGCCCGGGTTTCTTTGGAGACCCAGTTCATGTTAAAAATTGTGTGACATCATGAATGATCGTCATACTAATTAGTAATATTTTAGTAAACTACATCCCCATGCTTTGTATGACGTCACACATGCCAGCTAAAGCATGGCATGTCAACCTTTGCCCGATGGAAAACAAACATAAAGGTACCGATTTCAATAATTCAAGCTTTTGAGGTTAATAAAAGCAACCGACCCATTTTGTTTTAAGATCAGTTTTCCATGCTGATAAAGATGTCAAAAATATCAGAGAAGCCATTCTTCCTTGTAGAGTGCACAAGAAACGGTGTATAAAGAACTAAAATCGTTTATTTACATATATTCATAACTCAATCAGTCCAAGAGCATGTGTAGATTTATATTTTCATTGTGAAATGGTTGAAAATCACTTCTAAAACGAAAGAATCGATATATTCGACTTGGAAAATATGTTTAAACCCAAAATATCTAAAGAATATGATTTAAGGGTAATATCTCGAACAATCGTATTTTACCAATGGCAATGCCAAATTAACGTCTCTCATTATCTAAATGTCTTTTAGATCCTCGACATCAAGTTCACACTTGATAAACATAACGTCGTCTCTAACATAACAAGCTTCTTTATCTTCCAATGCAGACTGAGTACAGAACTTCATGATACCAAAACTGGCGTTTCGTTGCGTTTTAGGACGTCCCAGAAACACGCTGTTTTGTTCAACACCAGTGTTTGGTTTCACTGAGTGTACGATGTTCTTCCGTTTCGTTATATCGGGATTTTGATCAAACATTGTGAATGTCACACGTGCTGAGAATGGCCAGGGAAGGAGGCTATCATAATCTCCCTTGCAGATACACAGAAAAACAGACATATATTCCCCAACGCCTGAAGGTAAGAGATAAGAGATTCATGGAATTAAAGAATATGGGGGAGAGAGTGCATCCCTGGATTGGACCAGTCCATGTTTTTAAGTGCACAGATCAACATCATTATAAAATTGATGCTATTATAATATGCAATAGATACTTTCAAAATGAACTGTTATTTACGATTCACAAAATAATCAACTGCTTCATAAATCTTTGTATACACTTTCAAACGCTTCTTGAAAATCTATAAAATATCTGACAGATCTATTTTTAGTTAATGACCCTTAATACGTCATATACTGCCTATCTAGAATTTATGTTTATTTTAAAGGAGGCTGCCTTTATCTATTTAGGCAGTTTGAAGTGTAGACTTACAATCGCCTTCACCATCCAAACACACTTGCATCATCATTTTGTAACCAAATTCACCCGTGAAAAAGAACGGACTAAATAGAGTTTTCTGCTGGCCATTTTTCGCCATATCACGTTTTTTCTCGTAATCATCCAACTTCCATATAAGGTGGGCCACTCCTCCTCCCCCAGCTGCAGATATGCCACCTTCGCCGCTTGTAGTTTGCTTTGCCTGTTAGTCATAAGAACAAAATTGACGATAATTATAATTAGAGGGAGTGGTTAAACGTATTTGGAAAGTTTTATACCAGTTATGATACTCAAAGTATGGGTTACTCTGAAGAGGAATATATGTATAATGTATTTTATCAGAAGCTTTTGAAGAGTTCGGAGAATAATATTCCGATGGTTACGATTGCAAAAATAATGTGTTTATCGTTATAGAGAAAATTTGCTCCAATCATTACAATCTTAGCACACGTCGAAATTGAAAATAATTAAAGGATTGGAATCGATATGGCGAACTGAATTCAACATGTTTTTTCTCTCAAACCAATTATTGAAAACACTCTGTAAAACACTGTCCTTTATGTAATGGTCACTGATTGACAACAATTTAAAGCAAAAATTATTTATAAATATTTTATATTATTGTTTTTGTGAACAATTTTTTAGTGCAATTGTTTTTGTTCCTTTCTACCAATTCTTGAGAATGAAATAGAAGATATTTTCGAACCTTGTTGGAACAAAATAGCATATACAACATTTTCTTAGACCTCTCGATATGATAGTTATACAAAGGAACGTTTTGTTCATTTAGCAAAAAGTATTCAAAAATCAAAACAAAAAAACAAAATAGATAAAAATTAAAGTAACCCTTTTATTTAATTAACAAGATACTTTTCTAAATAAACAAAACTTTCCTTTGTACAATTACAATATTGAGAGACCGAAACACGTTTTGTATATGTCATTTTGTTCCAATGAGGTTCGGATAGATGTTCCATTTCAATCCAAACATATAATACCAAGACCAAAAGAAGTGTTTTAAGTGTTTTCTAAAAAAAAGTGTAGTTTTTTTCAAATTAAATTGTTACCATTATGATTCAAAAGATGATCATTAAATTGACGATGTGTAAAATTTTCAGAATTTTTTGACATCTGGTTTAAGTGAAACATGTGTTCAATTCAGTTCGCCATAACGATACCAATTCTTTAAATTAGATTGTTATTCATTTAATACCAACCGTGTAATATGAGCACCATTAAGTATTTGTATACCTTTATCTGCAACACCTGGACCTGTTTGGCCTGCTTCTCCCGAATGTTCTCCTGTATGTTTATCAGTCGGGTTTGCTCGTTCAGGAGATTCTTCAGCATCTCAATGTGACTCTCAGTCTGGTCCATCACGTGATCATTCAGGTTCTCCAGGGGAGTCTGTAAAACAAAATATTTTAAAAATCGATTTCTAAAATAAACTTAACATGAAATAATTTGAAAACAAAAATGTGCATTTTACATTTACAATCATCCAAATTTTCCAAACTGAGCTTTTCCAGCAAATTTTGAAAAAACTTCAAAAGCACATACTACATGTACATTTAAATATGTTACTGACGTTGCTTAATTGCATGATTGTAAAATCTCACTAAACTTAAAATGCACGCATTCTTTCTTGTTTTCCATTGGATAGCCTAAACATTAAATACGCATATACGCTGTCTCATTTACAAACAAGCCACACAAATTCGATTTGGCATACACTTTGATCTCTGTCCTTTATATGTTTTATTTATTGTTACTAGTATTAGTATATACCCGAGTGTCGCATCCAGCTCTCTTGAATGGACAATCTACCAGTTGCTTTGGGCAGGTCTTCTCCATATGTTTGTTCAACTGGAACATAAAAAGTGCCAATATCAGGCGGGATATTGGTATTGGTATCACGTATGTCATGGTCGGAATGAATTGTATATTGGGGATGAGTTGTATATTGTGTCTATTCTCTTGTCACATTTGTCTATTTATTCATGACTTACACAACCATTCTTCATACCAAGTTTCGCTGAGCATACCACAGCTCAGTTACGGAAATAAATAATACACTCTTAAAGGAAGTAAGCTATCAATAATTCAAAATGATTTTTTTACTGAAAAACTGGGAAACATTTGCAAAGTGAATATAATTGGCTTTAGCATTTTGCTTACCTTCATCCGGAGTATATTTTTAACTCCACAACCATTTGGACACGGGATTTTCATAGCCCCGCATTCACCTGCATGTGCGTCCTCCTCTGAAGAATACATCTTCAAACTACAGAACTCACACGTGACTGTTCGTTTTCCACACGAGTCCTCTAAATGGACAGATAGATGGCGCCTCTCAATTTTGGCCTTGCAGCCTTCCGGACAAGGAATCAGCGTATGCTCCTCAACGTGGTCCTTTGAGAAAAATAAATAGTCGATCATTGCCTGTTACGAAAAAAACTGAAACCGAAACTGAAAAATCAGCCATTTTAGGGATACACTTTAGGAGCGGAATCCAAACAGTGTCAGCAGGATAACAAGTACACAGTCATTAAGATATCATCAAATTGAGCCCTATAAACCCCTATTTGCAACTATTTGTAAAAAAGGAGATTGAATCGTGAATAAATCGGGAATACAGGCAGATCATGAAGACAAATTAACGATATTATGAACTTCACCAATATCCGAGTAATGTTCAATGACAACAACAGCCCATTTACAATAAAACAAAACATAACCACATATCTGAAAAATTAGTGGGTATGATACAGTAGCAGTGACTTATTACCGTCAGGTACTCCCTGTAGGTTCCTTTCCAGGTGCACCCCAAAGACGCATTTCCGCAGACGACATCAAGACGTTCCATCGCTTCTTGAAACGTTTTGTCAACATTCACCTAAAATCAACAATTGAAGTTGATCAGAAGACGGAATATCATTTAAAATGATACCTAAAGAACACCTCTGGATTATTATTTGCATCTTTATAAGATGAAAAGCCTATATGTAAATATAACTTGAACATATTTGACAAAAGATCTGACAACGTGAATCAAGTTCAGTTAGTAACATCATTAATTGACTCATTATCGAAATATTTGATGACTTGCGTTTGATTTACAAATAGTTTTTTAATTTGTTACCTTCTCCTTGTTGAGTTGGGTCTTATCAATCGGACATTTCTGAGCAGTTTTTAACCTAAAACAGAAAACAACACGAAATCTATTATCTTAAATAACCAGGAGTGCGGTACCAAAGCAAGACAAAAATTGTAAGATTCAACTAAACAGTCAAGTTCAGTTATTGTCGTGAGGACACTCGGTGGACACGTAAAGTGAATCAACTCTAACAAACACAACATCTGTGATCAAGAGTATCCTGGTCGCATTAGAATATTTTATAGGTCATACTCAAGGTCAAGGTCACTTTCAATGGCAACACTCGATGAACACGTGTACTCACCGAAGTAACTCCATCAAGCATGACGAACAACATCTATGGTCACACTCCAGTCTCACCGGGTATCGGAGCAGCTCTTGACAAACAACACAGATATATTTTTTCTCGGAACCATCGCCATATTGCGCCTGTATTTCTGGTCTAAAAAATAAAATATAAACGAATCAAAAAGGATAATGTCATCCTTGGCCCAAGAGTAATTCATTGCATTACATTACATGATCTGCTATGAAAGCAGTGAAGGACCGATCTTGAAGGATGGATAATGTCACTTTTTAAGTTCATGAAATTGTCACATGTTACAGGAAAAATGCTAACCAGACATGGTGTGAGATTTTGTTCGAATGGCCTGGGACTATATCATTTTTATACTCGAATTCACAATTGTCTCAAGTTTTGGACTCTTAGAAACTAAGCGAGAGCAACACAAATATACAAGCCGCTAGTTAAGGGAACCGAATATTGTCATTCCGAGGTTTCTATTGTTTATGCACAAAATTTTCATTGCGAGTTTGAAGCAGTCGATAAATACCCTACTAACATTAAAAATTCATTTCGCCAGACTATTGAAAAAGTGTCGGAAATTATACATTTTTCATTAGGATGTAGCTGAAGTTGAACCGAGTATATTGGATATTGTCTCTCCAGGGAATATATGCCTTCAAATTAGAATGTTTTGAAATCGTTCAACTCACGTTTTCATTAGCCCATCGAAGCATTTCGTTCAGTCGGCCAAGTAAACCGTACAAATAGGAGAACTAATCCACATATAAAAGACCATAATTCTTCACGTTCACGTACAAGTTTTAAATGATGGATCGACATGTACTCCAACGCCGTATACATGTATGATCTTGAAATGAACTGAGTGAAATTGAATTATGCCATTACTTAGCGAGGCAGAATAAAATATAAAAGTCTATAAAACATGACAAGGTCTGGTAGATACCAAGCTATACATGACTAAACATGACTTTTATCTTCAACTGACTGAGATAAAACCACGATATCTTAGGATAAAAATTGCCTAAATAACCCAGCTGCCGTACATGGGAAGCACGTGGTGGGGTCATAGAATCGAGACACAAAGACAAATTCTGGCTGTTCATCACATTAAAATATGAAAACGTAAACATGTTTCACATGCATTAGGTTCTAGATTAATGGTCCGATGTTTAATTATAGGCTAAGCAAATGGGCTCATAAAAGGCCCAAACATCCCAAAAATTGCAACAGTTTTTAAATTAGTCTTATATTATGTATTGATATCAGTTGAAAAACATATCAAAAGTATAGAAAAATGTATGCAGTGGACAAATATGAAATTTCACTTCCTAGGTACCCCCTACAACCCTACCCCAAAATTGAGTATTGGTAGGAAACAATTTTTTCTTCCCAAATGGAATACTTTAGTCAAGTATTCAAGCTTTATTATGATAGATAACATATTCACAAATAATTAAAATATTATTTTAATCATTTTTGAGACCAGTAATTGGTCATTTGACCCCAAAGTATAACAAAATAGGCCACAAAACAGGCATGTTATCACATATCTATTTAGATATTTTAGGATCAGTTTGTCAGAAAAACATGAAAAAAATCATGGTGTTACATATTCATATGAACTTCATATTTGGAGAGTATCAGAATTCTAACGTGTATACTTAGGAAGAAAAAAATTACTTCATTTTCATAGTTTTGCCCCACCCACTATAGGGGAGACTATAGTTTTGATGACTAACTCCCACAATGCATCACATTTGTGTTAGAGTTGACATCTAAATCGTTTATATAGGCTTGTCATCATCTAAAATACAAGTTTTGTGAAGGCTTATACCTTATTAGTATGAAAAATAGGAATTATTAGTTGCACCAGGTGAAATGTTAAGGTGACCTCACTTTTATTTGATGAATAATTACAAATCACCACTCTGATATTAGGGTATTAGGGTATTTTATAACTGCTATACTAGGCTTATCTAAATAAATAATGTAAGTTGTAGTTTCTGTGCAATTTAATATTGTTTAAATTAAAATTATTAATTACAATCCGCAATTACAAAATTTGCATATATTTAAATCCATCAGATAAATAAATCATCACATAGGAGTACATTACTATGGAACTATCAATTGGATGTATAATGCTGTAGAAACGAATTTATGGTTATTAAACGGAATTTAAACTGATAGAGCACATTTAAATCTCAGATATCTGGGGAGTCTTTCATTAATATAATTTCAGTGCGTAGGAATGATGGTAATTCTGTCTGTCAGGTTGGAAAACATTGAGTGTGCATGTGCTACATTCAGAATCGGATGCAGATATTGTGATTGTGAAAACTATAATCCAAAGTGTCCAAACCTCAAATACAGTACTCATACAGATCTCCTTGTGTACACAAACTTCAACATTTTCCTCAAACCTGAACCAAAAGCAGTAACCCAAGAAACAAAATGTTGGAATATAAATGAAATAAGATTGACTTTTGTTTATCTTTTCTGGGGTGTGCCACCGCATTCTGGTTATACCTGGCATAGACAAGAAGCTATCATTGAGGCAGATAAAAAAGATAGAGTTCTTGAGAAAACAAGCGGTTGTTTTTAAATTACCAAATGGGTCGTTTCGGTAACAAAATGTCTAAATGTCGAAGGTACGATTTTTCTTTTTTTTCACGCGTTATAGGCAGAATCCCCACGATGTTTTTTCTTACAATCGTGATCGTGTATCAGTATCATATGTTTTAGAAAATGTACATGTTTGCGCAAAAATAGCTCAGAAGACAACAGAATTGTTGATTTAATTCCTTACTAAGTTACATAAACGATTTGGGTCAAAAGTGCAGATCTTAACTGTTTATCGAAATACCGTTTATGTAACTAAAGTGAGGAATTAAATCGACGATTCTGTTGTCTTCTGAACTATTTGTTCGCAAATATGTACATTTTTTAAACACATAATACTGATACAATTTTGTGATAACAATGCATGTTGTGGAAATTCTGCCTACAACGTGTGAAATAAGGAAAAAAGAAAAATCATACCTTCGATGTTCCGACATTTTGTTACAACGTAATTAAGTAGAAACCAGTGAAATGAAAGCAACTCTGTCATTGCAGAGGAACATGCTCTTTTGTCAATTTAAGGTGGAAAAATGGTGAAACCCTAACTGAACTTAGGCTTCAAAAATTCTATTAAAAGAGAGCAGCAAGATCTGAATTATTGCAGCCCCGTGTTCTTCCTCCAATTTCTGATGCTGCGGAATACCACAGTTATAGAGTGTTCCATCAGATCCAGGAGTGGGAAGGAAATAAACTGTCTCCATTATAATTGGGCTGGGAAATGAGCAACGAAGCTTTTGTACCAATTGCCTAAATGCAGCTCCCCTCTCTCAGAGATCATCCATTGTGTGTGTAAGGCAGATTGTACTTCTATGAGATGTACTAGCAGAAAAATGGAATAATTGTTCTATGGCATGTAAGGTATGCAAAGGTATTTGTGCAAATACCTCCATTACTGATTATGAAAATAATGATGACTAAATAATGAACACTGGGGGATCTGGGGGCCGCCCCCCCCCCCTTGGGTTACCCTTTGCATTCGTTTGACTTCACTCCTTAAAAGAGAGCTTCGTCTTCGTCTGTAGTTTAACTAGACTCTGCACGCAGGGTACCCTTGGGTGGGCCCAGAAAAAAATAGGGCCCGAAAAAGGTCTTAAGGCCCCGAAAAGTGGGCCTTTTTGGTCATTAGTGGGCCTTTTAAGGCCTTATTTTTTATTAAAGGCCACATTTTGAAGATAATGGGCCTCAATGTTTCAAAATTTAGGGTTCTAGGGGCCCAAATTTTTTTTCCGCGCAAGCCCAGATGTTTTTTTCTCAGACCTGAAATTTGCCCCCCCCTTGTTGGTTCCCAGATCCACCCTTAATGAAGTTTGGTGATAGACAAGTTTGTAACTGATTGTTGCCATATATGACGGTTAAGATTACAAAATTAAGGCAGCTTTTGGACAATGAACATAACGTAATCGAACCATGCCCTGTATAAAGACCAGGGATTTACTTTGTGTTACACTAGTTAACTCAGTAGGATTTATAAACGTAGAAACCTTTTCCTCATTAATTATTGAATTTCATCTTGAAATCCAATTCTTCAGTTGAACTTCTTCATTTCATTTCTCAATATCACTGTGTGGTTAAGAACACCTTAGTCAAAAGTAACAATTTTTCCTTAATACAGGGCGAGCCAAAAAGGTAACCCAAACAAATCTTAATAACTCAGTCCAGTCATCCTGCATGAGTTGAGTCTTGGTCAATGTATTATCAATCTACCCAATCTCAGTGGTCTATCTCTAGTGGTCACGATTTTATGGCCATTTTATACCATGCCATGAAATATGGGTGTTATGCCTGGAGGCCAACTTGAACGTATCATGCGTAGTTGTTCAAATCAAGAGCATAAAAATCTTGTGTTATGGCTCTCATCTTCATTCTTATCTCTTGTTTTAATGTTTCAAGTGTTGCTAGTATAGAAGAAAGGTCCACAGATAAAAAAAAAACTGGACTTGGCATTGATGTCTAGTCAGTTAGGCACATTTCGATATTTTGAGCACATTTTGTAAATGGCCATAAAATCGTGACTATTAAGGATAGATCAATGACACTAAGCAGAATGAAAGAACATTGAACAAGGTAATTGTGCCAAATATGATGTCAAACCCATGCTGAATGACTGGGTTATTAACAAACATTTGGTTGGGTTACCTTTTTTGGCTCATACTGTATTAATAAACTGATGTCAGGGACAGGGATATTTAACATTTTGTTGCCTTTTCAAGGATATTTTTAGACCACTGATTCTACTTAATTTCTAACAAATCGTTCTCTGTTCTACCAGAAGAGGTATATATCAAATTGAATTTAAAGGGAAAAAACATTTGATAATTTAGCAGTTATCAACTAAAAGTAGGACTTCCCCTATATTTCACCTGGCATTTGCTGTTTTTTTTACTTTTTTTACATGTCAATCCTTTCCTGAAAACATCAAAAAACTGATTTCAGGACAAAATAAGCCTTTACAAATAATTTAGTTGTGCTATTGAGTTCAAATATGACATATCTTTGAAGTAATTAATCAAAAGTAAGGTCACCCCAAAAGTGGGTGTGGTAAAATATTGAAATTTCAAATATTATTTTCACCCTTAATATTCACTTAATGACCCTGATACTTATCAAATACAATGGTCAGGTGTACAATAACCTCCTTGATTTTTTTCATGCAATTCAGATAAATTGATACAGAAATAGATACATTGTTAAATTAAATTCGGGCTATTTGATGGCCTATTTTCGGATAATTGGGGCTAGAAATGCCAATTTTTGCACTCAAATAGTTGGTTAACAATTTTTAGTTGCTCTTATGTCAGTAAACTATCATAATATTACCCGTTTAGTTGACAAGAGCATTCTATTTTGAAATAAAAAAAATATTTACAATCCTATACTCAAATTTGGAGGGGGGTACCTAGAATGTGACATTTCATATTTGTCCACTGCATATATTTTTCTATATTTTTGATATGTTTTTCAACTGGTATCAATATACAATATAAGCCTAATTTAAAAACTGTTGCAATTTTTGGGATGTTAAACTTCCATTTGCCTAGCCTATTAGTGGAGAGGTTAAGCTTTGCATATATAATCGAAACTGAACCTGTACGTATCACTCGACCATATACAAATTCATGTAGCCTTCTCATATAAATAGCCGTTCAAATCCAGTGTTTGTTTAGACTACACCATAGCGTGTAATGATTCTATAGTATGTCATTGATGCGGTTTTATGGCTGGTTTTCTAATACATATTTTAAACGAGCTCGTTTCGTAAGATTTTTGGCGCTAAATCATGCATGACATACATCATCGTGTTCAGCAAGAATTCAACTGTACATCGAAATCAAAATTGACAGCATAGTGTTCAATAGACACGAGGAAAATGGTTCCCGTTGACCCAACGTCAAATATTCAAATCTCCCGTTCTAAACCCGAAACTCTGAAGCTGAAAGAGTATCTGAAGTAGACTAAGCGCGCATAAAACTATGAGCGCTCGATACATTCCTTTGTTAATTTTTGTACTTTGCGTTCACGGTTACGTTGTGAAAAACATCGTTAGCTTAACCTCTCCAATATATGATTCGTAATACTTACACGCGAATATCTCTAATATTAAGTATGCAAACCTCTTATGGACCATCGGTGTACGGCTACTTGAGTTTTTCATTTTTTAATACTACTAAGAATAATTGTTGAATAGAATTACAATTTACTAACAAGGGCATCTAAATTAACAATTAACAGTGTCATGACCGATAAACAACTCATTAACACAGATGCAGGTGATAAATTTACACTTTTATTAATCAAATATCGATTATTTATATCGAGCTTTATTGTAACTTTTCTCAAGGTGTCTGCAATCGTCAAAGACACCGATGCACATTTAATATGCATATGAATAAATAGAAATGCACGAATTGATGCATGAAAAATTTCACTTCGCGATATTTTCTTCTCATGTTATTCCTGTCCTGCCAATAAAAGGTCCAACAGTTTTAATGATAATACTTTTCCAAGATTATCTGACAATACTTCTGAGCATATGGACGTCCCCTCATTCTGTTTTGGTATACTGTGCATCATTCGTATTCCAACGTGAATTATAACTGGATTAAAAATGAAAAAAAGAAATGAAATGAAAAAATCTTCTCACCTAAAACGCAGCGTTTTAGCGTTAACCTCCCATTTCTGAGTCAGTGCTGATGCCGACCCGATTCCACTCCCAGTGCGCAGTGGTGGGAGTTCTGTTGGTGTACCTTGTCTAGAAGAGGATCGGCTCTTTGTTTTGACAGGTTTTTCAACATCTTCTGTTGGCTCATTCTCTTGTTTAGCGGTTGGGTCTTCTTCCACATTTGGTTCCGTAGTGCCTTCTTTCTTTTCTGGTTCCCCTTCTCCTGTATTTTCTTTGGCATTGTCATGCTGTGTTTCTTCAGGATTTTCGTGACTTTCCTCGGCGTTCTTGGCATCATTTTCATCATTGGTTTTCACTTTGTCATTTTCTTCTTTGCCGTCTTTGTCATTTTCTTCGCCATTGTCTTTATCTTTAGTTTCTTCCTTGTCTTTTGTCTCTTTGTCATCTGGGGTTTTAGTGTCTCCATCCTCGTCTTTTGGTGCACCATCTTTATCATTATCATTGGCCTTTTCATCATTTTGGTTATCATCATCATCTTTGTCTTTCACATCTTTATCAGTGTCACCTTCACCATCATTAGTTTCTTTGGGATCTCCCGACTTCTCTTCTGACGGATTCTCTTGTTTTTTCTTATTAAGCTCTTCTGATTTATTGTCTTTACCTGCCATAGTGTCAGTTGAAATTGATTTTAATTTAAGATCTTTTTCGCTTCTTTTGTTTTATTTTGTATGAAATATGTTGTTTTTATACTTTTTGGTGTGAAATCCAGTGATGAGCTTTTAACATACATGTATTCCTTCTGCGTCCCTGTCAAACGTTTCTTCACACAAGGTAAATTATTCTAATGTTTGTTTCTATGGATGTTTAGCGACACCCAGAACAAAAATACGGAAACAAATAAACAAGGAGATACGATCGATTTTGCTCATACCAAACATGACATTGTTTTAGCAATATATAGTTTTATTGATCACGTGCTCCCTGGTGACAAGCTTCCTCTGTAGGAATGTAAAAATCTGTAAATAATTCATTAACTGACAATGAAATAAAAAATCACTGGAGTAGTTCATATTTTGATATAGATTGTTTAGAGAGTGGGTGAATAGGCATAAGAAGTGTATAGCTAGAGATGGAGGTTATGTTGAATAGCTTATTTTCATAACAATGAGACTTTAGGACTGTTTTTATATTGTATTTGTGGTAGTAATAGACCTAGGAGTATGAATAAAGCTATCAGAATGAATAAATATGTTTTGGAAAGTTGTGACGTAAACAAACTTGCCCCGCCTTTTTGTTGTTTCGGTTGCTATAGCAACCACAACTCTGGCCAATCAATAGAAGACGCTTTAAATTCACAGAATAAAGGTAAAAAAGTTTGATCTACAAATCTGGAAATTTCATTAAGATTGGTGCAATATTAAGAAAGTTACAATATCTTTCACCTTATTTATTGGACACCCTGTATATGTGAGGAATAAAACAAACACTTATATATAAAAGACACGATTTATCCCAAGCCCCAAGATTTACATTAACTAGATTCATTGATATGGATATATTGAATAATTGGAAATGTTTATAGTTGTGCACAAAACTATAATACAAAATAAAAACATGATCTCTACGAATAATGAAATATTATAAAAGTTGACACAAAGAATTGTGAACACCAACGCTCTCTTGAACTTAGAATTCGAAATAAATCCAAATGCTTTTATACATTCTAAATGCAGCTTGTGCTGTACTATGCCGTTCTACCCATAACTCCATACAAAATCATATACACGAATATATCCGATTAAGGCATTTACAAATGTGGGGGATGCGGACCTCCTTCAGCCGTCAAAGACCAGGTTCAATATTTATTTTGAGAGTTATCTCAACGTGACAACATTTAGACTCATGTATATGTTCAACAATTTTGTGTTTTTCATAAATTGTAATTAGAATAGGATTGGCAAGTTTCATTTTTTAAATTAATTTTGGCAAACTCTGGCAATTGGATTATGTAGCTCGTTAAATCTAGTTAAGGCTTAATAATTTCATCCAACAGACGTTTCACTATAGAACCGTTGGTATTAATCCTATGTGGTTCAAATATACAGAATTGTTCTAAATAATCTTTTAAGAATTAAAGGACTGTGAAAGAGTACGAACTTTAATACAATTGGATTTAGACTGAAAAGACCTTGTAGAAAGGTGGATTAAAAGTGTCAGGATACATTTGTTCAGATGTCTAGTATTAGAATCTATCAAATGCAGTACTAGTTTGGGTTTGTCATTGTTATATGTATGTAAGGGACTTAGTCATTGGTTGGTAAACAAGATGGCGAATGTGAACATTTAGTCGGAAAAGTAAACTAACTGACATCAAATCGAGACGCCATATTTTGAAACTAGATTTACTGAAAGACTGCGAAGATGTAACTAAATGTAAGATAGTAAACGTACAATACTATAGAGGGACGTCATAATCTTAGAAAGTAAGTAAAATGTACGTTTTTAAATGATTCAAATTTTCAAATCAATCAGAATATTCAACAAATCGACCAATCAATCGACTTTTTTAATGATACAAGCAAGCACGTAAATAGAAAAACACAATTATGGCAATAATGTAAACAACTATTAACTTAAACAAGAAAAAATAGATGATGAATCAATCAACTTTTCAATCAACCTAACATGTAATCAAACAATAATTCAATCAATAAATTAAAATAAACAAATAATTAGCAAATCAAGGATAAAAATTTGAAACACACAACATACAGTATATAGTTTAAGATATATGTGTATAACAATTATTTTTGTCGTCCATTTCCAGTACACAAGGCGATCTGATAGGTCAACTTTTCCTAAAAGTGCGTCAATCAAACAAGCAACATGGGGAATCTTATGTCTGGTATCTCGACCCTAGCCACAAGAGCTGGGGGAAAAAACAAACGAGCGGATGATGACTTCAGTGATCGCTTGAACTACAAATTCACCACATTTATGCTGTTGGTCTTCTGTATGCTTGTGACAGGGCGACAGCATGTTGGGCACCCTATAAACTGTTGGTGTCCAGCTAGATTCAAAGACCCCCAGATAGACTACGCTAACAGTCTTTGTTGGACTAAGAATACATATTATGTACCAATTGAGGGGGACATACCAAAAAGTGACTCTGGAAGGACGAGGCTTGAACTGCAGTACTACCAATGGGTACCCATTGTGCTGTTAGTCCAGGCGGTACTATTTTACTTTCCTTGTGTCATATGGAGGCTTCTTCACGACAAATCTGGGGTGAATATCACTACACTATGTACCACCCTTGAAGATAAAGGAAACTTGGATCCAGACACAAGGAATAAGACAATTAGATACATCGTTAGGCATCTTCATAGATGTTTCGATATGATCAGAATCCATAGCTCACACGGTTGTCAACGACATACACAAAAACTCGTCAAAAAGTGCCCATTGATATGTGGCAAACGTTATGGGAACTATATTCTCTCGCTCTATGTTGCCTGTAAAATGTTGTACATCGGGAATGCCATCGGGCAAGTGTACATCCTAAATGCTTTCCTTGGCAATGGGACAGACTATAGTTTTTATGGTGTAGGAGTTCTCGTTGATATGTTAAAAAGTAGAGATTGGACAACTTCAGATCGGTTTCCCAGGGTTACCTTGTGTGACTTCAAAATCCGTGAATTTGCTCATAATATACACAGATACACCCTTCAATGTGTCCTCCCCATAAATCTGTTCAACGAGAAGATCTATATCATCTTATGGTTTTGGTTCGTTCTCGTCGCCATCGTCAACTCTTATAGCCTCCTACAGTGGCTGTTCTACATGGCAGGGAATAATAAAGTAGACTACATCAAACGCCATTTAAAGAACATGGGGATGTTTGACAAAGAATCTGACAAAAAATACCTGAATACTTTTGTAGAGGAATATATGCAGCATGATGGTGTGTTTGTGATGCGGTTGATGACCAAAAACGCTTGCGATATATCTGTCTCAGAAATAGTATGCGGACTGTTCACAATATTCAAACAATCTAGGACTAATGGTAGCATCATGTGATGTTGCTCAAGCGGAGATTATGGGACATAATGGGTTAATGGGGCAACCAGAAAACACTGGACACACATGAAAGACTATGGGATGCCACCTATTAAACCTTTTAATTCTCTCAAATTAAAAGCGTTTTCGAATATGAAAGTCTGAGAGTGAAACTGAAATCTTTCAAAGGTTGGAACCACTGAAAAATTAAGATGAAAGATGTGATGTGAAAATAGTTGTACAATATGCACTTGTATTTGTGTTCTTG